CACCATCCAAAAAAATAGTTTTTTGTACTATACCTCTTCACTTTTCCAGCTTGGGCGGAATCTCCAAAAAAAAACTCTTTTCTGAGGACGAATCCTGTTCCTCTTCTTCTCTTTCGTCATCACTCTCAAGGTCTGACATGTAATCAGCATGGAGAATACTGTCAACATTTTCTCCAAAGCTGTTCACAAAGTGTGCCCGATTGGCTTTCAAGGTAGATTGTCTTCTTTCACACGACTATATATAAATATATAATATTTCTAATTTAATATCACATCTAGTATATTATGTGCATGTGTTTTTTACCTTTACACGTCGCTGACGAAGACAGGCCCATCGATTCTCTTCCTGCTTCTTTTCTCCTGTTTTTTTTTCTTGCAACTTTCTGTTGCCAATGTGCCGCACAATCTTAGTTCGAAGAGTTGGCAAGTCCACCTTTTCCCCCTCTTCTTGACGACGAAGGTAATTGGTAACAGACTTCAGAACGAGTCTGTTTCCCTCACTGTTTTTATTTTCATTGGTATTGTATTGGTCATACAATTTCTCTTCACTCAAATAATCGCGCAACAATTGCTATAATATAAATGTATATTAAATTCTATTTACATAAAAACATATTATGATTACTTACATCCAATGTTGGTTGACGTCCAGGCGACATGTCTTGCTCAACTGCATTACTAGCAGTGGCTTCAGCTTTCTCAGAAGATGTGTTTTTCAAAACAGTGTTTAAGACACCATTCATGGTATCAAGTTTCTCATACACATCATGGATGTTACGAGTTCTACCTGACGAATCACCTTCAAGATTCAACCGAGCTCTCTTTGGTGCTAGTGGTCTTTGATTGCTCACTGTTCCCTGTGAGTGTTGCAACATTATCGTCCTTATATCATTGGTATTTCTTGGTGGGCTTTTTTTTTGATTTTTATAAAAAACGAAAATAAAATTAATATAAGAAAATTGAAGACTGCCTGGTTTTAATCTACCTTCCCACAGAAGGTTCTTCACCAAAAGCATTGTTAACTGAATTGTTATTGAGATTTCTTGACATTGTGAATAATAAGAATAGCTTGTTTTTTTTAAATCCAAAGGGTCTATTTATATTATGTTTAATTTGGGCTTTAAGTTTTATTCTTTCTCAGAGAATACCATGATCTATTACGTAACAAGAACAGCTTTGAATGTTTCCACTCTTGTTGTGAGTATTTTATGTGTTTCTTTAATTTAATTTTCAATCCATGTTTTATTCTTATATTATGTATTAGTATTTGAATAATATGATTTTATACTATACTCTGTTTTTCATATGTATTAGCTGCTGACATAGTACAACTGCGTTTTCTTTCAATTCTAAGTTACAGACAAAAATTATTTTTTGATTTATTTATTTTTAAAAAAAAACCCCGAATTCGTATTTAATAGAATAACCGCGCCCCTCTTTTTTATTTTCTCTTTCTTTAACCTGCTCTTCTCGTTTTGTCTCTTTTTATATGTCTTGGTAAGCTTACTCTTAAGATTTCAACTTTTATTAATACTTTTGGCTTTTAGAATCATCTTAATATATATTAGATAAACAATACACTCAACAAGCATTCAAAACAGTACAGGTAATAAACAATCTCCTAACCAAAATGAAACACCTTGCTGACTAAATATCTTTTATTTTTAAAATGATAGGACTTCTACCCATTTTGTAATAAAAGATGTTTTGCTCTTGACACTATATACTTTCTGGTATTTTCAGTCTATGAAAAGGTAATATATATATAACTCAACTTAAATAATGTAACTTATCAATTCTTCTTCTCAGATAAATATGTCACACCTTTTTTTCAAGTCATACTGGTTTGCTCCCTTTTGCAAATGCGTGTCTATAATATGTAAGTAATTCAAGTGTCTTTACAATCAAAGCGTACATATTAATAAAGTTGTTTATTTTATTTCTTGCTTTTTATTTAAAAGAAAATATCAATCAAACGGATTTTTATTCTATCGCAAGATTTGTTATGAACCCCCATAAATGATCTAGTAAGTATGTTATTTCATTTTATTTCATAAAGAAACCTGTATTAATACTTCTGTATCTTTTTTTGCTCTAAGCTAATGTAGTTCCAAACAAACGTATTCTCCAAGAAAATACCAAGGATTTCATTTTCAGTTAAAGAAGTGTAAAACCAAAAAACGCGCTGAATACATGAAACCGATATGGTAGGGAAGTATAGTATAAGTTAGGTCATCCAATGTATTCAAGCCATCCAATAAATGAAAGTATAACATGTATACAAGTCGTACTATTCGGATACACACTTTTAAAGAAGTATTAGTGGTCCATATTAAATAGCTAAATATATTTTCCAACCATTCAAAAATCAATAAAAACCATTTTTTCCATGAGATTCTATTTCAAATGCGTCATCTCTTGATGATGTCAACAAGATCTATTTAAGTTTTTTTTTACAATCATTCATTTGAATGCTGGTTCCTGTCAGATTTCAGACTGATTCTAGGTCGATTTTAGTGAGGTCTATCCAATAATATCATGTAATTAAAGCAAATAAAATTTTTTAAGAGGTAGAGAGTTCAAAGCCAATTCCATAACAAGTAGGGTTTAGGTACGGTTTGAAGTTATGGGTGAATATATAACCAGAATTACAGACAATTATAACATTTCAAGAAAAGGGGGAATTATAACTCTCAATTTATCTATTGATTTTAGTATCTATAATCTCATCATTTGGTTAACTAAATGAACCAATTTTTGTAACAAATACCGAACTATAATTGAACATAAACCACCGATTTTTGGAGGATTTAACCAAAAATTAAGCTACTTAAATCGGTTGTCTTTTGCAGTGATGAGTTTCTTGATGCTCGGTATGTCTCCGCTTCTGAAGCATGCTGGAGAATATTTTCTTTCAAGCTTCATCAAGAGTATCCCAGCCATCAACGACTTTCAATCCATCTGGAAAATGCCCAACCCGTATATTATAATCCATCTTCTAACCCAGAGGATGTTGCAAATTCCAGAAAAAACACTACTTTAATGGGATATTTCGACTATAATGCTACACACCCATCATCTGAAAAACTTCTTTACGTCGACTTTCCTTCTCTTTATGTATGGAATACAAAAGAACGAAAATGGACAGCATGTAAGAGGTTTGATAAAGGAACGATTGGCAGAGTTTACACAGTGTCTCCAAGAGATATTGAAAAATATTCGTTACGATTACTGCTGCATAATGTTAAAGGGGCCAAAAGCTTTGAAGACATACGTACAGTAGAAGGATGTGTGTATGAAACAAACCAAGCTGCATGTCGTGCTCTGGGATTACTTTTGAATGATGATGAGTGGAGTAACTGTATGGAAGAGGCAGCAGCTCATCAGATCCCATTTTCTTTACGAAGACTCTTTGCTATTCTTTTGATTTTCTGTGCAGTATCAGATCCTTTCTCTTTGTGGCTTGCTCATCGCGATTCTATGATTGAAGATTATCTTCATTTGGCAAGAGAAAGTAGTGGAATTCCTGCGTTAGCCCCCACACAAGATATGTTTGACAGATGTTTATGGGATATCGAAAGTCATCTATCTGCCAACTCTATGTCTCTCATGTTGTTCACTGGATTTGTTCTTCCACCAATGCCTGACATCCAGCACTTTAGCCCAAATGGGCAAGATGTTCAAGCCATCATACAAGAACAAGAAGATTTATGTGATCAAGCCCAGCTTTTGCCAGATCCAGATACATTGACATTCAATAATTCACAAAGACGTGTCTATACAACAGTATTAAGTGCAATTGAAGAAAACGTGGGAGCCTCAAGATTGTACTTTGTCGATGGTCCAGGTGGGACGGGAAAGACATTTGTCTTTAATGCCTTGCTTCAAAAAACTTGCCAACAAGGAAAAATTGCTCTTGCAGTAGCAACAAGTGGAATTGCTGCATTGCTGCTAGACGGTGGGCGTACAGCACATTCCAGGTTTAAGATTCCAGTGCAAGTTGATCTTAACTCCTTATGCTCCATCAACGCAAACTCGCAAACGGCACAACTTATTAGAAGAACGGAATTGGTTATCTGGGACGAAGCTTCTATGATTAGTAAAGATGTTTTTAATACTGTAAGCAGATCCATGCAAGATATAATGAAGACTGTCGATCCATTGCTTGAAAACGTTCCATTTGGAGAGAAGTTGTTTGTCTTTGGAGGCGATTTTTGGCAGGTCCTTCCTGTTATACCCAAGGCAACAAGAGCTCAGGTTGTAAGCCAATGTATCAAGAAAGCATCTGCATGGAGAAATGTAAAAACCTTGCGGCTTACAACAAACATGCGAATTGCCCAAGCAAATAATGAACAAGAAACATTAGAGCTTAGGGAATTTGGAGCATTTCTCTTGCAAGTTGGTAGTGGTTCTGCCCACACAACAGGCAGTGATGACACCATCCCAATTCCGCCCCATATGTTACTTTCTGGATGTAATCCTGCTGATCTGGCCAAAGCAGTTTTCCATGATCTCTCCTCTAATGCAGCCAACCATCATTTCCTCATGGGCCGTGCTTTGCTTACTCCTAAGAATAAAAATGTCAAGAAACTCAATGATATTCTTCTGAGCCAGTTTCCTGGAGAGGCACGAGAGTTTAAGAGCGTCGACCAGGGAATTGATGAAGATGGTCAGTTGACATATCCAGTTGAGCTACTAAATACCATTGATCCTGGATCCCTACCACCTCACTCACTGTCCTTAAAAAAAGGATGTCCTATCATGCTTCTTCGCAATCTTGACCCAAAAAACGGTCTCTGTAATGGTACACGCCTGATTTGCAACTCTTTTGGAACATCTGTCATCAGAGCAACAATTGTGACTGGATCAAATGCTGGGCAAGTATCTCTTATTCCAAGAATAAAGCTTAATCCATCTGGATCAAATAGTGAAATTGAATTCCAGCGGTTCCAATTTCCAGTTCGTCTTGCATTCGCAATGACAATAAACAAGTCACAAGGTCAAACTCTTGAGAGTGTTGGATTATATCTCCCTGCCCCAGTATTCTCCCATGGCCAGCTGTATGTTGCTCTATCCCGGGTCAGAAAACCTTCTACAATCGAGATAATGCTTGATACACCAGCAAATTCCAACGAAACGGCAAATACTGTATTTACAGACAATGTTGTATTTAAGGAAGTCTTTGACATTTAGTAAAAAATTATATATAACATACATTATAAACTCATCTAACCAATTTTTTTTTGAATAATAAAACATCTATACATATCTTTTCTTTTCATATAATTCACTCAAATAAAATGTTCCTATTAATTGTGCTATACGGTACTTAGACTGCCAATAGGGAAGGGTTTTATATTAACTTCCGGTAGGCTCTGGGGCCCCCCGAAGGGAGGGGGGAGGGGGGGGACCCCCCAAAGGGGGGGGGGGGGAGAGCACCGCTCCCCTAGTATGTCTTTAAATATATTCTCGCTGCTAAACACAGGAAATGACCTGGGTTGTAATTTTTTGGCTACTATTATCGATAATTCCAGGTAAGTGGAATTCAATTATTTTAAGGTGTTTTTGCAGTGAAAGAAGCTTTTTTATATTTTTATCCGTAGGCTTTTGATATTGCCCTCTACTTTTTTTGGGGGTTTTGTCTGTTGTTGACGGGGCAGAACTTTTTGGATCTTTTGGCATTTCAGGCTCTTCAAGCTCTTCCATGATTTTTTCAAAGGCACTGTTATATTCTTCAAGTTTTTCGTGTAACATTGTAGGGTTTTCTGATAATAAAAGGTGAAAAATAAAGAAATAAGAAGATATGTTAAAGTGACATATTTTATATAAATATAGTTATATCTAGCACATAGCAGTTATAATTAAATAGTAATTACTTAAGATGCAAGATAAAAATCAGAACACAAGTTGAAGCAGCAAGAATAGATGTAAAGAAGATTGAGTTGTTGTTAAATAGTATTAGTCATTATATTTTCAGCTTTTTATATCAAAAAATAATATTCCAAGGTCCACTAAATAAAGTAGTACAAATTGAACTCAAGGAGATAAAAAATAAATAGGACAATATATTACCCGCAGCCATAAATTTATTATAAACATTCTTTTTTAAAAGAGATATCATAATTTTCTCTCTTTCCATTTGGTGTTTATATACCAAAACTGTTTATTTCTCTTCTTAAATCAGCAATAAATCTCATTCTCATGCTCACTTCAACAACTAAATATTACTCTGACAATGAAAACACTGCCTAAAGCTCTACACCTCATGGATTTTTTTATTATTTCCAGATCACATTATGTTTCTGTATGTAAATAAAGCCTATACCTCGGAGTCATTGATATTAATCTCTAAATAATCTATAATATTTTGAACAAAAGCTATAAATCTGAAAAGAAAACGTGACGATTCAACCCTCCACCTACAAAGAAACTACAAGATCAAACATCTACCTGTACAATAGGAACCAGTCTACATATATTCATAATGCTTTTAAGTGCATTTCACCGATCATACTTTTTCGAAATCCAACAGTAGAATTCACTTTACTGACCACACAAAAACTTGTCAATTTTTATCTCAAATATCCAGTAATCTGATTGACTACCACAGCAATTGTATTTCTTATGAACCTGGTCCTACACAAGCATCTAATACCATTACAAAAAAGAATCCAAAAATGCTATATTTATTCAGCACCTGCTCCAACCATTTTACAATGTCAGAATCCTAATCTTCTTAATATCAAACTCAACAACTCTTTGTAATCTGCACTCGAAACAAGTAAATGTCCAACAATCTGTTAAACAACTGAAAGCGGTCCAAGAATTATGCTTTGCTCACAATACTACCCGATCTCAATTTTGGAAACCCTCATGATACAAAATACCAAAAAAAAAACCAAATATTACACACACAAAAACAGTAACAAAAAATAGCACAAGCTCATGACAAAAAAAAGAAATAAAAAAAGAGATGAAAAAAAAAAGAGATGAAAAAATAAAAAAAATAAAAAAAAGAAATAAAAAAAAAATAAAAAATAAAAAATAAAAAATAAATAAAAAAAAATAAAAAATAAAAAAAAAAGAAATAAAAAAAAAAAATAAAAAAAAATAAAAAAAAGAAATAAAAAAAAAGAAAAAAAAAGAAATAAAAAAAAAAGAAATAAAAAAAAAGAAATAAAAAAAATAGAAATAAAAAAAAGAAAAATGTAATAGCAATTTTAAAAATAATTCTCCAAATAGTATAACTAGCATTTTTATTCATAAATTTTTATAATATACATAACCATTTTTTCGCAAATAATTTCTGAAAAACTGAAAGTCTCAATAACTGAAAAACTGAAAATCTTAATAACTGAAAATAGAATGGTATCTAACTGCAGAAATTTCTGAAAAACTGAAAATCTCAATAACTGAATTTCAAGCTTTTCCTTGGCTCTATACAAAAAAAAACTTTCTTTTTTTGGTTGGGCAAACCCATGAGGAGAAATCCCACCCCTTCCTTCGAGACAGAGGACAGGACACCATAAAGGCTCTGGTAGCACTGTAAATCGGCTAATAAAATAAATGTTCTTAAAAGTGTGAAGAAGCTTAATATGTAAACATTCATTATTCTTCAACACGTTCTTTATCCAAATATATTAAGACAACAGGACAAGACTATATCTTGGTAGAAACGTTTAAGTTATTAAAATATTTTTTTTTGGTATATATACCCCAGTGTCTTAATAAAAGTTTCTCAGTTATCTTTCTTCCTCGATTTTAACACCCTTTTTATTTTCAAAAAAAATGCCTACTTCCAACAACTCCCTCGAATTTGTTATGGACAAGCACTGTGAAATGGTCAGTCACAGCAGTTCTGCAGACCAAACCCAGTTTTCTGGAATTGCTTTCGACCCCTTGTGCGATTTCAACCAAGAGATTGTCGACGAAATGCATGGAGAAGTTGTACTCCGATCTGTGACAGATGTCTTTGTCAACCATGCCGATATGGAATGGACCCGTACCTTGGCCGGAAACTCAGCAGTCACAAACCTCCTCAGTCTCAAAAGTTTCCTGCCAACCGAAGTCAACGAGGCCACAACCAAGACAATTGTTGCACAGAAGCCAAAGACGAATCTGCCAGAGAAGGTCGATCCTGATTCTGTTCCCACTGCAGAAAGCATAGGTCGAGGTTCGTACCGAAAGTACAACCAAAACCAGATGAACAAGCTCTTCTCCTTGGTTTTCTCGGAAAACCAGACTGCTGCTGCCACTGCCAGGGAAACGGGGATCAATGTCCGGACTGCCCAGAACTATGTCAGGCTGGCCAGAGAGAAGATCCAGGCCGATTTTGATGCTGCCACAGTGGAGACTGATGAGTCCAATGGGCTGGAGACGATGGAGGTTGAGGAGGTTTCTGCGCCTAAAGAACGAAAACATGGCAACCGAAAGTTGTTCCAGGCGCACTCTGCTTTTTTTTTTGAAGTTTTTCGAAAATAAACCAGATGCTACCTTGGAACAAGCAAGGATAGCTGTCATGGAAGAGTTCTCTGGGCTGCAGATTACCAAATCAGCAATTCAGAAGCACTTGGTGAAGAAGTGTGCCCTGACGATGAAGAAGTTGGAGAAGCTGCCTGAGAAGAGAGACGACATCAACACAATTGAGATGAGACGAGACCGCATTTTGGAGTGGCAACAACTTGCAGATTTCAACTATCTGTCAAACTGTGTGTTCATCGATGAAGCAGGCTTCAACATGCACATCAAGAGAACTTTTGGCCATTCTATCAGTGGCACCCCGGCTAAGACAACTGTCCCGACACAGAGAGGTGTTTCCATCACCATCCTTGGTGCAATGTGCGAGAGAGGGATTGTCAGCCGCTCGTTGAAGAAACCCACTGCAGTCGCAACCAAGAAGAAGAGAAAGTTGGACATCTACACCAACGTTGAGGTGAACAGCCAAATTGGCACCAGAACCTAGTACTACCTCGACTTTCTTAGTCATACAATGGACGTTCTGGACAGCCAGGGTATGCAAGAACGTTATCTCATCATGGATAACACTCCTATCCATAAGGCCGATGAGGTGAAAGACTTTATTTCTTCCCGTGGGTACAAGTGTGCATATCTTCCTGTGTATTCACCTTTCCTGAATCCAATTGAGGAAATGTGGTCCAAGATCAAGTTTGGTGTCCGCAGAGAAGAGATTACAGAGTCAGATGGGCTCATATTAAGGATTACAGAATCAGCTAAGACTGTCACCCTTTCGGACTGTTTGGGTTGAATTAACCATGTCATTTCATTCTTTCCTCGCTGTTTGAACAGAGAGCGAAAGCTTTAATTATGTCTTTTATGTCTATTTAAGCTCTTTACACTCTATGTCTTTTTTTATTTTATTTTTATTTTTTACTACTTTATGTCCCTCTTTTTCTTATTTTTTTTTACTACTTTATATCCCTCTTTTTCTTATTTTTTTTTACCACTTTATGTCCCTCTTTTTCTTATTTTTTTTTTACCACTTTATGTCCCTCTTTTTCTTATTTGTTTTACTGCTTTATGCTTTTCTTTTTTTATTACTTTGTATTTCATTATATCTTACTTCTTATTATGTGTTCTATTTCTCTATCAACTAATTATGCCTAATAAAAATATCCATGTTTTATGCCAAAAAAATACGACGTTTACAAAAAAAAATACTACAGTTATATAAAAAAAATTGTAAGGCGCAAGGATAAAAAAATTGAGTGCCATGTACCCTTCTGCCAATAGTAAAAGGGGGGAGCAAATTCAGATGGAAATGGGAGCAAATTCAGTTGGCAATGGACGCAAATTCAATTTCTATGGAAGCCAATCAGATGTCAATGGGTTCTAATTAGATGGAAATGGATGCTAATTAGATGGAAATGGGCGCCAATTGAATGGATAAAACCAGTACTCTTAAATAATATCATATTTAAAAAATAGAAAGAGTTGTTCTTTAGATAAAAATAGCAAAAAGTAAAGCATACATTTATATGTATATTTAAAGATATTATAATTAGAGCTTTTAATATATCAAATTATATAATATCCTAGAGAGATATCTCTGCACATGACTTACGTTCGTACTTTTAAATCACTAAGAACATAGGAAGTTACTAAATCACATGACTTATGTTCAAACAGTTAATAAGAAAGGAAGTTATAAATCACATGACTTACGTTCAAACAGTTAAAAAGAAAGGAAGTTATAAATCATATGACTTATGTTCAAACCATTAAAAAGAAAGACAGATACTCTGCACATGAGTTATATAGAATCTAATCATCTTTCGATTGCATTCAATATCTTAATTATTAATAAATCTCTATTTTAATATAAATCATATCCATATAACAAAATGTTTTTACTATGAAATCATTGTTTGCTTTAAACATCTTTAAAAATTATATTTTTTTTCTTATTACTACTAACTATTATTATTATTATACTTATTATACTTATAAATTATACATATTATAATATCATATATCAGATTTTGAGATATAAATAAAAAAATCAGATCATTTTTAATTGTGTTGTAATTGTAATAAAAATATATCGATCTGAAGAATAACGAGAATATATATATATATATCATTAGAGTTATTCCCAAAAGCTATTCAATATAAATAGTAAATAAAAATAAAATAAAAATAATGATTCATTTGTATGTTACAATTGTGCTGCGCCCTGATACCTTGATTTGGATTAATTAACAACAAAAAAAGAAAAACGTGTTGGCTATTACTACTTTTTAATTTAAAAGCAAAGATCATCAATATTATATACTACATTTTATAATAATAGCTGATAAAGTAAAATAAAACATATGATTTTGCATTGACAATTGGATATTCAAGAATTTATATATAGTGTTACTTCAAGAAGCTATATTGAACCGTGCACTTTTTGCAGCATTTGTAACTCAATACACATGGTAATTCCAAGAAACTATACTGAAACGTGCACTTTCTGCAGCATTTGTAATTCGATACACATGTTAATTCCAAAAGGTTAACCCATGCTACTTTGACAACTGACTGTTACTTTTGTCACCTTACTTTTATTACTTTAACAAGACATTCTAATGAACTTTTACAACTATATTCTATTTGATTTAGCTACTATTCCTTGAAGAAGCCATCTTACTGCACCTTGGCACATGTATTTTACTCTATTATTCAATATTACTTGAAGAAGATATTCTCTTGAATTTATTCTAATTATAATATTACTTCAGCACGTTGTCGATTTTACATATGATTCAAATCTATTTTAAATTATAACAAGTCTGTCATTATTGATATAATCGTTATTTTGAAAAAGAGTATATATAGGGTGTCTGTAAAGTTCATATCTTTCCGAAAAATAATAATCTTACATAGACTCTTTACTATTTCTTTATCCCCACCTTAATTGCAAAACCAATTATAATTTATCAAATATCAATATGACTTCTGCTGGACCAGTTTGTGCTTTATGTAAACAATTAGGTCACAGCAGAAGATCAAATTTATCCTGCCCTTTGAACCCAAGAAACAAAACTCTCTTGATCCCCCAAAAGAGAACCAGCGATAATCTCTCTACCCAAGAAGAATATCAGACAGAGAGTAGTAGAGATAATATTAAAACAGATTACTTTAATCCATTGGATCGACTTGCATAGTTTCTAACTTATTTGCTATCATCTGCATTTATATGATTATTTAGCTGGTGCTTCGAGACCAAGGGTAGAAACTGTTCAGAATCCTATGATTCTTACCATAGCAGAAATCATTGCTCTCTCCCATGCTGACCAATATCCTGCAGAGAGTAGCCGAGGTAAATAAATGGAGCAAAATTGATTAATATTCAGTAAAAATTCTAATAATTGTTTGTACTCTATATATTTCTCTATTTGGCTGCTGCTTCAAGACCAAGAGTTGAAGCTGTCTAGGATTCTGTTGTACCAACACAACCAATGTCAATTGATCTCTCCTTCACAGAACAAAATATTGCAGAGAGCAGCAGAAGTAATTTTTAAAATTATATATCAATTGCCACAATTATTAATTATTCTTTAATATTTTTATTGTAGATCTAACTGCTGCTTTTGAGGCTTTGCAAGTTTCTGCTGTTGAGAGAGTCTTGGATTTGACAACCACCACTGCCATTGCCACTGCCACTGTTATTCCCTGCTGTAATGGAATTGGCCACCTACGGAGTAACAGCTTGCAGTGTCCTAACAACAGATGGCACCACACTTTTGTCTCTGGCCAGTTAGCTGTCACTCATAACATGGCCCGATGTACTACCACCCCATTACCTCCAACTGACAACAGAGGTGCCATTGATGTACAATGCAAATTCTGTGGAGCTCTAATGTGGATTCATAAGAAAAACTACACGTCCAAGGCAAACAACATCATGTTCTCCATGTGCTGCAGACTTGGGACTATCATTCTTCCTCCCTTTGAACCCACCCCTCCTGGAATCGCAGAACTTTTGGTACATAACACTCCTGCTAGAAAAGATTTCTTCAAAAAGATCAGACGGTACAACAGCACTATGAGTTTCACTTTCATGGGAGTCAACATTGATCAGTCTGTTGCCAGCAATATCAGTGGTGTATACAACTTCCGGATCCATGAGACCATCTGCTACAAGATTGGGTCAGTCCTTCCAACGACCCAGGCCCAGATGGATCAGCCCAAGTTTGCCCAGGTTTATATATTTGATCCAGCATCTCAGGTCAACCATAGACATCGCAATGCCCTGGAATTAGACAGGGTAATCTTGGAAAAGATTCAGGCCGTTCTCATGGAGGTTAATCCATTTGTTTCCCTCTTCCATTCTATGCATCAAGTCGCATGGGATAATGATGGAACAGCCAATATGACGTTTTGCCTGGCAGAGTCTGGCTCAGCAGACCAGCGATAGTACATTGCTCCCATTGTTGAGGAAGTGGCAGTGTTGATGAGTGATACTGAGCATAATGAGGCAAGAGATATCATTCTACACACCCAGACAGACTATCTGCACAAGATCAATAAGTACTACTGCAACTATAATGTTTGCAGTATGTCCTACTCTTCTCTTCTGGTGATTTTGGCTGGACTGTTGATAGATATACTCCAGCAGGATCAAAGATCTCTACCGTGAACTGGTATGCTAACTGTCTCATGTACCGTTCTAACTCTATGCACCTCCTCCACCGTTTTGGCCACCTCTTTCAACAGTATATTGTCGATATGTATGCCAAGATTGAACATAGCCGTCTAGGATATTATGTCCTGAACCAAAAAAAGATGCGTGCAGAACTTTACAGTGGTATCCAGGATGCAGTCTACCTCAATGACAATGATATGACAAATCTTGGTTGGCAAGTGATTATTCCTTCCTCCTTCCTTGGCAGCCCACGATGTATGCGTGAATTGTATCAAGATGCTATGGGCATTGTGCACTACTTTGGCAAGCCGGATCTCTTTGTGACCTTTACCTGCAATCCCACTTGGCCAGAAATCACAAATTCTCTGTTGGGTGGACAGAGTGCCAGTAATAGACCTGACCTTTGTTTCCATGTGTTCCACATGAAGCTTGAGCAACTAATGCACGACTTAACAAAGAAGCATATCTTGGCAAAAGTCGTAGCACATGTCCATGTCATTGAGTTTCAGAAGCGAGGTCACCCTCATGCCCATATTCTGTTGATCCTAGCTATGGCAGACAAGCCAGTTACAGTAGACTATTATGACAGAATCGTGTCTGCTGAGTATCTGGATCCTGATCTTGAGCCAGAAGCATTTGCAATCATCAGCCGCCATATGGTGCATGAACTATGTGGAGAGAAGGTCTGTCTTGCTAATGTCCCTCTAGCATGTTACATGAAGAACGGCCGCTGCCAGAAGCATTATCCAAAGAATGCCTAAGATGATACAATTGAAGATGGTGCTGGATACCCTTTGTATTGTCAGAGACAGAATGGAAGATCAGTCATATGGTACAATACCATCCTGGACAATTGATGCATAGTTCCTCACAACCGCTACCTATGTGTAAAGTACAATGCACATATCAACGTTGAGATCTGTACCTCTGTTGCCTCTGTAAAATATCTTTACAAGTATGTATACAAGGGTCATGACCATGCCATGACAGTCCTGCAGCCTGGATTCTCATCCACCCCCCAAGAACCTATCAATGAGATCCAAGAATTCCTTGATGCCTGTTATGTCTCTGCGTCTGAAGCTTGCTGGAGAATCTTTTCTTTTAGGATTCACAGTGAGTCTCCAGCTCACCAGAGACTTGCTATCCATCTTGAGAACGCCAAGACTATTTACTTCCGTGAATCTGACTCTCTTGAAGAAACTTCTGGGTGGGGCTCCTCCACTACCTTGACTGGATGGTTTGCTCAAAATACATTGGATATTCCATCCCACAAGTATCTTTATTTGGAATTTCCTTCGCATTTTACATGGAAAAAAAATCAGGGAAATTGGACTCCACATGGCAAAAAGGAAAGCAAAACCCTTGGCAGAGTCCACGCTGTTTCACCAAGTGACTCAAAATGGTACTATCTGAGAATCTTGTTGCTCAATGCCCCTTTTGCCACAAGTTTTGAGTATCTGCGTACTGTTAAAGGCCGCATATATCCTACCAATCAAGATGCTTGCCGTCCTCTTGGTCTTCTGTGAGGTGTCTGATCCCTTTGCTCTCTGGCTGGCCTACTGCTCTTCCATGGTCAAGGGCTATCTCCACGCTTTCTGACAGGCAGAAAATGACTTCTCTCTTGAGCCAACTGAAGTCATGTATGACAGATGTCTGTGGAGCATTGAAAGCCACATGTCAGCCAATAGTCTTTCCCTCACTTCCTTTTCTGGGTTTGTTCTCACCCCACTGCCACTGGAAAAGAGGTGTGGTTTTCTTATGTGTAAAACTGTAATTAATTATGTGAAAAGACCAGGTTTTACGATGCGATCAGATAGTTTTTACAAGTGTATGAAGCTGGCTTACTCATAGGTGGTAAGACCAACTTTCGAACATAGGAAAAGGTCAGAACAGCAGGATAGTAAGATGTGTTTGCATTTTCTGTATATGGGTTTTTACCACATGCACTAAAACGGCAACTCAGAATTACATTTTGTTGTAATATATCCTACCACTTTCCGATTAAAAGAACGATAAATGAAAGATCGATTATACGGATATGCCAGTTTTTACATTGTTTAATTTATGGATATGCCAGTTTTTACAGGGTTTTGTTGTATTTGAATTTATTTTATCCAATCTTAGAGACTTCTTCTTATACTGTTTGTTTCCATACACTTCTCCAATCTTTAATTTATTTATAATAATTATTGGTTTATTTTGTTTTTATTAGAAAGAAAAGAATATTCTTAGGTTTATAGTACAGTGGTTATATTTAATATTCAGGAACGTTCTGGCTAGTGTTCTATCCTTCATACAATTTGAAATAGCCAATGTTCTGATAAAACAAGTATTCTCCAAACAATATCTCTCAGAGAAAAGCCCAGTTGTGTGTTGCTTGCTTGTAAATGGTTGTTCTATGAAATTAGAAAAGTGTTAGCTGTTTGAACAAGAAATTGTGGATATTAAGAATATATATATGTAATTATGCTTGCAATATAATAGCTTACCAGAGACAAAAAGAAAAGACGTCATGAATGCGAACCATAGTACTCAATATACTTTATTTGGCTATAAAAATGCTGAAAAAAATTTATTTTTTGTGAACTGTGTGGTAGAATATTTCATTTACCTACCCGAAGCAAAAGGATTTATTTGCAGACCAAGAGAGTACATAGGAGACGCTAATATTGTCTTCAGTAAATGATATACATTAATATACAAAATAAATAATATTGTTATATGTACAAAAAAAAATTACCATGTCAATGACACTCGTATGAAATGAAAGTTCTTGATTCGCGATGTGCTCATGAGAGGGAGGTTCATCTATAATAGAAATTATGTTAAGCCGTGTGCTTATTAAAAAGAGATAGATTGAAATAAAATAAAATATTACCATGTTCATAACCGTGTTTAATAGTAGAGAGTAATTTCGGCGATATGGCCTATACAAAAGAAAGGAAAAAGTCAGAATAATTTTATAGGATGATGGCATAAAGTATATTTACTAACCTTAGCTAATCCGAATGGACATTGTGAAGGGGATGCATCAGAAGGTAACAAAACGAGAGTGTCTGTAGTAATAGAAAACAATTATTATCATTTTAGTTATATATATATATATATAATATTAAAGAATAAGATATCTTACCAAGAAAATCTGTGAATATAATAAATGTTGGAAAGAGAGAAAAGAGAGAAAACTTGTAAATGAAAAAAAAAACAAAAAGAACAAAAGACCAAAGGGCCAAAAGGCCAAAAGACAGAAATCATATATTGGATTGAGTTGAAAAAAGCATGTTCAAAGCCGATTTGCACCCCGTTAATTCCAGGAAGTATTAATAGAGATACGTGTATTAAAGAAATCCTGAGTATTTACAGCAACAAGTGTAATATAATAAATGGGTTCTTGCTTTTACTTTTACTATCTTTCCATTAACTACACTTTATTGTTTCGCTTAACACCTAACTTCTTTTGTATGTTAATAACACTCTATATATACAATGAATAGATATATAAAACAAATATAATTAATAATCAACTTACGTATAACATTTTATTAGATAGCTTTCAGACCATGGTTAACAATCGTCAGTCCATTGCCCCTGCTCCATCCCCGGAATATACTGAGCTTTTAAGAAGGCTCACCGCTATGGAGGAAAGTCTCAAGACCATGGATTCAAACATTGGCATTGTCATCAAGGGGAACAAAGATTCATTGGAAATACTTGATAGCGTTGCCGATGCCTCTGGAGAACTTCTTGCAGTTATTGCTCCTACCACTATACCTGCTCCTGCTTCTGTCCCTTTCGCAGCTTCTTTCATTGGTTCTACTCTGGATTGGTATATAACACCTTCTGAGGCTTTTTTTGGTATCTCTTCTGCTGCTCCTTCTGTTGCTCCTTCTGTTGGTCCAGTGGTTCTTACTGGTGCAAACGCTGGTGAACTTAGTAAACAGGATCGCACTAGAGTTTTAGTAAGTGTTGAGATGTACAGTAGTTCATCAACATAATATCTCACACTAAGTATAGGCTCTTATCCGAGGAGAGTTGAAGAAACACAACTTCAAATCAAATAAGCCAGAACTAGTTGCAGCTAACGACAGCAAGCACAGTTGGGATGTTAATGTTGATTACAGACTTCTACCCAACAGACAGCTGATGCATGACCTTCATGCATACCTGGCCCCAAAGGTTGTTGGGACTAGTGTTTGACAGGCCAATATTAGCGATTGTATCTACACAAACTTTTGTGGAACGAGACGCCAAGTCAAGGAATCCTATAAAGCGCGCAAAAAGACAAATTCTCGGTCAAGAAAAGCAGGTCAAGAGACCGATGTATGCTAGAAGTATATTTTGATTGCAAATTAAATGTATTCATATTAATACATTTATAAACTAGCATTTTGACCGTCGCGAGCTGACCTACCATACATTCAAGGCTGAAATTGATGTGAAGGTGGGTAAGAGCTGCGACGGACTCTTACAGAAAGAAGCAATGTCTGAGGGCAAATCTGAAGACGATATGCCTGGAGTCTCAAGCAACTGTGCGATTCGTACAGTGCGTCCAAGTTGGAGAAGCAATGAGGTAATTTCTTTTGTTTACATTATTGTATATAGCTTTTTTTTTGTTTTTTTATGGATTTAAATGAATCAGAACTTTGATTAATCACTTATTTGTATTTAGTACAATCACTTTCTTGCGGTTGTTAATGATTTTATGCGTAATCGCATGGACTTCAATTCGCGTCAGATGTTGAAGAGGCCCTTTGGTATAGATGCTGTTCTAGCAGTCCCGCCTAGATTGACGTCCCTTCTCCCTCACTGGGCTTTTAGAGATGAGTTTCAATAAATTTTGTTTTCTTATCCTCTACATCCTCCACATCCTCCATCTGACAATGATAAACATACCAACAAATATAAACACAATGATTATTCTTTTCTGTGTGCCTTTAAAAAAGGGAGTTATATTTTATTATTTTTTAAATGTATTGTTTTTTTAGCAAAGGAATGACCAGCATCTTTTTTACTTTTCTGCGTGTTGTGTGCTCAGCAGTTGCTACTTCTAACATAATTCTATGCACTGGCAATACACATTGGAAATCGTCAGGAGAAAATGTTGGAAAGCAGGTTTCAACATGTTCGTACTCTCGCGATTGATCATTTTTGGGTGTGTACCATTTGATAAATGCAAAAGTATGTTGAGAATTGTGAAGAAGTTGTGTTGGGCGGCGATGGGTGCGAAGCAAGGGAGTAAGGGATGAAGAGGTGGGTGGAGGAGTGAAAGAATGGGTGAAAATGTACTGTATTTGACCTGTGTATGCGATGATATGCTCACCAGTACTTCTAATGAACTTTGCTTGTACAAGAGAGCCATGGCTTCCAGATTCACCTTTACCCTTGTAGACCTGCCCAAGGATGTTGATGTATTTCAACAGGGTAATTGTATTGTCAACAAAGTATGGTGATTCTGATGCTTGTTGAAAGTGAACTAATTGTTCATTGTTGTACGCAACTTTATAGTATTGTAAGAGATGAACATAGTGAATGTCACTCATTGTGGTAGCGGATTTTAATGATAGAGGGAATGTGGAAGGAGGGAGAGGTTCGTTGCCTTTTACAAGTACATTTGGATCTTCAGAAGCCTCGACAAATGACTGTATGTGGAAGGTACGTTGACAGATGGATGGAATGGTGGTGGGTGTAAAGGAAGAAGTGAGTTTGGTAAGGAGAGGAAATGCAGATGTCTGGTAGGTACTCTGAAGGAAACTGTTGACAAGATCGTCTTTGTGCACATCTTCAATAAATTTCTTCATAAATGTTTCTTCAAACCCGATCTTCCTGTTTGTCTTCAAATTTTTTAACAACCCGTTAAACCACTTGAACCCAAATAGCCAATAACCATACACTGGTCCAAAATCACGAATTGTATCTCGAAGATGGAGGTGTAGGTGCATATTACAGGTGAGGATTTCGGCGTTGTACAGCTCGTCACATCTGGTGCAAAAAGTTTGAAGGAACTGATGGGCAGTGTTGACTTCATCGAACGTGATTGTTGGCTTGATCAACAGACAGCATGCATCAACAAAGTTAATCCAGTTTTCGAATCTGTATTTTGCAAGAACATCTTTCAACAGAACTGGCAAGTATACGAGCACCCATGACTTCCACTCGTCTGCCTTCATATACGAAAACTGCTTTCCTATTTTCGAGTTCAAAGAGGTGTATCCACCAGGCACAATCATCGTTTCTGCAGTCTTCTGCATTGCCGCAAAATTGCCATCTTGAATGTCTTCGTCTTTGATCAAATGATCCATCAATCTTTTAGGCGTTCCCAGGAATAAATTATGCATGGGATTGATGATCGTTCCACATACTAGATCAAGGTATCCAAGGCGATGCAACTACGACCATCAAACACCATTTTTGACCTTCAGCCGATGCCTTTCTGAGGGGGTACAAGCACTTTCCCACTCCTCAGCATGCAACCTGTTCTCTACACCGCCACGAAGCACCCACCAAGAGAAGTCAAACCCACGAAAGTCAACATTGACACCGTTTTCCAAGCGAGGGAAATGTCTGTTGCACTTGTAACATGCGCATGTACTGTTGTGTGAGGTGAACCCACTTGTCTTTCTTGCTGCCGGGATGTCACAGGCCACCATCATCAATGCGGCACAGACGCGGACACCACTAGGACACTCAAAAGTTGGGATTGCCAGTCCCTCATACAATCTTATCAGATCATCTACCATAGGCCAGAGATAATGGTTTATCTCTTTGGATTTGGGTTCCTTTGGGCCAGGCATCAATCCTACGAGATGTGTGTTCTCTGGCTTGTATCTTTCATTGCGAGGCAGATTGTTTACTACCAGGTATATGGCACCAGTCGAGTGCATGACATTATTGAAAGGTTGAAACCAGTCGATGTTGAGAGTCAACATTAATGAACGCAAATCCTTTGTGAATTGCACACCATCTTTGTTTTTGAGCTCCTTCCACATGGCACCATCGTATATGTCACACATCGTATCCACCATCTTCAGCTCGTGATTCCAATGTCTAATTTTATTCTCGAATCCTGGACAAAGAAAAACATTCGTAAAGTATTAACAATGGACTGGTACAAGTATGAACGCTTGGCCACCAAAGCACCCGATGCTGATGTTTTCGTCAATTGGCAGTTGCAAGACAAGCATGCACCAAGCTTTACAAAATTGCAATGAGATGGGACAGATGCACTTTCTTCGTACACCTTGTGACAATCCAGACACACAACAAATTTCTTTATGCCTTTGGTCATGGCTGAGAAACCTGTCATGCGCTGAAGACCAGGAAGGCTCAAGGGCAGTTGGAAATCCTGCTCGTAAATTGTTAAAAGCTTGTTGATGAACTCGATCAAGACAACGGCGCCCTTGTCAACCACATAGCGGGAAGCAAACATCACCATAAAAGTAGCAATGAACCTGTGCACTGGGTTCTGGGCATATTGGGGGTGGCAAAAGGGTCAATTATAAAAAAAAATTAATGCTTTTTTTTTAAATTTTTTAACACTAACTGACCTTCACTATTCAATTCATTGTTGTCGAGCTCAATAACATCGTCTTCGCTTTTGTCTTCACTGATTTCATTGCTGTTGCTTCCACTGTCATCATTGTCACCATTGCTGATCGCGTCATTAGTAACGGAAACATCTTCAGTGTCAGACATTGAAGCTCCTTCCCAAACAGGTGAGTTTGTCTGAGTGTACAATTCTTCCAAGGCTCCGGGTTGATGGGTTAAGATAGCTACATTTAGAATATAACACTTGGTTAATATCTAACAGTATCTGAATTAAATAAACCTTACGTTCATCATCGACCTCCATCATATTTCTTTGGGTAGACATGTCTATTACAACACGTTATTTCATGGATTACAATACAATTAAATAAATTCAAATATTGCACCCCTTTCACATCTTATGGCACTTAGTCTTGCCCTTTTGTTATGACGTTGAGCAGTTCTTCTGGCAACAAAACTATAGCCGAGATCGTTCTGACTACATCCAGCACAATGGCACTTTTCGTTGTAGAGTTCAGGAATTGTGAACATAATGTTTATTTATTTTTACTTTGAAGTGTTAAGAGAAAAAGGAAACAAGTACAACGTTTACTAAATTTACTATGTCTTTATAATGAATTGTTATGTCTTTATAATAATAATAATAAATAATATTTTTGCCTGTTGTATCCAAGCCAATAGAAAACCGGAAAACAGTGTTTTCATCTTGAACACACAAAAAAAGCTGAGATGAAAAAATACCCCAGATTTTCTATTGTTATAATTTAACTTTGTACATGGTAATTCCCGTATATTTTTCTAGTGAACTTCCTTTCTTTTTAATGGTTTGAAATGTAAGAGCATCTGCAGCAGTAGTATTTAGATTCAGTTTTTTCCGATTTAAGTGCTTTTTGTAAATGCTTTTAATAAAAATTGTCTGCAGCAGTAGCATTTCTGACAGTATGTATTTACATGCTCTATGATTTTTATGACTTTGAGCATGGAAATAGATGCTCAATTTAAAAACTTGCCAAGAATTTAGTTTTTTATTTTCTTTTCGCCCCCATTAAAAATTAATATAATAAAATCACATTTTTTTACAATGAGCATCTTCTCTATTAGTATTTCCTTTGATGAACCCAAAATTTCTGGCAAAAGTATTTTTTTTATTGCAAGCTGTTTATATTTGATACTAATATGAAGGGTTCTGTTCATTTAAACAATAATTAATATTGTCAATATTGACATAAAAGAGAAAAGCAGACCAAAGAAAAAGTTCTCTATCCAAGAGAACAAACAGCTTTTCCACTCCTATCTGTTTATTGTCTTGGATACTATTAGAGGCGTTGACCAAAAGAGTGATAAATTCTGGTCGAGAATAAGCAACCACTACTACCAGTTCTTGGGTAAAAATGCTTTGAAGCACAACAATCGTGCTTTGCCTGCTTGTTGGCATATCATTAACAGGGTAGTCAGTAAATATGCTGGGGTTTTGTCTCAAGCACAAGGAATGAATGCAAGTGGCTCAAATGACGAATCTGATGTAAGCAATTAATATGTAAATTATATAAATATTATATTCTATATAATGGCTAAACAAGAGTTTAGGAGTCAAAAGCAAGACAGTTGTTCTTTGTTGATATGAAGTCAAATTTCAGCCTTGGTCATTGCTTCACTATCTTGTCTCAGCACCCAAAGTGGCTACCTAGGGCACCAAAGACCAAGAATACCAAGAAGGCAAGCAAGAAACAAGCAGTAAACGCCAAGGTCGCAAACTCTGCTCTAGCTCATGCAGGTGGAGCTGAAGGGGAAGAGGAGGAAGAGAAAGAAAAAGAAGATGAAGGTAACAGGTTCAATCTTGGCCCTCGCTCTGTAGGTAGGAAGCAAACAAAGGCTCAGGAGGCAAACCAAAGAGGAATGGAGAAGCAACTGGAGAAAGCTCTCTCTGCTCAAGCTGAGATGGTAAAGAAAGACAATAAACATATAGACCTGATGAAGGAAAACACAAAAGAGGTTCAGAAATCAACCAAGATTTTTGAGAATACCACGTTGGCCCTGACAGTGCACACCACAGCCCTGCAAAGGGCTGAAGACATCTGTATTCTGTTTATGGACCCTCTCTCTATTGAAAATCCAATAGATTGCCAAATGATTTTGCAACATCAGCATAGGATTAGAGAGAGAGAAATATGGAATGGGCCTGTGATTAACAACAGTGGTAACAGTGATACTGGAGTTCCTGAGAGCAATTGAGTTGCAAAGAATAAAATATAAGCTTATAAAGATGTTTTTATTGTTTTTCCCCTTCTCTTTTCCACAGACTATCCATAAGATCTTGTCTCAGCTGGAAGTGTTGCTCCCGGTCCCAAATTCTTATATGTCTTTGAAGACAGCTAGCAAAAGTTCTATCAGAGAATGAAATCTCTGATCTAAAAATCAATCTTTGCATTTCTATCAAGACACTCTCCATTTCTAACCTGTCTTCTATCACTACCTCTCTATTCACTCCCTTATTATCACCAACAAAATCACGTTGTGTAAAATTATACACGCAGTCATGATATGCTTTAGAGTATCATGACTTCACATTCTTGCTGGTCCAGCAACTATTGCAAAACATGATTTCAACATGCCAAATTCTTGTTCCACATCTTTTTGTACTCTTCCTTGTATCTTGGCAAAGTTCTTAAAAAAGACAAGTGATTAGTGAAGAGGATTCAAAGGATGTAACATATACTCATTTACCTTCTCCTTTGCAGTTTGAGGATCGTTAAAACTCTTGACAAAAGCATCATACATGAGTATATACCATCTGCCAAATAATATCTCATTATATAGTCGCGGAACAGAAAATTTGGTCAATTTATATTTCCGCTATTTATTTCATAATATACCCTTACACTTCACTTTACTCAATCTGCTAAATTCAATAAAATCTTTTTAATATAATGCCTAGACAACGGAGCAGTAAACCTCACAAGCCATTTGAAAGGCTTTCAGAAGTTGAAAAAGGAATCTTAATTGGACTTTATGAAGATGGCATAAAGATTTCTGACATTGCAAGAAAAAAGGGAATACTTAGAACTACTGTCACACGTATCATAAAAAAATACAATGAAACCGGATATGCTACTAATAAGAAGCCAACAGGAAGACCTTCTAAATTAACTGCTAGAGATAAAAGACATCTCTTCTTGGATGTCAAACGGGATCACCATCAAAACTTGGTTGAGATGGCAGACTTGATTAAGGAAAAGACTGGAAAAAAAGTCAGTACAAAAACTATTAGCCGAACGTTGCACAAGATGAATCTAGCCTACCGTGTAACCAAATCAAAGCCTCTTCTAACTAAGGAGCACATTGCCAAACGTCGTGCTTGGTATAGAAAAATAAAAGGTTGGAAAAAACAGTGAGATACTGTCATTTGGACAGACGAAGTAACCTTTACCCTTTTCAAAAAAAATGGTTGTAGTCATGTATGGCGGGAACCAGGAGAGAAATATCATCCAAACGGCTTGACTCCAAAGGTTCCAGGAAATGGAGGTTTTGTATCGCTTTGAGGATGTATTTGGTCTGGAGGAGTTGGACCACTGGTTATGCTTAAGGGTAACATGAATGCTTCATTGTACAATGAAGTTCTGGAGAAGGAATTCATGCCCTTCTACCAAAGTCTTTCTAATGTAGAAAAGGGAGACTACCTTTATCAAGAAGATAACGCGAGTTATCATAAGGCTACCTTGGCAGAAAAGTTCAAGAAAGACCTTGGATTGAAGATTTTGGAGTGGCCTCCTAACAGTCCAGACTTGAGTCCAATTGAAAATATCTGGGGTCTTCTTGATAACAAAATCCGTGCAAGACGACCTCAGCCTACCACATTGCAACAATTTGAAAATGCTTTGCAAGAAATGTGGAAAGCAATTAGCATAGAGACTTGTATGTCGTTTTGCCTTAATATGCAAAATCGTCTATCTGAACTTAAGATGCATAAATTTAGACCAATCTCTTATTAAAGCTTTTTCAATTTTTTTTTCAATTTATCTATTACATCTTATACAGTTATCTGTGAGAGTACCAGATATTTATAGAACTTTACTATCTTTTATCATAAATTTAAAGCTACAATATAAGTTGAAGAGTCTTGGTGGGGGTTAAAAATGACCAAATATTCTGTCAGAAGTCTGTATACTTGTTGCAATTGACTTCGTATTCGATCTCTGGACCTCGTCTATCAGCAAGATCCTCAAAGAGGGGGGACTGGTTTAAGACATTAATGTCATTGAGAGAACCAGGCTAACCGAAGAAAGCATGCCAAATCCACAGGTTATAGGAGGCGACAGCTTCCAGGATTATTGTTGCAGTCTTCTCTATCTCAACAAAAAGTTTATGCCGAGAAGTTGGGCAGTTCTTCCACTCCCAGTGCATACAGTCGAGCAAACCTAGCATTCCAGAGAAGCCTCTAGATTCGTCTTCTGCCAAAAGTCTCTTTATATCCTCTTGTGTTGGCAACCTCAGGTATTCCTTTCCATAAACTGCAATAACAGCAGCACATAAACACTCCAAACACTCTAGCGAAGTAGACTCTGTCATTCTAAACGTTTTGTCCAGAGCATCAGCAGGAAGTCTGTAGACAAGCTGGCAGAGAGCTACAGATACCTTCTGGAAAGAAAAGAATCCAAGAGAATGGGCAGTGTTAACTTTCTGCTCAAAGTAGCTGTCATGTTTCTTTACGCCCTCAACAATACACATGAACAAGGATTTGCTCATTCCATATCGTCTACGAAACTGTTCTTCAGTGTAAACACTGTTTTCATCAAAGTAGTACTTTCCCAGCTGTACGTCACCAGCATCTCTATTGCAATATACCATGGTATATATCTTTTTTTGTTTCTTCTTTTTGGTATCTGCGTTTGAAAGCTGACGCTTTATGGCATCAATAAGAAATGTCTGAATAATTGCTGCCATCTCTGCATCACGATTCTCTTCCTCAAGAATTATTGTGGTAAAACTCTTGTTCATATGTGCCATATTAAATTCAGAAGCTTTAAAATATATAATAAAGTGATAGTAAAGAAAAGAATAAATAAAGTCACTAGGAAAATTAATGTTTGGAATTATTTAAATGCTTCTCTTTTAATGTAACTTTTTTTAATAGGAAGACATGGCCTCAAAGTTTATTAAGTGAATATCATTGGGATAGTCACAAACTGTGTTTTTGGATTTTATATTGTGAGGGCAAAGGTAGCAGCATATTTTTATAATTTTTTTTGTTTTAAAATAATTTAATTTTTTTGTTATAGTTTTTTTTAAGGATTTATGGAGAAGTCAGGTGAAAACAAGTAAGAAGTAAAGCAAGGTTCAAGAGTAGAGGGAAAGAGAGGTGCAGAGAAGTGGTAAATCAAGTGAGAAAAAAGGGAGAGATACGTGGGGGATGTCAGAGCAGAGAAAAGATTCCTGCTGTGCTTGGAGGAAGAGTTTGTCAATGAGAGATTCCACTTGGCTGGTACGAAAGGGAATATCGTTGAAGATGAAAGCCCAATGTAAGCGCCAAATAGCTTCAAGAGCAGCTGCTATTGCAAACATAGCATTGGGACAAGAGTTATCAGGAATGACGAGAAAAGTGAGGGCGAGCTGGAGAGAAGGAAAAGTGGCCAGAGTTTGAGACAAATTGATATATGTGGACCATACATAATACCATATAGGAAGTTTTAGTGGGCAGGAGAAAAAGAAATGTTCTAAAGATTTCACTGGGTTGAAGCAGATAGGACAGGCGGGGGAAGGATTTGATGCAGGAATGAAACAATGAAGGAGCGACTTGTGTGGAATTTTCTGGTGAAGGTAACAATATCAAATGTTGCAGCAAGTATGGGACAGGGGGAGGAGCCAGAAGCCAGACCAGTCAATGAATACTGGAGGAGGCACAGAAACGGGAGCAGAAGAGAGATGAGAGCATTGTTGGCAATATATTTTTGTTGTCAGTTTGAGTCTGGAGGGATTGGAAGATTGGGGGACCAGTCCAAGAGAAAGCAGAAATGGACGCGCATTGATGAAGGTGTGATCAAATATTGCGGTGGGAGAAGGGGTGATGAAAGTCCACTAGAGGCAGCTGTAAAGGCATGTGTAAAGAAAGAGGACATGGTAGTATCAGGGGCACTGACAAGAGCTTGGACCTTACGTGACAATGTTGGGTAAACAATGCATTCCTGTCGATGTTTAGGACGCAAACAGTGAAAGTGGTGAAGATTGTAGATGTATGCCACAGAGATAGGGAGGTCAGCAATTGATCATGAAAGTGTAGCAGGTGGTGTGGGAGTGATTATGTAAGAAATTGGGATCTTCAAACAAGTAGCCGCAGTGGCTATTACACCTACAAATGTATGTGGCAATTGTTCCAAGGCATGAAGGAGTACGAACAGGGAGCTTTGTCCAGTTTGGAGTATGAGAGGACAACGTTGTGGGAACAAGAAGAGCAACCGGTGATCCAGATCTTTGGGGTCATGGCTGTAGCCATTGCTGTGATTTTGAAGATGGTGCTGTAAAAAGAAAAGCAGACAGGGAAGGACAATAGAACATGAAAAGGACCAACGGGACCATATTTGTGGTGAAGAAGTCGAGAGGATGGGACCAAGCCAACACGATTGTAGAGCACCTTGTTGCAATTCTGGATTCTGCAGACAAAGTCCACCCTGAAAGCGTAGCAAGCAAACTGTAGCAAAGCTGATCTGGGGAAAAATGCGAAAATTAATGAATTGGAATATAATGAATTGAACAGATTTGAAGAAGGATTTAGGTGTTGATACCACGCGGAGCACATGCCAGAGACAACTGAGAACCAGGGAGTTGAGAACAGTAGAGTGACCTCGAACCAACAGTTCATGCGTTTGGCACCCAAGTTTTTTTTGTTCTAAAAGATTGTTCAGAAAGAGATCGCATTGTGGTAAAGAGGAGAACAGTGGGAAGCCAAGATATCAGACGGGGGCAGGAGAGTTGCAGTCGTGCCAGCTGAATATGTTATGCTCAGCTAAAGCAGGGAGCTAAATAGATTGATATATAGACAATGATCCTGAGAGAGATAGCTTTGGTTTTGTGGAAATTCACCAGTGTGTTGGAGGCTTGAGAATAGGTGTACAGATGGTAATGTAACCGGAACAGCTCAGTGGGAGAGTTGAGAAGACATATAACATCATCAGCATAGACTAGAAGTGTAATGTTGGTTGAGGTGGCAGAAGCAGTGGCTACAGAAGGGCGTGGTAAATGAAAACCTTCAAGTTGCATGTCCAGAAGAATGTTCAGAAGAAGTGGTTCGAAGGCCAGATTAAAAAGGATAGGGCTAAGGGGATTACCCTGTTTGAGGTCATGGTATTGTGGGATGGTATCAGTGAGGAATCTGTTGACATTGATATGCAGTTCAGTGCCAAAGAAGAGACTATCAATACATTGGATCATGAAGGCTGGATAACCGAAGCAGGTAGAAACAGTACAAAGATAAGATGGGTGAACACAATCATATGCTTTTTCCTGATCTAGAAGAAGGCCAATACTGGAGGATTGGGTGTTGCAAGCATGTTCAAGAATGAGCTTCATCAACAAGCCATTGTCAGCAATGAACCTGCCGCAAAGAAAACCAGTTTGATACGAAGTGATGATGGCTGCCATGGTACTGAGTATGCGAACACTCAAAATGTGGGTGAAGACATTTGCATCTGTGTTGATGAGTGAGATTGGGTGCCAATTTTTCAGGGAATTGAGTGGAGGTTTTTTGGGCAGAAGCGAAACGCACAAGTGTAACCAAGAGGGAGGAATATCAGACAAAGAGAGAGCATTATTGTAGACTTCAACCACAATATCATGACAAGCTGGATCTGTAACCACCAGTCAAACCAGTTCGTATGGGAGACTATCCATGCCAGGAGAAGATTTTTGAGGGGATTGCAAAAAAGCATCCAGCAAGTCGTCATATGTAATGGGTGCAACCAGAGATTCTGCGGCAGATGAGAAGATGTGGAGGTGTGTAGGAAGGAAGTTCAACAGGTTGTCAATTGCAGCATGGTCAACATCATCAGGTGAGTAAAGATCAGAATAAAATTGCGTGGTAGTCTCTAGCATTTCTTCTTTAGATGTGCAGATAGAAGAGGTCGCTGGATTTCACAGAGGAGGGATCAATTTTTGAGAGGCCCAAGAAGCAATAGATTGTTTCAGATATCCATGTAAGGATTCTCCGAGTTCACACCACTGTAGACCAGAACGTAGTGTCAGGTTTTCCACATGGTATTGTTGCAGTTGTGAGAGTTGGTGCTTAACAACAAGCAATTGCGAAGAGAAGACAGATAGAAGTGAAGGATCAGTCACTAGCTTTTTGGTGATATCTGCATGTTTTTGATGAAGAAGATCTTCTGCACAAGAGAGAGTAAAGGCACGATGTCAACTAAATGCTCTAGCCACTTTTGCGGTAGTAGCCTTAAGTGCTTCCCATTTGGTAGCCGGGGATAGTTCTGGAGCAAAGTTGTGAACGCAACTATGTAGAGATTGGGTGAGGCGTGTACAAAAGAGACAATTATTCTCCAACCAAGTGTGGGCACACCACAACCCTTTTCTGACCGCATTGACTGACGAGGAAGCATGCGTGGCTGGGGATAATTGTAATTGAGCAGACAATAGAAAATGATCAGACCAAGCTGGTTGGACATAAGTGGTTCTACTGTGATCAAAGTGGATGGAAGCCATATCAAAGGAGACAAACAGATAATCAATACACAATTGGGATAGTCCTTGATGAAAAGTTGTATTGAAAATTTGTCTGGGTAGGGTGATCCCATCAGTAAAAAAACTCATCGATGTACTTGAGCCAATTGTGAGGCACCTGTTGAGCCCTTGGGGAAGCAGGAGAATAAGTGTAGTTGAAATCACCCAATATGACCCTATGGCGTGGAGAGAAAGGAAATATGGATGGAAGTTGAGTGCAGAGAGAGGACAAGATAGAGAATTTGTCTTGTCTATTGGGAGGAACATAGATAACTGTAATTACAAAAGAATCAAATCGATTAGTCACATGAGAGACAGTGCTAGAAATAATGTGGCCACAAGGACTAGTAAACGAGTTTCTACAAAAGATATCAGAGGAGAAGGAGATGAGACTGCAGTAGACGGACCAGAAGCTAGTTTTGACTTGAAATTGAGAGTGAAAAGTGTCTTGCAATGTCGAGGTTGCATGCGTTTCTTGAAGTGCAAGCAGATCTAGGGAGCGAGCATGTAGGTATTGAATAAACTAGTTATGAGAAGAAATATCTGCTGTTTTGACCAGACTGCAACAGTTGATAGTGCCAATGCTCAGTTTACATGAGAAGAGGGTATAGAGGAAGCCGAAGGTAGATAGTCAGAGATTGTAGAAGCAGTACAGATAGGAGAAATATTAGTATTAGGTTGTAATAAATTCATCAAATTAATTATTGGGGCGATCCAAGAGGATCTGCATGCTCATTTGCAGAAAGAGGGTCGTTGTCATTGGAATCGTCAAAGTCTGTCTCCATATCATTGGAAGTAGTCTCCTTCTGAATATATTGGGGGTTTTTAGGCAAGCATTGTGATTGGAGCGCTGATGGCCAAGTAGACCACAGTATTGACAAGGCAAAGGTAACTTGTGTTCATTGACGGGGTTAGAATTGTTTGGAGCATTAGGTACTACAAGAGAGGTCTGAGAGCATGTCACAGATCGCTCTAGAGAATTTTGAATGCGTTTGACACGGCCTGTAGTTGTCAGAACATCAGTGGAAGAGGATGAGGGAAGAGGAAGCACCACGACAGAAGAAGAGGGTGTCAAGGGTTGAGGTGTCTCTTGTATGGCCAGAATCTTACAGCATTTCTGTGAGGTTACAGAAGATTCATTCTTGCAGGAACAGGACTTGGCTATGTGACCTCCAGCGTTGCATAGGCGACACATAGTAGCTTTTTTGCGTAAATCGCAATCGATCAGAGCATGTTTATCCGAGTGACAGTATCGGCAGAAAGGAGGTATGGCAGCCCATGTTGCGAAAATACTGACATGGTCAAATTCAGAGGAGAGGGTACCAGTATCCAAGGAGTACTCAAGAGGCTGGTAGGATCAGTTCAGTGAATGGTAGAGTTTTACAGAGGAGTAGATGGAATTAGGTGGGGATAGCACTAGAATGCACTGGAAAAAAGTAGGAAAATACTGACGTGTATATATGGACAAACAATACTAGAATAACGTGATATAGCCTAGTTGATATTTTTTCCACTAGATTTTAAGGTCATCTAGCACTGTATGTGCGAGACTTACAAACACTACAGTATATGTAAATGGGGGTTCCACAAGTAAGGTTTGGTAGCACTTTCGATATACTTGTTATGCTTAATAAATAAATATATTTAAAACTACAGATTTATCTTGGTATTCTTGACACAGAACAGGAAAGGTCAAAGATGGATTACATCATGTATATTGCTCCAATGGTTTATCTGTACTACACCTCACCTTTTCTGACCACCTTTACTGACCACCTATACTGACAGTTCTTTAAAATCTCCAATCATCAACAGCAAAAAAACACGTCTTTAAAACTATGGACCAGTAATATGTTCTTTATTTATTTGGTTTCCCATTCTTATTAGGTTAGTAATGGTTTATGCTTTTATTTTTATTGGAAAGAATAGAATGTTTCTAGGTTTCAAATCTAATAAAGCTATTCTACATCCTCAGCTACTTCTTGCTCGGCAAGCTTGTTATATTTGGGATGAAAAATTTTCTACAAAAAACAAATACCTGAAGAAAATGAGGTGCTCATTACCTTTTTTTAGGGGTAAGAGCAGTACTCTTTGAGAATAGATAAAACATTAGTGATGGGAGTGTGTACGTGTTTTATACTGCAAATTTTATGCACTAATTAATACTTACATTGGAAGTACCCAGTACAAATGAACAAACAAATAAAACATTTACAGTAAAGCATGAGATTATGATTTCTTTGACTATAAAACGATAGAAAAGAATTAATTTTTGTGAATTGCATGATAGAATAATTGATTTATATACCAAAGGCAAAGGATTTCTTTGCAGACCAAGATATTATCTGTAAAGCAGTAATATCGTCTCTAGTAGAGAATATACATTAATATACAGTATAAATAATATTATTGTATATATAGAAGTAAATAAAAGGCTTACCATGACAATGACGGTAGCATGGGATAGAAGTTCTTGAGGAATGTCACGTTTGTAAGAGGGATGTTCATCTATAATAGAAATTATATTCAGTTAGATAAATATTAAAAAGAAATAGATTAAAATAAAATAGAATATTTGTGTCAATATCTGTGTTTGATTGTAGAGAGTATTTTTGGCGATGTGGCCTATATTAAAGAAAGAAAAAAGTCAGAATGATTGTATGGAATGATGGCATAAAGTAAATTTACTAACCCTGGCTAATCCAGATGACTGTTGTGAAGATGGCGCATCAGAATGAGACGAAAAGTGAGTTTCTATGACATTAAAATATATTGTTATTTTTTAGTTATACATAAAGAAGTATATATTTCTTTTAAAACAAAGAAAGTGTCTTACCATAAAACCTTGCGAGTGTAAAGAGTGAAGAGAGAGAAACAGAGAGAATACCTATGACAGACAAAAAAATTAATTCTTTTGTTCTTTGTAAAGAAGTATTTTGAACCAAAAACAATCTTACCAGAAAAATTTGCAAATATAACAAGAATTGAAAAGATAGAGAAAAGAGGGAAATAACAAAAAACGAATAAAAAAGTAAAAAAAAAATCTTAAAAAAAAAAGTGTGTTTAAAACAAAAGACTAAAATAATTTCATCAAGTCACAAAGCAATATGAAAACCGATTTACATTCCAGTCATTACAAGAAGTATTAATAGAGATTTGCATATCAAATATATTTTGAATTATAAAATAAAAAAGGAAACAAGAGTGCTACAAATATTTCATTTGATCAGTTCTAGAGTAAACCAAAACGTATTTTTTATTTTTTTTTATTTTATTTTTATTTAAGCCAATAGAATATATCAAAACTACACCCCCAACTTGATAAAAAAAACTGCTGAGATGAAAAAAAATCCTGACATATCCACTATGATCCAACTACCTGGACAATATGTTAATTGTCCTTATTTTTCCAGTGGTGGCTTAGCCACCACTGGCGTACAGGCCACTGCTACCAGTGACATAGCCACAGTCAACAATCGCGTCAAATTGGCTGAAGTTGTTGGTCATATCAGCATGGAGCTGAGCCAGTTCGCCATCTTGACAGCTATACTGGTAAGGCAGTTCAGAAAGAGAGATTTTCAAGATCTTGGCAGATGGAGGTAGGGTGGGATAGACCGCAAATGGCACGTCAAAGGATGGAAGAATGAGAACAGCATCATTCTTGAATTGGCTGTAGTACAGGGGAGAGACTACAATTTCTGCATACAGACAATTGTATTTTCGGCAAATTTGATTGGTAACAGCCCACAAATGTTCATTGCCATTGAAAAAAGTCTGTAAATTAGAGAGAAACAAAGGCTTTTGTGCAACTGCAAATGTGGTGATGTTGATGACAACTGAATGGTTGGTGGTGCCTTTCAGGAATAGCCACATTACTTGTGAGGAGAAGTGGTCCACTGGAGGAGGAAGTTTAGTGCTTGAAGTGAGGTTTCCAGGTTCATTATTGGCTGGGGTGTTGAGTGTACATTGTGTAGAATCTGCGATGAGACTGGAGATCTTGGTGGATCCTCCTAGTACTGCATGTACCCATGATTTTTTTGCTTGTTGAAAGTTGGTTGGGACTTTAATAGTCCCGTTTGGAGAATTAGTAGGAAGAGTCATGTCCTTTAATGTAACTGAAATTTGGCACTCTGTTTTTTGGTTGTTTTCAACCTCAGATGTGGCTTACACTTTTTCCGGAAATTATTGGTGCAAAAATAAAAATCAATTTGGTGCAAAAATACAAAATTATTTGGTGCAAAAACAGAATGCACCAAATGCATCAAAAAAGATGAATTAAGCAGAGAAATAGTAAAAAAATTGCACCAAATTTTATCTTTGTTTTTGCACTAAATAATTTTTTATTTTTGCACCAAATTTATTTTTGTTTGTGCACCAAATTTATTTTTATTTTTGCACCAATAATTTCGGGAAAGAGTGTATGAGCACTTAAATTAATGCTAATGTAAATGCTACTGCTGCAGATGCTCTAAGTCATGTGATTTAGTAACTTTCTTTCTTTTTAACTGTTTGAATGTAAGTCACGTGCAAAGTATCTTTCTTAAAGTTTGATGTAAGTCATGTGATTTAGTAACGTCCTATGTTCTTAGTGATTTAAAGGTGCAAAAGTAAGTCACGTGCAAAGATATCTCTCTAAGATATTATATAATTTGATATCTGATTAGACACTTACTAACAAACCACACTGATATCTTCTTAATGCTGTTCTTTTTCTATTTGCAAATGAAGTCGTTCTGCAGAACTTACAGACCTGGTTGCAAAAATAGTTTTTTACTATATGTGCAAGATCACTTGTAAGTATGCTAGCAGATTGGGGTTTGCTCTGCAAATATGCAGTTAGAGTCAGTGCAAGACCATGGTTATAGCCACCTGTAAAGTAGCTCATAAGAACCCATTCTGGCTTTGCAGAATTTGCAGTTACTTTTATTCAGTCACTACTGCTGAAGTTCTGCTTTCTCAGATACTCATTAATCAATTTCTATGAGAAAAATGTTAGATGTCTTGGCCATTATTTTCAAATCAAATCTTACTAAGATTGCTGTGTGTCTCTTTCCAGGCACATAAGCTTCTTCTATCAATGATAAAAGACCAGTGACAGCTTCAACACCTGATGTAACATTGTATCTGAAAGCAGTATTCTAAGCAACAGTTTGATCAGAAACAATATTTGCTACTGTCTCCTGAAGACGAGTTGTGATATCATTGGACTTGGTGATACTGGTGACCATGCTTGCAATTTGGTTGGTAAAACTTTTCATCTAAGCATTAAGACTGGTCAGCATTATGAGAACTGGATTGCTTACATTACCATCAACATGTCTACCTGCCAGTCTCATGATAGATGTATACATAACCAATGCTAGACCAGTGTTGTTGTTAGGCATGATGTTATGTGCAATATTCACATGCACAGGGTTATTCTCAGAGGGACTGTTAGCACTATGAATGAAATTGGTGTGGCAATATTACTAATTTGCATGGAATTCGATGGCTGGACACACTACACTAAAGCAGAGTAAATTGGTGGTAAATGAGCTATGCTTGCCACTAATCATAGTAGTATTGCTACTAATTTACTGAATAGTAAGGCAGCATGCTTGATTGGCTTAGTTTCAAACATATTGGTAGTAAACATATGGTAGTAAATCAATATATACAAAAAGTTGTAGTAAAAGCTTGGTAGTAAATTCATATATAGAAAAATTGGTAGTAAAAGCTTGGTGGATTTTATTTTTATTCATACGCTTGCTGCGCAGTAAGATATACAACACTGGAAAAATGACCTGACATACGTATATGTAAAGGCGTAGTTACTTAGGTGTCAAGACAGGGTTTAACATTGAGTCCGGATATATATCACCATGTAACAAGTTTGTCTTAGCACCATGTGCCATGACCAGCTTTACATATGTTTGGGGTCAAATAAAAATGACGGAGATATAGTTCTTTAGCACTTTTGGTGTGTTGATCTGACTTGGGATATTGACAAGAGTTTTTTGAAATCAAAGTTTTATTTTTATATGTTTTATATGGAGCTTTAAAGGTGAATAATATATTTATTTTCGATCTTGACACAGTAGTATAGTTCAACATTACACCTCTTTGTTATCTTTTATATCCAATTAAATTCAATACTTGAGCAATTCTTTGGATTCTGAACCATAGTATAATTCAATCGCTTTTATTTTAATTTCAGAAATTATTTTATTGGTATAGTGTATTTTTCTTATAATTGACAAAAAAATTGTACTCCATCATTTTTTTTAAGACCTAAAAGTGCTGTCACAAATGACAAAACTAAACATGTTTTTTATTTACTTTGTTAAAAAACAGTTTCTCTACAAAGTAAACAGAAAAGATATTCAGTTTTGTCATTTCTGACAACACTTTTTAGGTCTTGAAAAAATGCGGTATTTGAATTTAATAGCAGAGAAAGAGAAATATTGACATTATATTTTTCATTTATAATGGCAGACAATAAGAATAAATCCCCTAAAATAGAAATATTGTGTATTACTCGGTGTTTAAAAGATCTTTTGTTGTGAATATATGAAGTTGTGACTGCATAAAGTTCAATATTTAGGATTTTTTAAAAAATTGGTAGACATTTAATGTCATTTTCATATATCGGCATTTGAAATAAAAAAAACTTACACAAATCTTGAAATTTGCGATTATTAAGAAAATAAACTATAAAAGTTTATAATAGTATTTATTTGGAAAGAACACAATGTTTCTAGAACTATAACAATCTTATAGTATTGATTTATTGGATATCCGTTATTGCTTCTACTGGTCTGCTTGATACTGTTTGAATAGAATAATTATCTACAGAAAAGAAATATCTGAAAATATAAAAAAAAACAGACTGTTTGTTGAAATATAACAGACTTTAAGAAGTATAGACAAATTATTAGCTATGTGTTCTGGGTACTACATTTAATGTAGTATGCTTTTACATTTTGTGTACACTTTTATACTTATATTGTAAATATTGGAAAAGAGTGAGCAAAAAATAGATGTTGCTATTGCTTATCCATGGCGTTCCTTATGATATCTTTCACAATAAAAACAATAAAAAACATTAATTTTTGTGAATTGAATAAAGTAATAAATAATTTACATACTAGTAACAAAAATATATATTAACAGAGATAGATCAACTTTGTAACTACTTGATAGAACTCTAGTGAAAAAGAATAATGTTTGATATTAAGACATTATAATCTTAATATAATTAAAAAACAAAATAAAATAGTGATCCTTATCATGTAATATCATTTACAGCTGTATAATGTAAGGGAAATCAAAGACAGGATCAACAGTGCTCATCTATAATAAGACTTTATTTTAGTAAGATACAGATCAAAATAATATATATATATACTACCTTGATGTTTTTAACCAAATTCATTTGTAGCAGTTATTCTTGATGGTCAAGTCTGTAATAAAAAAAAACAAGAAGTGTTGTGGTGGTTGAAGTTGAAGAAGTTTTTAAGAGGAAGAATTGAAGATTTGAAATTAGGAACGAAGATTCGTGAGAACTTGTGTAGGTTTTGTTTATTGAGAAAGATTTTGTATCAAAGTTTGACGAGGTTCCTACACTGAACTACTACTGCTATTTATATTGTTTTGGATTGGGAAAATTATATGACTGGGGTCAGGTAATCGATCCTATCTGAGCCTTAATCAGAGCAACGTGATCTTAGGATAATTAATGTATGATTAATTATATAAATGTGTGTAGTCCCAATGAAGTATTAACATCGAAAGTAAATGTGTTTATGAGTTATAATTATGCTTATAATAATCCACTGATGTATCCCATATTATGGTGATATCATCATATGAAATATAATCACTATCATGCATGCTAAACCTGTGTGTTAAATAATAAAGTAATCGGTAGACACCTTTGACTGAAATAGCTGAGGCCTTATATTATTTCCTTCAGACTTATTCTCAATTACAGCAGTAGTCAATACTCATTTACAACAAGAAGGATTTTTATAGATATCAATTTTGCAAAATATAATATTGACCTTTGTTAATCTGGACAGCAATTGTGAAATGAATGCATTTAAATGAGAGCAAACGAGTATCTATTATGATAATAAAAGAATGTATTAATTTTTATTGTTTATAAAAAAGTATTTAATAAAGAAGTATGTTACCAAAAAAAAGCCACTAATATAATAATGACAAGCGTTGGAAAAGAGGAAAGGAGCAGAAAAGAAAAAAGAAAAAGATGTAAATTTTTTTTCCGCTTTTGAAACAAAATATCAAAAAGCTTATCCAATAAACAATAGCAAAAAAAAACTGAAAAGAGGTGATCAATTGAGGCCAAAAAATGTATCAAGACCAATTTGCATCTCAGTGTTTCAAGAAATTGTCTTTGAAGTGTTCCTGAACTATCACTACCACCTATAAATACTTCATATTTCTACTTGCAATTCAATTTCACTTACTCTTGGTTATATTATCTCAAAAAATATATGTTGCAAGCTTACTGTAATTTACATAACAAAATAAATACATTATCTCTTATAAAAGAGAATAAAAAAGAAAAAGAACTAATATTAACAATTGAAAATATTATGATGTATTACAGATAATGTCTACCTCTAACCGCATACTCGCTCCTTCTCTTACTAGTACTGATGTCCAGTTGCTACAAGCTTTGAATGCGATGAAAGAAGAGATGAAGGCCATGAAGAATAAGATCACATTGACGGATACACGAATCGGTGTAGTGATCACCAGTAACACAACTGCCATTAATGGCATTGATGCCTTGTCTGCCCTCCCAGCACCTGCGCATGTGCCCACTAGTGTTGCATCCACTTCTGCTGCCCTTCCCACCACCAAATCAGGTGATACTAATGCTGTATTTGTAAGTATAAAGATACAAAAAACACTTGCCAATCTTGTTGCTAATTAAAATATGATAGGGATACATTCATGGTTATATGTGGAACCCAAAGCTAAAATCAAGAGACCAAGCAGAAATCCAAGCGAACGCCATAAAATCAAAGTGGGCAGTTAATGTTCGTTTTGATCGCTCTCCAAATAGAGAGTTAGTCAAACAACTCTTGTATTACTTGGAAAAGAAGTTTGCTGGCACTGATATGAGGACATGCGACCTTCATAAATGTATATACATAAACTTCTGTAGTAGATGTTGCCAGCAAAGGGAACTTCTGGAAACAAGACGAGCCTTGAATACTAATTCAAGAAGATCTGGCCATAAAACTGATGTAAACTATATTTTCAATTTATACTAAATAATAACAATTAGAATATTAATTGTATTGTCTTTTTCCTTTAGAACTACACTTGCCGTTGCCTTGCTTATGATGCTTACAAGGCTGACATTTATCTCAAGATGGGTCAAAACTGCTCTGGACTGACCCAAAAGTTGGTCATGTCTGAAGGCAAATCAGACAATGATATGTCCCCCCTCAGCCAAGAAATGAGATTCGTGTTGCTCACCCAAGTTGGAGAAGTGACGAGGTAAACCCTAACAGTTTTCTTTTTTGAATGATGCCAGACTGAATGTTAATATATGTTTATTACTTAGCTTAACAAATTCATTACAGAGGTTGACTCGTTTGTTGTTAAGCAATTGGGTTCAAATTCCCGTCAACTGCTTAAAAGAGTTTATGGTAGAACAGTGGAATCAACAGTCCCAATTGATTTAGATCCTGCTCTACCTCAATAGGCTCTTAAATATGGGTCATAAATAAAACTCATTTTTTGTCATTTTTTTTTCTTTTACTCTCAAAATTTCTTAACACATATGTATTGTTCGCAACGTATATAATAAGACTACATTAGCTTATGTATTGAAATTTTTTATTAAAAAAGAAATGTATTAAATATTAATTGTATTGTTTGTGTGGTAAAGCGTTGACAAGTATTTTCTTATTATTTGTGCTGGTTTTATAATCACATGTTGCAACAACTGATGATATTTGATGTACTGGCAAGATGCATTCAAAATCACACACAATAAAATCTGCACTGCAGATGTCAACACTTTCCAAGTCTCTTGAATGGTCATGCTCAATCTGGAACCACTTAACAAACACAAACACGTGTTTATTTTGATAAACAACACGTGTTTGGAGCTCTGTGTTGTCTACTGGTGGAGTGAAATAGTGCAAGAATAGATACTGAATTTGTCTAGTGTATGCCAACCGATTATTGCCTTGACTTCCAAGAAACAGAGATTGAACAAATGAGCCATGACCAGAAGCATATTTGCAGCCTTTGTAAACCTGACCAAGCAAATTGCTTGATTTCAACTTTATAGTTTGGTTGTCGACAAAGGAGAATGGAGAGGAGGGATGCTGGTAACCTTCGAGATTTGGCATGCAGTATGCGACTTTATAGTAATCAAGCAAATGAGGATAGTCGCCATCACTCATTGCTGATGGGGGTTTGATATGGAGAGGAAATGTGGATTGAGGAAGAGGTTCATTGCCAAGGACTGGAAGAGAAGGGTTTGAGTATGCTTGGATGAAGGCCAATAGTCTGAATGGGCGCTGGGGAAAAGTTATTGTATTTTTTGAAGTGGAGGGTTGAGCTGTGGCAGTAAGCTTGGTGAGAAGAGGAAGAAATGATACTTGGCTTGGGCACGTGACAGCAGCATGAACGAAATCACCTTTGAATGTATCTTGGACGAAACTATTCATGTATGTAACCTCAAAGGAATCTTTTCTGTTCATATTCACGTTCTTTAGCAGACCATTATATTGCTCAAACCTGAAGAGCCAATATCTATATACTGGTCCAAAATCATGGATGGTCTCGCGAAGATGGAGATGTAAATGCATGTTACAGGTGAGAATAGTTGGAGTGTAAATACACTGGCACTCAGTACAGAATTCTTGAAGAAATTTATGGCCATCGTCAATGTCAGAGAACGTGATGCTTGGCTTTACTAATTGGCGGCAGGCATCAACAAAACTGATCCAATTTCTGAACATTTCAATTGGCAGGACGGCCTTCAACAAGATAGGCAAATACACTAGCACCCAGGACTTCCATTTATCAGCTTTCATGTATGGAAAGCCCTTTCCGATCTTCGATTTCAACACCACGTAATCCATTGGCACCACCATTGTCTCTGCCATTGCTTGCATAGTAGCTAGCTTTCTATTGTCTATCAGTCCTTCTTTTATCCACCGCTCCATCATTCTCTTTGGTGTCCCCAGGAATAAATTATGTATGGAATTGATGATCGTTCCACGTACTAGATCAAAGTATCCAAGGCGACGCAGCTGCGACCATCAAACACCATTTTCGATTTCCAACTGATGCCTTTCTGAGGGCGTACTGTCACTCTTCCACTCCTCAGCATGCAACCTGTTTTCCAGACTGCTACAGATTTTCCACATCAAATAGTCAAACCTACTGAAGTCGACCTGATTGGTACTTGGTAACCTGGTAAATTGCCTCACACATCTGGGGCATGCACAAGTACTGTTGTAGGCAGTGAATCCACTGGTCTTCCTGGCAGCGGGGATGTCACAGGCAACTATATGTAATGCAGCATGTACATTAATACTGGCTGAGCACTTAAAAGTTGGGATGGTTATCCCCATAAACAATGCAGCAATTCATTGACTATTGGCTTTAAATAGTGGTTGATCTCTTTGGTCTTTGGCTCCTTAGGACCAGGCATAAAACCAACAAGGATGACGTTTTCAGACTTAAATCATTTCTCACAAGGCAAGTTATTTATAGCAAGGTAGATAGCTCCAGTTGAATATGTAACGCCATCAAATGGCTGGAACCAGTCAATGTTCATTGTTAGCATCAATGAACGAGATTCATCCACAAATGATACGCCACTTTGGTCCTTTAGCTCCTTCCACATAGCACCATCATAGACGTCACATAGTGTATCTACAACCTTAAGCTCTTTGTTTCATTGTCTGATTTTTTGCTCAAACTCAGAATGAAGAAAGAAAACTTGTAATGATCTCTGGATAGAGTTGTAGACGTATGATTGCTTGACTACCATAGCACTAGAAGATGAAATCTTCATCAATTCACAGTTGCATGGTAATTGAGAACCATGCTTTTTGAAGTCGCAATGAGTAGGGTGAGGCACATCTTGTTTGTGAGCCTTGTGGCAGTCTTCACATACAACAGACTTCTTAATACCATTGACATAATTAGAAAAACCAGTCATTCTTTGCAGGCCAATAAGACTTGTTTGTAATTGGAAATCTTTGTTGTAGATCTTGAGTAACTGATTGATAAATTCAATCAATATGGTGGCACCTTTTTTAACAGGATAACGCGAGATAAAAAGAATGGCAAAGGTAGCAATGAACCGATGGACAGGGTTTTCAGGCATGTTAGGAGCATCAAATGGGTCTATTTAAAATTAACAAAAATAAATTAGAACAAATTTTCTTTAGGTGTGTTTTTAAGAAAACAAAATCATTTATGACTGATCTTCATTAAAAAACTCTTCAATGTCTGTCTCAACACCTTCTTCTTCACCACTGCCAGAGTCAGAGTTCATGTCTCTTTCAATATCAGAGCCATTGCCATTGACCTCGCTGATCTCATTGTCTACCGAGACTTTGTCAGCCATCATGGCAGCATTCAAATCAGGTGAGTCGGCCTGATTATCTATTTTTTCAATGGATTCAGATTAACAGGTTGGGATATATACAAATGTAGTTAAGTTTAGTTTATTGTTTATACTGGTTTTCAAATGTCTTTTTTCTTACACTGAGTATCAACGTCCATCATTTCTTCTTCTTGCACAGCTGTATTTCATTAAAAAAAACATAAAAAAAAACATAAAACATAAAAAAAATTATTATGCAGTAAATAAAAATCAGCTCTGAAAAAAAAACATACAGTTTGCAAATCTTTTAGCTGCATCAGATTTCTGCACTCTCTCGAGTTTTTCTTTTACAATATGATGCTCAGCAGTTCTGCCTGATACCAAAGAGTATTGTAAGAAGTTTCTGCTGCATAGAGTGCAATGGCAAACAACATTACGACGCTGGGTAATTGAAGGCATTTTAAGTATTTTATGTGTTTTTGAGTTCTTATGAATAAAAAAGGGAATGTGTAACATGTACTTTATTTAGAGCGACTTTATAGTCGAAAAAAAAATAATAATTTATCTTAATATTTTGTTAACCAATGAAACAAAGTAAAACTACATCTTTGATCTGAACTTCAAAAAGCACACTGAGTGGAAAAAAATCACTCTTTCTGCACATGTGTCTACCAACCTGGCCACATTGTTAATTAGGGCGGTTTTTCCAGTACAATAGAAGTATACAATAGGCTGTACAATATACTATATGATATACTATACAATGTACTATATAATATAGCATACTATAGACTATACAATGGACTATACAATATAATATATGATATACTATGTCTTTCACATGCCATATAATGATGCATATTTATATAAAAGCTTAATAATAATACTAGCAATATATCTTGCACATATACTAACTCATATATTAGTTATACAAGTAATATATACCTTTAGATATATCAGCTATGAATGGCAGGACTCTTCTTTATGAATTATAATTGTTGATGCTTTTTTATTACACTATGACTAAAAAAGTGGCAACATGTTACCACTTTGGTATCATAACTGTCATTTTTTACATCATAAAAAATGGCAGATATGAGTCTGTATAGTGCGATTAGAGGCACAGTTGCCACTTTTTTTTTAAAAGACCAAGGTTCATTCCTTTTTTTTTGACTTTTTTTATTTTTGGTTTTCTTTCATGCCCCCCTTTTTTTGCTCTACTGTATCCAATACTAGTATATCGTTTCGCTTTTTATTTGCCATATTAAATGAACCATTTATTGAATTGGATTAAAATGAATTGGAATGAATTGAATTGAAGAAGATTTTGCTTCAATTTATGTTTTATTATATGATAGTAATACTACTTAAAACCCGTCTATTAGAACTTGCAAAAAAGACATGATATTATTCAGCTACTGCAGAGTATGCAGTAAAAACCCTCTATCCCAAATGCATTTCATGTGTTTTGAGTACTTCGATATAGACTAGATGACCTTCTTTAATTCTTACCGGTTTCTACAAATATATCAATGTTAGAGAAAAAATAAACAAATAAACATAATAATGTAGTGCTTACCTTTATGTTATACGCTTGATAGCTTCAAAAAATAATTTTTTGCTATAAGTATATATATATTAGAAAATAATATTAACATGTAAGCTTCTTATGTTATCAAAGAGTATTAGAGTGTCTACAAGACAAGTGAAAAAAGCAGTGAGTATCACTCAAAATTATTACTAAAGAAAACCCAAAAAAAAAAATCGAGTCATACAATATAAAGTCAAGTTGAATCTAGTTGAAAACTGAATGAACATTGTTTTGTTAACACAAGATGTATATTATATCAAGGTACTTACATAGAATATAACACCTATCAAGTATAACATAGCAGCACAAGAGTATTATTAGTTTTTTTTTTTTTTGCTCTTTAAAAAAAGAATCTATTATGCTTTATTCAAAAATTAATTGTAGCAATACTGCAGATGTTATACATTAGTTTTCAATGCTGATGACTATATAGATACCAATCACATAGAAAAGGGCAACACATCTTTATTTAAAGAGAAAGAATAAAAAAAACGAGAGAAAGAAAGAGAAAAGAAGAAAATAAAAGACAAATATAAAAACCAAACTAAAAATACATTAAAAAATATTTTGAATCAATCAAAACCTTCTACAATCTTTGGCTTCTCTTATGTGCTGGCTCAACACTCATTTCTGACAGAGGAGACCTTTATAAAAAAGTAAAAAGTTTATATTAGTTTTGTATTGACAGCACCAAACCAGCAGAAACCATGGTAACTTAGAGCACATCCACCATAATAGGCAACTCGCCACCATCAGTTTCTGATATATTATTAGAAGACAGCAAAGAATCATTTGCATTTTGCTGTGCCTTATAATTTTTTTAAACGTTTATTAAAACATATAAGTGAAACCTTTTAATTAATAAACTTACAATGTTCTTGTCTACCATTCTTCTTTTTTGCTTCTGGTTGTCACTTTTGAAGCTTCCTCAAAGAAGGCTTTTAGCACATCACATGCTCTTGCACTTGTAGATAGCAAAGCCATTATTCTTTGCCATTCTCTCTAATTGCATCATGTAGTATTCCCGGTGCTTTGCCAGAATATCTTTTCATTCTTTACTTAAAGCAAGAAAGTCTTTGTCAATGAGATTGTGCTTGATCGTGCAGCTCAACGTCTTGAGCTGCAATTGTTTCATAGACAAATCGTTGTCTGAAAGAAGTATCAATTGGGGCAAAAGTTGCCCTTCTGAGGTTTCTTTACAAACGATCTTTCCACTCCTGCTCATTAAGCAACTGCGACAACAAATTGTATTTCTGGGCTTTGTTTTTCCCTTTGAAATCACCATCTGTACCCATTACTTGCTTGCCAAGCTGGTCAGGATACTCAGTGAATTGAGAACTTTTAACAGACTCGACAACACGTTTAAGAGCTCCCAAAAAGGAAGTTGTATACCATCATATTAATAAGGCAAGTAAATATACAGATATATAATAAATATATCTTACCACTTTACTCAATGATGCTTTGTTGCACTATACTAAGATCTTCTGCACTGACAGCTGGGGCAAATTGTTTGCTAAACTGATCTTGAAGCATGCGTACCATTTGATTTATTTTGGCAATATCGATTTCAATTTTTCTGACAGAGTTTATGAGTGTGGTGTTGATATCAAACATTTTTGAATTGTTAGTTTTTAAGAAAGATAAAAAGAATAAAAGTTGTACTTCCCATTATATATATATTTCACAATGTTTACTCGTTTAACTTCTTGAAAAGATATATAACAGCTTAACTGTAAACATGTTATTACTATGATATTATTTTTTTAATTTTCGACACCAGAATATTTTACCAGTTAAAATAATGATATCAGTGTAAATGGACTTTGTAATAGTAACACAATGTTTAAATATGATATAGTTAATTAAGCATTCATCATTGATCTTGTAAAGTAAATGTTATAATAGTTATACTTATATAATACTTGTTGTCATTGTTGATCAAGATGTGTTTAGCTATTATCATCATCATTTTATTGTTATGATATCATTGCAAGAAATAAAATAAAAGAAAATAAACAAATTATCCTGAGATAAAGAGTATATAAAGCTCTCTTTTATGTTGTGCAGATACAATCAAAATCTTTTTTACAGTTTCATTTTATATACTAAATACTTACTAAAGCAACCAATATGTCTTCCTTCAACATCAATCAGCAGAGAGATAGATTATCTACACAAACACACAAATTCAATCAATGTGTTCTGTTGTTCAACACTTACCATCAGCTTCAGAACCATAAGAGAGATCATGAAAGCAACTTGGCATCAGCAAATATTATTTCACAATATATTACAGAGGATGTTGAAATGCAAAATGATATTAGAAATGACATTATTGACAATAATGAATTAGTTAGCAATTCAGGTAATAATAATCAGTATAAAATTATTAATAAGTGATTGGAATACTCATTTAATAATGCATTATAAATTATGCTGTGAATGCAATGGAGATTGACAAGGCCATTTCTTACAAGGGCGGTTTTAGTTTTGAGGACAGTGAGAGTGAAGCTCACATTTATGATAGCAGCATAATTGGTAGCAATACCTTTACAAAGGCTGAGTCGATGAGTATTCATCTCTCTCAATTGGTGCTTCAGCACAGAATTTCCAGGGCAGCTTACAAAGACATCATCCGATTTGTTAATACAATCATTTAAGATCACAATGAAATTATGTTGGGTAAAATAGAATATTTATATTATCTTATACTTTAATTCCAAATTTCTAACACGTAGTGATGTCATTCCTTTTTTTTAGACCTGGGGCTAAGATCAGTCACAGCAAAATTGTTGATGCTTTGCTCAAGTCCAAGTCAAGTGTCAAGGGCCATGAGTATAATGTCTGTCCTAGTGGTTGTCAATTGTATGAAATTAATGACAATCAAGAATCTTGTGTTGACTATGGCAAACTGCAATACAAGACTGATACTGAGCAAAGTCAAACACCAGCTGCCAGTATGAAGCTCATGTCAGTCGGTGATATGTTTTCTCAAATGCAGGCTGATCCATCCACAAGAGAACTCCTTCATTACAGGGCTAACTGGGAATTTGTAGCTGGTCAGCTCACCAATATTTTCGATGGTGACAGTTACAAGCAGTTGGCACAGCAAGGCTTGTTCTCAAATCCCAACGATATTGCCATTGGGCTATATACCAATGGTTTTGTTAACCAAAAAAAGGGCAAGAGTTCGTACACCATCGTTCATGCTGTTATATTCAACCTTGACCCATCAATAAGATAATAAATCAAATAATATATTAATTTCAAAAAAAAAGTTACTAATAAAAAGCTTAGATACACAAATGAATATCTCTTGCAGCTACACCACAGGAGATTTTTTGGGTGTAACAATAGCTTTCTTGTACCCCCATGAATCGATCGCCTTATTGGGAAGACCTATTTTTAAGGATTCAGATTTTTAAAAATAGTTCAAAATTGGGGAAAAAATAGAATGCTTGCAAAAAAAAATAGGATGCTTGCAAAAAAAAATTTGGTTAAAAAAATATTTTATTTATTTATTTTTGTGGATTGAAAATATTGGGGTCATACAATGCCAGGCCACCACCACCCCTGGCCCTGCAATAGCTGCTATTGCAGGGTTGGCAAGCGTTTTTTTACGCACTAACAGTTAGAAATACAGCTGGCTACTTCAATAGCATTTACAGCAAAAGGGAAAGAAAAAACAAGCTATGGAAAACGCCACTAAATCTTGTTATACCTCAAGTGTTTTATCCCTATACATAACAAAAAAAAAATGATTAGAATCTATAATGTTAAATTTTGAATACTTTAAATGACTTACCTTTTAATAACAAACAGAACTAAAGCAAAGAAAAAAATATTTGTTTATGTCAATATTTAATTCATACACGTATTATTTGTATTGATATTCTTACCTTTGAAACTTTGGCAGATGAAGGCCTTTTTCTATTTCAAGATGAGATGAGACTTGATTAGTAATTGTATAAGAAAAATAATGTTTAGCATACCTTTTTTTTGCAAGTCATTTGTATAAGCCAAGAGATAATATATGATATTGTAATATATTAATAATTATAAACTAAAACTATTAGCATCATTAGTTACCTGATTATGACAGAAGAAATAATAATAATATTAAAAGACTTTGTTTCGAGTCAAGATTCACTTGGCGTGATTTTTTTTCATTTTTTTCTATGGACGTCCAAATTTGCAACAGAATAATCAAATGTAATTGGTTCACCAAAATATTCAAGTCCGTACTATCACACTAAGAAAATTTATATAAATGCACATACAGTAAATTTGACTTTCTCTCTATTGAATCTACTTTTACATTTACACTTACAAACATTAATGAATTCAAAAAAAAAGAAAGAAATATGCCCCAGGAAGAGTATTAGTACCTACTCCTAGACAACCTGGGCAATACAACTTCAGTCTTGCTGAAGCTGAAAAAATCTGTATGCATTGTGAGAAAGATTTTAAATCTCCCTGGAATCTAAAACAGCATTTGGAAGAGTACCATCATATACATGAGACTCTTCCAAATGTTGAGGCCTATGTTGGAGCAGCACTCCAGAATCAACTTAACACAGACCAATCCAACGAAGATTCTATATCTGAAAATGAGATATTTTAATCTGACTTGGATGAGGATATAACTGAATTCAATGTCATTGACAGTGATGTTAGCAACACTGAGATAAGTGATGAAAGTGAGAATGAGAACGACAACGAACAAATAGAAACTTTGCTGCTTTAGGTACTGGCAATTATCCTTATGAAGCTATACTGAGCAGCTTGACCACGTCTGCAGAAAGTATTATCTCGTCGGTGGAGGAAGACGTTGATGTATTTGCAAATGGAGTTTTGTCTTTCGAGAATTTGGAAAGCTTTGTACCTAAAAATTATTCATTTAAGAACCTTCAAACCATGATTATGCTTGCTCTAATCGATGGTGATAATAATATGCTTTCTTGTAGAATTATTAAAAAGATTCTGCTCGCTATGAATCTTGTGCTTAAACTGCAAGAGGAAGCTATCAATACTAAGATACCCTTTATATTACCATGTCTTGATGCATTGTTTAACTTTCAAAAGACAAAAAAGTCTACAATTTCTGTTTTTAAGTCAAAGATTGTAAAATTCGATTTATCTGATAGCACACAAATGGAAGTCTGTTTTAATTTACCTTCAGAACATCTGAAACTTCTTGCGACCAACCCCAAGACCTCAAAGAAGATTTTCTCACTACCTGATCAAACACCATATCAAGCAGTATGCTTGCAACAAGGTGAAAAGTGGAGAACCCATCCATTATTCCAGCAGCCTATGTGGACTATCAATAACATTGATTTCTGGCATAGTGATGTTGTTAAGCTGAAAGCTGATCAAAATAATGTTTGTTTTTTAATAGAGTCTTTTCATACAATGAAAAACTCTTACATATTTTGTTGTGGATATAACATTTGGTCGTCTGGAACTGGGAAGTTTGATATTGAAATCACTTGTAGTGATATTCCAATTGAAAGACTTGATTCTGTCTTATCTACTCCCAGTAGTTCTCTTTGTTACAGTGTTTCACTCACTACTGTCAGTTCTTTGATTCCTTTGCATTCTTTACTGCTTGAGATATCACATTTTATGAGGAGACGTGTTTCTGAAGAACATCGGGTATAGTCCAGCCACAGATTATTCTATAGAGTGGCAATTTCACCTATTTCACTTTTTACAGATGACACATCTGGAAATACAACTGTACAATCAAACCCGTCTGAATGTTGATCTATGAGGTGTGCCGCAATGACTTTCGAAGAGAGAAATTCGATTGATAATATTTACTTCATAGGTGGGATTCGAAAGAAGAAGGATGTGACCGGAGCTTCTATGCTACCAACAATCGTCAAAGACGTACAACTAATGGAAGGTAGCATTTTAATGTACTCTCACAAGTACAAAGAATTTATTTTCGTCTATACTCCTCTTATTTGGATTGAAGCCAACACGCCATGTCATTCTATGTTGTGTGATATACTTGGTGCCACAGTGCTATACCCATGCAGAATATGTTATGTCAAGCTACAAAGAAAGGTAGAGAATTTAAAGGATGAAGATTACTACACCAAACGGCACAAGAACAGAACAAAGCAACATTATATTGCTGCTGCATCCTCTTTGGATAAGCTCATCATAATCCTAGACATTTCTTTGATTGATAACAAGCACACGGCTGAATTTCTCAGGTTTAAGAATACCAGTACACAGATCCTACTGGATTTACAATCATTTGATCCATCGCAAGACACGCCCGTAGAGATCTTGCATGTTATTCTCCTTAGTATTACAGAATACCTGGTAAATGATTTGGTAAATTCAGTGCTGGTAAAGAAAGATGAATTAAGACAACTTACGGGATATTTGAAGGATTATGAGCAATCCAAAGGCATGTCTCGAAAGTGCACAAGATTGCTTAGTGGATGCAGTTCCTATCTTGGCAGAGACTACAAATGTCTTATACAGATTCTTCCAGTCATTTTAGTGATAAAATTTACTGGTAATCCTGTATTAAAAAACATTACTCCATGTTTTGTCCAACTTGGTTGGCTTTGCTCACTTGTATTTATTAGAGCCATAGAGTCTGGTCTAGAAACATATATTCATGAAGTTGATACCGCTGTTAAAGGTCTTATCAAACAGCTTCTGATTTATAATAAAAACGGCAAGCTCAATAGACATAACCTATACACATCGAAACTTAAGGCACATTTATTGACACACTTTCCGGACAACATCAGGAGATTTGGCACCCCCTTGCATTTTGAAACAGAAAAAGATGAGCAGTTTAATAAGCATATACGTGAACACCTATTCCACACCAACAAGCTTAATACGTCTAAGGATATTGGTCTAAAGTTTGCAAAGCAAACTATGATGAGACATATCCTTGATGGTGGTTCATGGCCCATTGAAAATGGACTAAGATTGTCTTGTGGAAAAGGTGTTAAGACATATATTGATAATACTGCTAGTGTTCACAAGTTTTGGAATGTTTTGTTTGGCAGTTCCAGAGAGTTTGCAGATAACAATGATGACGGTAGCATTGTAAACAGTGAACTTTGTGACAATACCTTTGCCTTGTTCATGCCCATGCATGGTGGAAGCCAAACCGTTCATCCAATTATTGGGAAGGTTTCTTCTTTCTGAGTGATTCATCTTCACATAGATCTTCCTACTGACATTGCTCGAAAAAATAACTATTTACTTGCGCAAGAATATTCTGGTATGTCTACACCATTGGAAGAACTAAAGATGATTTGCATTCTTGACATGTACACAAAGGTTGGTGATGCATATGTGATCAATTTGAGCAAGTTCAGCTCTTATTGGCATTTCTACTCTTACTTCTCAACAAGTACTTAATCATCGTTTTTGACGAGCCAGAACCTAATAGTAGGTATGGCTCATATATCTTTCCATAGTTAAGATATGCGAGTGGAGAGTTTTAGACGATGTACGGCACTACCAGAGTCTTTCTGGTGTCTTGTTCTCTGTCTTGAAGGAGGGAGGTGAGATTTCTCTTTATTGGTTTGCCCAGCCAAAAAAAACCATTTTCTTTATTCATTTTTTAAAATTCTATCAATAAAATAATTAAATTTTTTAAGTCGTTTTTTAATTTTGTGATATTACACCAAAAATCTATTTCTAGATGTCTGTATATCCGATTTTATCTTATAGAGATTGCTAATTTTAAAAAAAGAGAATAAAAGAAAATTACACAAGAGATATATTTAACTAGCCAATCAAAAAGTTTTCAAAATTTGGATTTCTTTATTTGATATCAAAAATCTCCCATGGTGTAGAAATCTTGCCTGGTCCCAAGAAGCCTACCCACTTGAACTCTTTTCTGATGCCAATCATCAGTGAAATAAAAGATCTTGAGGTACATGGCTTGGTAATCAAGAGCAATGGTGTTATGTATGAGGTAAAAATAAGATATAAAATAAAACAAGTGCAGACGAGAGTATGGTGAGACTTTGTTTTATTAGAAGAAGTGAAAGAATCAGAAAGGAGATGATCTTCTATTGCTATTTGTATTGTACGTTTATATAGACATTGTATTTAGCTTGGAAATGATATGATGATATCATGTAATGTCTGTTTCTCTACCATTATCTTCTATGATTTAGTTCTTATGTTTTTAGTGTTATTGACTAGAGTCTTAGTATTTGTCTTAGTATGTTCTTTACGTAATTTCCTTGTATAAGGGAAGGTATATCTTTTAGTATCGTTACTAGTTGTTGGTAACTCAATGTACGTATTTATTGAGTGTCTGTACTTTTAATTTAAATCTACAATTATGTTGGATACAACAAATGGAGTTGAGGTTTGCTGTGCCAAGATCCACTTGTTGCTTGCTTCTGATGACATCCCAGCTGTGGATGACATGGCGCATATTGGCTCACATGCCAGTTTGTTTGGTTGCCAAATCTGCGAAACAAAGGGAAAACCACCAGACAATAGATGGCACGGAATGTACTTTGAAGATAGTTCTGCTCCTTTATGACCTTTGGAAGACTTCAAAACCAGCAATCCTGCAAGTATATAACAGTTTAATTAGATTTTTTCTTGTACTAAATAATTGCTTATAATAGATAAAAAATATATATCAGCCAAGCATCTTTAGTGAGCTGTCAGCCTTCTCCAGATCTTCTTTCTTTGCACTGGATGAACTTCATTTAGTTGCAAGAGGAATCAGAAAGCACATTTACGACTTGATCACTGTGTCCCTTACCAAGGAGACAAAATATTTTTATACCCATCCAGATGATACCCTCTCCACCACAGAATACCCATTTTTCATACCAAGAACTAGTCCTGTGACATTTGGCAACTGTATCACAAGTTCAAGACCATATATACCAGTATTATTCCACGGCAGTTTTGATAATGTCTTCTCCAAGATTGATGACACTCATGCAGTAAATCAGATTGCCTTTCTTCTGTACATTGTTCCCACTCTTGTTGTCCCATTCTTATCAAACAGGGCTGTGCAAACTGCAGTGTTTTAACTTGTCAAAGGTTGTGCACTAGCATTGCAATGGATGCTGACTTCTGAGTTGCTGGATGAGATGGATGTGTAAATCATAATGCCTCTAACACTATATCGCTATATACAAAACTAATCACAACCTTTTTTTTAAAATAATAATAACAACAACAATAGACATTTTAAACACTGGCACCGCTATCTATTGCAACAAGTCCAGAACAAGACTATATCTCGTAGTGTCTTCAGACCAGTACAGCACTATCTTGTGCATATATCATTCATTGTCAAGCAACTAGGTCCACTTCGATGCTACTCCACTCGATCAATGGAAAGAGTAATTGATGTCTTTTCCAAGTTAATCAAGTCTAAGTGCAAGGGCAACCATAATGCCAGTTTTCTTGTGGAGCGATTTACATTGCATAACTATGTCAACACGGCCATCAGTATCCAGAACGAAATTGATCTTATTCAGCCCAAGCCGTATGGTAGAGAAAGTTATATGGATCTTCCTAATAATCCTAGTGGTGTGCAGTTGTGAGAGCCATTTCATAGATTTGCTTATTTGAACAATGATTTGGTGGAAGGTGTAAGCGGCCCTAGTGCAAAGGATGTCTTAACTAGATACTATCCATGAACTTTGGGTTTGATGATTTCTGATATTGGTGATTCTACCATTGTTGCTGCTAGTCGTTTATGAATGAATTCAACCGTATATTCATCTTGCATGTATTGACAAAGAAGAAATGAAAGTAGCCACAGTAATCATTACGTAATGTTTACCTGTCCTTACAGAAAGGAAGTATATCATTTTTCAATATAAAATCAAAAGTTGCTTACATTATATTTATTTATTTACTTTAGTAACCGTAACATAATTGTTTACAGCTGGCTCGTTGGTGCAGTGGTATTCTTCTTTCAGCATGACAATTCACTTGGCTCTCTTTATTTCTTTGCTTTTGTTGAAGTAATGAAGGAACATGACGTGGCTGCCCACGACTCATCCGTACCAATTGTCAAACAGCAGTCACAAAACAGCTCAACAGGTCGCCAAACACAACCCACATATGCAGTAATAAGTGTCAATGATATTTGTCATCAATTTGGCCTTACACAATACCCACCAAATGGAAATCAGTTCTACGTAATTGCACCTTATTATGTTTTCAGCAATAATATGCGTATTACAAAGGGCAACCTTTCTATTTTATAACTTTTTTTATTTTTCATTTTTTATATGCTCTATATACCTTATGTTTTTTATGCTTTCTATACGTCCCATGTATTCTATATTATTATTTTTCTTTTCTATATACCCTATGTTTTTTTTATTTCTTATATACTCTATGCTTTCTATTTTTTATTTCTCTATATGCCTTTTTTTTTATTCTATATATACCTTATGTTTTTTTTTTCATTCTCTATATGTTTTACAGGCTGTTACGCAATTTAAATTAAAATAAAATTGTTAAGTGAACAAGAAGAGAGGTGTATTTCTTTTAAAAAAAAAAAGTCTTGGTTTTAAAAAAAGTAATAGCAGTTATGTTTCCATTTTATTCACACATTCCATAAAAAATTAATCCGAATAAAACTTGACATCTTTAATATTAAACGAGATAGACCGGCATGCCTAGCAGAACTGCATTGAGAAGAAATAACCATACTATGAAAAGAAAGAAAAAACTGTTCGTCTGAGTTTATTTGAATTTTGTTATTATAAAGATTTATTGTAGTAATAAAAATAAAGTAATAGTAAGGAATATATCTTGAAGCCATATTTTTTTGGGGGTTTATATTTTGATGTTTTCAAAAAGAAAAAAAAACTTTATACTTTGTTATACACACAATTGGTATTGACAATTTTAAAAAATAAATTATTAAAATATTTGAAAAAAAGAAAAAAAAACATAAAGATAAAGATAAGTATAAGCAGAAATAACATGAATACAAAAAATATAAAAATAAAAATAAAGCATATAGAAAAAGATTGCCATATTTGGATAAAGACATAGGGCAGAAAGCATATGATATGGAACAGATTAGTTAATTTCTAGAAAGCATTTCATTATAAACAACATTGTTTACATAGACATTGCTGGTTGCTTTGGTAGAAATACTGTCCATATCAACCATGATTTTTACTGAGTTTGGAGTTCGGACCTGAGAGAGTGACATACAACTGCCCATGACCAAAGACATGGTCGGGAAGGTACAGACCAACTTTGTCAAGGATCTGGCCTTGGAACTTGTTGATAGTCATAGCAAAGGCAAGGCGGACTGGAAATAGACATTGTTTGAACTCAATGGACATGGTCGATCCAGTTGGGTTCAGCTTGATTCTGGGGATAAGCACCAACTTTCCAGCACTTGATCCAGTTACAATGGTAGCCTTGATGACATATCTGCCAGAGCCATTGCATATAAGGCGGGTACCATTGCAGAGGCGGTAGTATGCCGGGCCATGTTGTGAGTGGTAGTTAACTGGCCGGGGACAAAATTGTGGTTTCTTTGATTGTTAGGGCACTGCAAGCTGTTACTCCATTGGTGACCAATTCCATTACAGCTGGAACAGTGGGAAATAACAGTGGCAGTGGCAGTGACAGTGGTGGTAGTCAAATCCAAGACTCTCTCAACATCAGAAACTTGCAAAGCCTCAAAAGCGGCAGTTAGATCTATAATAAAAATATTAAAAAATAATTAATAATTGTGACAATTTATATATAATTTTAAAAATTACATCTGTCGCTCTCTGCAGTATATTGTTCTGTGAATGAGAGGTCAATTGACAATAGTTGTGTGGGCACAACAAAATCCCAGGCAGCTTCAACTCTTGGTCTTGAAGCAGCAGCTAAATAGAAAAATAAATAGAGTAGAAAAAATGATCAGAATTTTTGCTGAATATTAATCAATTACACTATATTTATTTACCTCGACTACTCTCTGCCACTGCAAAAATCATTGGGAGCTATTATAATAATAGGTCTTGATTATCGGGATATTTTGTCACATAAAAATGAATTACTCGTAAATATTAAGGAAATCATAGTTGACAAGTTATTGAATAAAGTGTCAAAAATAATTGAATATTATATTATTTCAAAAATAAAAACCGGGATTTTAGATATAATGTCTGTGTATCAACTGTTCTCGGAGATCAATTATATAGACTATTCCAAATGCAGAACAATGTATTATCTACCACTGATTACATCTGTAATTTGATGTAGGCCTTGTTTTTGTAATAACAGGAGTAATAACAGGGCACTTCTTTAATGTTTATTGGCTAAATGAATCGAAGAAAAAATTCTCATAGGTGCAAATGCTAAGCACGAGTCTCTCAATTGGATATTGTTTTGTTTTGAAAAATGGTTTTTTATTTGTTTTTATTTTGGATAAAAAAAGCCTTTTTTTGGCAATAGTAAGGATTCTATATAGTATTACTATTAAATACACTAATCTGTTATATTGTACTTATAAATTTTGTTTCAGAATTTTTTGAATTAATAAACTCAGATAGTGAGTATATATGCTTACTGAAGCTATTTGATTAAAGGGAGTAGAAAGATACTTACATACTGTTAGAATAATTTGTTAATAATGGAATAAAACACAGATTTATATTATCAAAAGCTACGAGCCGATGTGTCATTCAAGTACATATTACAAAGAAAGGAATATAAAACATATACATACATATTTACTAAAGGAACATGTCTTGTCCTTGAGTACTGGTCATATAAGAATGTGAAGAACCATTTCAACTATAGAAAAGGAGAGTGAGAATGCTGATATAAAAAACAAAACAAAATAAAAACAACACAATAATAAAATGAATAACATGTACCCTTATATTCTTTAAATGATTTGTTTTTACTGACCATATGTAAAGCAAGGGTAAGCTATATTTAAAGTAGATGTTAGATATTGTTTTTAATACTGGGAAGAAGATGTTGATATAGATATATACGTACATGCCACCAATATGTTTTTGTGTTTTTTTTCTGCACAGGTTATATCAGAGAAATATATGTAATGACTATTTAAAGTAATCTATAGTTTGTAAAAAATGATATATTTAATGATAAAATATCTCTTGTATAATGAAAGACATCTGCATCATATGTATATATTAAGGATGCCTAAAATAAAACATATTAGGGTTAAAAGAGTGTTATTTTTATTATTATTGGTAAAAAGTAAAGAAAAACAGAAAAAGGTGAGAAAATAAAAAACAGTGTTTGAAAAAGCCGTAGACCCTGAAAAAGTTATTAGACTGTTTCTCTTACTTTGAAAAAAAATTGTCTACTAATTATAGCTTTATATGTTTTATAAAACAATTGTTACTTACTATATACCTAAAGAAGTTGTTTTCTAGCTCAATTTTTTTCAAAATAATATATTTCGATCTCCTCGATTAGTTAAATAAAGAAGTATTTACACACTCATACACTTGCTCAACTTGCTCGCTTAATCATTAACATAATTGTTTAATCACTCAATTACTCTATAATTCTTTACGTGTAAAGTACTCTCTTAAAAATTTATTAAAGTAGAAATATCAAGCAATATATACCAGAAACTTATCATTTTATTATATAAAAATACAGATAATGGCTCCAAGAACTAACATCAACCAGAACGCACATACCAATGAATCAACATCTAGGCCATTAATCAACGCAGTCAACACTGACTGTATAGGATCGTCAAATCCAATGATTGCTCTTAGACCAGAGAATATGTCAATTCCAGTGTCAGAGTAGAGATGTTTGTAGACTCAGATTTTCAACTTTTTGCACGAGCTCATTGCCTTAGAAAGGAAACCCGATGTTACATACACATCTATATAGAGACACTACTCTACCAAACCTTATTCAAATTGGTAACCTCTCATATTCATTTATTTTCTGCTCTAAACTAACGGCAAGCTGATAATTATAACACTAAAAAAGTCACTTTTAATTTTAATTTTATAAACATCCTACTATCATGATATGTGTTTTTACCACTTTTCCTTTACTTGGTTTTAAACATGAACGCACATATGAATACTTTCACTGCAGACGCTCCCATCAGATTTAATCACAAGATAAATCTGATTGCTGGAAGAGACAGACTCCTTGTGGAATTGTTGATCCACCAACACCCCTCATATGCTGGTTATGGGCAATTGGGTGTGTTGTGGTGGTTGAAGTTGAAGAAGTTTTTAAGAGGAAGAATTGAAGATTTGAGATTAGAAACAAAGATTTGTGAGAACTTGTGTAGGTTTTGTTTATTGAGAAAAGATTTTGTATCAAAGTTTGACGAGGTTTCTACACTGAACTACTACTGCTTTTTATATTATTTTGGATCGGGAAAATTATATGACTGGGGTCAGGTAATCGATCCTATCTGAGCCTTAATCAGAGCAACGTGATCTTGAGATAATTAATGTATGATTAATTATATAAATGTGTGTAGTCCCAATGAAATATTAACATCGAAAGTAAATGTGTTTATGAGTTATAATTATGCTTATAATAATCCACTGATGTATCCCATATTATGGTGATATCATCATATGAAATATAATCACTATCATGCATACTAAACCTGTGTGTTAAATAATAAAGTAATTGGTAGACACCTTTGACTGGAATAGCTGAGGCCTTATATTATTTCCTTCAGACTTATTCTCAATTACAGCAGTAGTCAATACTCATTTACAACAGGGTGCTGCCTGGGATGAAATCCTCAAAAAGGTCAATGATGCCGGAGGTAAAGGCAACGAAATTGGTGTCTCAACACTCAAGCAGAGACACAAGAATCTGGTCAAGTAGTTCAAAGCAAGACAGGCCCAAGAAAAAAAAATGACAGGGTCAAACGAGAGCTACTCTGATCTCGATCAGCTTCTCTTTCAGCTTGTTGAATTGGTAATCTTCACGTTGTATTAGGTATATTCGTTGAATATCAATGTGTTTAATACTATAAGTTTTTAAAGGAGGCTGAAGGAGATCGGGGTAAGGCCATGAAAAAGCAATTGGCTTCTGAGGAAGAAGTCCAGAAGCAGGCAGCTGCAGATAAAGTCGTGGAGAGAGCAACTTTATTGAAGTCCAACAATCCATTGAGAGTTGTTGAACAAAAGAAATTGACAAATAAAGTAGAGGGCAGTTCTTCTGGACATCTAGTCCATCAATCAACAGCCGACTTTTCTGATGCCAGAGAAATGTTGAAGTCCTTTCGGGATGAATTGTCCAGTATGGTGGCTGGAATAAGTGATGGTGAGGTACTTACCTCAATGCGCAGGTTGGAGAAGAATGTTGAAAGAGGATTTCTAGCTATCGAGACAAGGCAGAGAACACTGGAGCAGAGACAGGCTCTGCTAGAGGAGAGACAGGCTTGTTTTGAGTACAATATGCAGAGATACCTGCTTTAAGGTCTTAAAAAACAATAAAAATATATATATGTAAAACATGTAATAATAGTCATCAAATTTCTTCACATTACAGATAGTTTGGAGTAAAAAAATATTATTGGTTTAATAATCTATAAATGTACTGCTCTGGTGTAGGAGGAACAACACTGTACTTTTTGCTTGTCTGGTTTCCTTCATTATAACAGACATGGAGGTTCTTCAAGAACGTTCCAACAATATAATATAGTCCCACTGGGGACTGACCACTTCTTTGGGTCTGTGAGTACTTTAAGAAAGCCCACAGACTCCCGACATAAGCAAACTTGTGCTCCACGGAAATTCGCACAGCAGACATACTTTTGTTGATAGCAAGTTCTTGCTCATCAGCCGTTTCTAAAACAGACAATATGCAAACCATAAGACTTTACCATCAAGATAGATAACTGTACAATACTTATGTCTTCTGAAAGGAATCATCATATGGTCTGATGTGGTATATGCCAGATCACCATGCAAGTAATAGCATGGACCATTTATGCTTGTAAAGTCAAATGCTACGCACATCATGGCATCCAACTGACTTTTGCAGTACATGTGCACGCCATGATTCCTACCAGTGTCTGACCCCATAATGGATGAAGTAATACCATTGGGTGTTACTACTGCTTGGTACTTCAAACCATGTCCTCGCTATAAAGAGTATATAAATTGAGTAAAGACATGTGTCAGATCTATATATTCAATCTTTCACTCACGTAATGGTCATTATATGCCCCCTTTTGATCAACAATGGGCCTTGCTATCTTGTTGAAGGTTCCATCAATAAACCCAACACAGTACATTGCCAGTGCTTTTATCCAAATAATATATAAAACGTAAGTACTATTAAACTAATATTATATTTTGCAAGTGTTATTTACATCTTTCTCTAATGGCTTGGCTGAAGCGCATCAGGTTTGATTCCTGGAATTGACAGTAGTCAAACTTCAAGGCTGAAGAGAACTTAATATAAATCTTCTCTATCATTTCATTGAAGATGACACTGAAAGTAGACTTTCCCTTTCCAAAGAGCAGAGATAAATCTACTAAGCAAGCAGGGAAAACCATTCTGCGAAGCACAATCATCAGAGCCAGTGTCATTGGCAGAGAAAATTCACTTGAAGTGCCTTCTCAAAAGTAGACAATGTCTCCCATTTCAAGAAGAGTGGCCAAGGAGCATATCTGGTTTTATAAATATATTAAATTAGTACTTTTTTCTTGAAAGCAATGATTTAATTATATCTCAGGCTGCGTGAATCTAAACAAAAGTTTAGAATCTTCATCAGACAAGGTGCTTGGGTCTAAGCAACCTTGACAATGCAAGGAGACAGCTATGTGCTCCCCTTCCTGCTCACGATCTCGGGCATATTGAGCAAGTGCTACTTGAATTTCTTCATTGGTGGGCTCTTGATCTTCGTAAACATCTGCATGTTTCTCTTGCTGTTCAGGAACAGATACCCATCCTCACTCTTGTTCTTCAGCAATACGCCGAGAGCTGTGATTTATGTAATGATTCGTTAGTTCAATAATAGGATCAAAACGAGACATTTTAAGATTTTGTTAAAGAAAAAGGGAAAGGTACTGCCCTTTCAAGTAACAGTAATGTTTTTGTTACTGAATATCAAGTCACAACTGATAATGACAGCTTGTACGTTTAGTTAAAATGAATGTTCTACAATTTTATGTAACAGAAATAAGCTAAATATGGCAATACAAGTTGAAAATTTGAGTTTCAAAAAAAGCCTTTTTTTAGCTAATATTCTGTGCAACTCTACAAATCTGAGTCCACAAACGTCTCTAGTTTAATGATGTAGTCAGTCTTCTCACTACACTCGATGACAAAATGACAGCCATTAGTTCCAATGTTAGTGAATTGAAAGGTAATTAAACACAAACTATATTGTTTTCCAATAGACTGACTATTTGAACAATACAATGCCAGGTGAATGCTCAATCGACTGGCATGCAAGCCGTTCTGGATTCTGATATGGATCCTCAGGACATCATAAGCAGCTCAAGTCACCCAAAGATCTCAGTAAGCTCAAATACTAAAATTATAAAAACAATCTCCCTTTAAATCTAATATTAATATACCTTTAATAGAGTATTATTCAGAGGCAGTTAAGAGATATTAATCTTAAGACAGATGATTTGGAGTTGATCAGAGAGAATGATGATAAACCAACTTGGGATGTCAATGTTGGTTTGTCTGACGAGTTTAACAAGAATCTTGCAAGTGATTTGATGCTTTACATTTGTCGTCAACCTGTAGCAGCCATGGTACCACTAAAAGAGCTATGTGGTATAATTGTAAACAGCTATTACAATTGCTTGGCTGCTAGTAAGCTTACTGAAGAAGACAGACAGACAAACTCTATTTCAAACAGAAAAGGAAATAGAAAGACTGCTGTAAGCATTTCTATTTATAATAATTCAATTTTGACAAGTATACTTAAAATATTATATATATCGTAGCTTAATAAAAGGAGAAAAAGAATGTACACAAAGCATAAGGATGCCATCATTGAAAAGTTTAATCAGGATTATAATGTCGTTTTTTACAGAGATGCAATGTCTGGTGATGAGACAGAAACCAATATTTCTGTTGTTGTATCTCGTCCTGATTGGCGTAGTGATGAGGTAATGTTTTATATAAAATGGTTTTTCTGTTGTTTGATTCCTGATGTATATATACATTTATAGTTGAATACAATGGTCTCTCAATAATTTCAAGGCCTAGGGAAGGCCAGGTGCCTTGAAATTATCAAAGAGTGAAATTAATAAGTTCGGAGTATATATTTCCCGCTATTATTGGCGGAGTTTACAATCTTCTTTAATAGAGAAAAATATATCAAGTAATGATTCGATATGCTTCAATCCTCTATTTAAATTCATTCTAGTTAAATATAACCCCTGGCTGCATTGCTGTTTTCCACCCCCCCCTGTCTCGTAACCAATTATTGTTTCAAATTCTTATTCAATCAAATAATAACAGCTTCTTGGTATGCTTTTAGCTTATTATATAATGTTTATCTAATATCATTTTCAATTTTTTTGATACTTTAATGAAATCTATCAAATCTAGAACTAAACAATAAATATGAGCAAAAAAAAACGTTTTGCTTAATATTGCAAATCATCTTGAGATTTGTGATATGAAAAAGAAAAAGCCATCTATGAGTAACCCTCAATTGGTTGAGTGGGCAAAGGAGACCTTTGGCTTTCATAAAGCTTCTGATGCTTCTAAAATCTCAAAGATTTTGAAGAGAGGAGACCAGGACTTGATAATGCAAGCCGACATAAAGAACAGAAAGGGTGTTAGAAAGGGAAAATGGCCTGTATGTAATATATCTCAATATTATGCATTTTTGCTCTATATAAAAAATAAAATTAACCTTATTATATTGTCACATAACTATAGCAAATCGAAGAAGCAGTGATCTTTTGGATCAACATTGCTGAAAATAATCAGATTCCCATCACTTGGGAATTGATTAAGACTAAAGCTACTATCTTTGCTGAAAGAATAGGCATTAAAGATTTTAATGCTTCTCAAGGCTGGATAGAGAAGTTTGGAAAGCGTCATTGTATCAAGATGAATCAAATTCATGGTGAGACTGGTTCAACAGACATAAAGTCACTTCAGATTGACAAGGCTGCTATCAAAGAGAAGATAGAGGCTTATAGTGCTTGTGACATCTATAACTTTGATGAAACAGCACTTTTCTATGCCGCCCCATCAAGAACAACAATTTCCCACCAGAAATTTTCTGGTTGGAAGGAAAATATGAAGCAGCTTACAGTAGGCCTTTTGTGCAATGCCAATGGAACAGACAAGTGGTCTGACATATTGATGATTGGTCATGCAAGAAGACCAAACTGTTTTAACAAAAACAACAAAAAACAAGAGGCAGTAGATCATGGATTTTCTATGTATCATTACAACAGTAATGCCTGGATGACACGATCAATCTTCCTTGTTTTTCTCTGTTGCTTTGATCGTTCAATGAAAGCGCAAAACTGCAAAGTGCTTTTGATCCTCAATAATTTCTCTGGCCATATAGTAGATTATGTGCCTACAAATGTTGAGCTTCTTTTTCTGCCTCCAAATACCACGTCCCACTTTCAGCCATTCGATGGTGGTATCATTCGGGCTTTTAAGGCTTATTTCAAATGTAAACAGTATGCCAAGGCATATCAGTATATTGGCATGATTCAAAATGACCAACAAGATAAGATTTGGGCCATTAATAAAATCTTTGAAATTGATCAATTGTGGGCCATGAAATAGATAAGAGAGGCTTGGGAATCTGTCTCAGCAAAGACTATTGAGAACTGCTGGAATGCAACAATCTTTCACTTCATTGAAGACAAAGATAGTGAAGGTATTAGTAAAATAATTTATTGGTTATAATAGTACTATAATCTTTCAATTCCACTTTCTTAATATTCTAAATATAATTTATAGATGTAAACCAGACTATGATTCAGCAAAGTCTGGCTGAAAAGGTTCTGGTTGAGAGTTTCTTCCAAACCCTAGACAAGATTGTCAGATCAAGTCTTCTGTCTCTTGAAGATTGTCCAACCAGTGAATCAGATCTGCTCTATGAAAGACAATGCACTCATAGAGTGATCAATGAGAATGAGATTGCTGACATTGTCATGGAAGAGTATGCCGCAGATGACAATGCAGCTAACAACAACAGCAATGAAGAAATTGTTGAAGTGGAATCAGCAGTTCCTTTCAAGAGAACTTATTTGGCTTCGGAAAAGTTTGAGTGTGTTTGCATGCTTTTGGATATCTTGGAAGATGAAGATATTGACAGAGACTTTGTCAGTAAGGTTGAAGGCCTTAGAAACAAGTTCCAGAAAACCGCGAACTCAAAGCAAACTAAAGTAACCAGCTTATTCAAGTCTTTTTAAAATTTATTCTTTTTCAAATAAAATAAAAACAATTTTCTATAAGAAATATATTTTTATTCATATAAAAATAGAAAAAAAAGTCAGCAGCCAAGTACAGTCAAAGCTTGATTTCGTAATATGTTTGTAAATAGTAACAATTACAAATAACAATAAATAGTAAGAACAGATAGAAATAATAAAATCTATAATAAAAACTTTTATAACAAACAAATTAGAATTATATTTATATTTTTCAAGTGAATAATCTTTACTAAACAATTAATAAATGAAACTTAATCAAAATATAGCACATATAGTTTTATTTTATTTTTGGAAAAAAAAATGAAAAAAAATATTTTAAAAAAATTAAGCTAGATGACAACTTGATAACCTAGTGTTTGGCATAAAAACTTAACGCACTTGACATTGATGTCAATTACAAAATCATAAAAAGTCCGAATTAAAAAAAATTAAATCAAAATTTAACTATATTGCTCTCGTCTGATTGGCTGTTTTTTTTTCTTTAAGGATTCATGGCCAAAAAAATTCGTGAAAGTTAAACCCTATTTTTCGAGTTGGGTCTTCAGAGCCTTGAAATTATCGAAGCATGAAATTAAAGGGGTGTGAAATTATTGAGGGACCACTGTAGTGTTACCTATCTCAGTAAATAAGAAGTGTATATTGTTATGATTTAAACCCTATTTTAACCAATAGCTTTAGAGAATATTCTTTTTGTATTACAATAGTTTTTTATACTTTTGGGGGTCAATGCTCTTATTAGGAAGTTACAGATACTCAAATTCATAAAAAAAAACTCAATTAAAAAATAGAATTCTGCTGAAATTATAGTTGAAAAGTTTTATTTATTTTTATTTTCTCAAGTTGAAAATATTAGGAATAAAGAGCCTAATACGCGTCTAAGTACTTAAATGACTTATATAAATATTGCTAGCTAATTGAAAGGGACTATATAAAATAGGCAGAGAAATGGTAGCAGTAACTGATATACTTTTAATCTATACATAAAGAAAAAGAAAAAAGAAAAAAGAAAAAAGAAAAAAGAACTTTAGTATTTGTGATTTGATTTAATTTACTTTAAGTGACATGTGGTATTTCAGGTACAAAACAATAGAAAAATAAAATATTTGATAATAGAGACATATAGAAATACTTTGAGACTGTATATAAGCTCCTTTATTTATAACTAAAAAGTGTCCCTTTTTATAAGAAAACACAATCTGCTCTTGTCATTACGTCTTAGTTTCTTAAGGCTTTCTTCCTTTACTATATTTGGTTATTAGAGTGTATTTACTGCTTAATTAGTGTCAGTGTTATAATTATGACATCAAGTCATAAATCGTACTTCTTTAGCTCTTAGCTATTCTTTTCTCTTTTACACTAGAGCTTTAGGACTTCTTACTAATTTAGCTCCATATCACTCTGACACAGTTTATCCGGCAGTATGATATAATTATCTTAACAATCTTTAAGATATTATCTACAGTACTAACTGTAATAATTATTGGGCTAATTACTTAATTGTTTATGTATATTTTATACTGTCATGGTGATAGCTACTACGCTATCCCAATATGAATATGTTCTTATATGTGATAAATCTAACATCCAAGTGTCTGGATCACCACATGACATACCTTTGATATTGAATAAACATGAAGAAATGCAAAGTCTTGTATTTTATGTTTTTTATACTAATAATTCTTTTATTTTGAGTATGTATAACTTTGATAGTCTAGATGATGCAAGCCTACTTATAATCGAAATGAATTTTCATTAGTAATTAGTAATTAAAATCTTTTAACATTAATAATACCTTTTCACTGATATTTATATCTATGTAGCAGTATTGGCCTGTAACAATAGTATTTAGTATGCAGCAAAGTCAGAAAGTATCATTACTTTTATAATGATTAAAAAAATAAACAAAAAGTTAGTGTAGAATTAAAAAGCACAATGTTTATTTTTGTAAAAAAAATCTAAGCCCTAGTACAATAGTTGAATTTCGCAATTGTAATCATGAATTTTTGCTAAATCATTTTTCATCTTTGAGAATCCCACTGTGATTTGGTTTAGGGGTGGTTGTACCTCAGAGTGTGCCTTATAAAGATATTTTATTTTTGAAAAAAGGACAGAAATGATATTCCGCACTCGATAGTTTTAGCAAGCCAATAATATAACTTATACGTTTTTCATTTCCTAATATATTATCTTGAATATTCTGTGATCAAGCTTTCATTTTAACATCAGTCTCAATGTGTCTAAATAGGTTTAGCAAGTCCTAAATTACGTATCACACCCAAAGACTTTTGACCTGTTTATGATAATTTTTTTAGCTAAATTTTGAATTAAGGGTGCTTATTGGCTGTAATAAGGTTCAAGCTCAAAAATAAAAAAATACGTAGAAGTTTTGAGTTTCAGACAGTTACTCAAACAAAAATAGCTATTTCAATTGGCTGATAACTTGTAAATAAATAAATAAAAATAAGAAAAGCAGAAGAAAAAAGGGTCTTAGACTATTTTAGATAGATTTTGCGCAAAAATATTTTATATTCGACTGAGCAAAAGAGAAGAAACCCTTTTGCAACAGAAACAAATAAAAAAAGAAGTTTTGTGACAGAGAAAAAGAAAAAAAATATATTTTGCGACAGAGCAAATGCAAAAAAAGAAAAATGAGAGATTTTATTGGCTTAGGATATTCAGAATTGACCAAAGACTTTTGTACTTGCAAAGGCCAGCAGCCAAGATATTCATGGTGATAAGACTTTTCTTGGAATAAGCTTTCTAGTTTCTTATTTTATGGTTTTTTTCCCTCTCATCTGTATTGTAATATCAATTTCTTAGTACTTTGCACTGTAACAGACTAATACCTACAAAAATATTTGTAAAGACTGTGATTATTCCCACTCATTGTAAAATTTGTTGTATTGTAGAAAAAATACTAAGTTAATAAAAACTAAGAAAAAAACTTCTAAGTCCCCAAAAAAAATCCCAACTGACGTCATGCACTTGACATTTTAACTGAAGGATTAGTATATTTCTTTTATTTCTTTTTTCTTTCTTTTCATTTTTAGTTCAAGTAAGTACTAATAAATATAATATGTATCTGTTGTGGTGGTTGAAGTTGAAGAAGTTTTTAAGAGGAAGAATTGAAGATTTGAGATTAGGAACAAAGATTTGGGAGAACTTGTGTAGGTTTTGTTTATTGAGAAAAGATTTTGTATCAAAGTTTGACCAGGTTTCTACACTGAACTACTACTGCTATTTATGTTATTTTGGATTGGGAAAATTATATGACTGGGGTCAGGTAATCGATCCTATCTGAGCCTTAATCAGAGCAACGTGATCTTGAGATAATTAATGTATGATTAATTATATAAATGTGTGTAGTCCCAATGAAGTATTAACATCGAAAGTAAATGTGTTTATGAGTTATAATTATGCTTATAATAATCCACTGATGTATTCCATATTATGGTGATATCATCATATGAAATATAATCACTATCATGCATGCTAAACCTGTGTGTTAAATAATAAAGTAATTGGTATACACCTTTGACTGGAATAGCTGAGGCCTTATATTATTTCCTTCAGACTTATTCTCAATTACAGCAGTAGTCAATACTTATTTACAACAGTATCTACTCTGTTATTAGAAGCCCTTTTACTTTGAAACAAGGTATTTTTCTTAACAGAGTACATTTATAGGCTTATAAAGCCTTTATTAATACTTTTGTTTTCTAGATTACGGTCATTTTGAGTGGCTCCATTGTGTTCTTTAGCAAAGGTAAATATCTTTATCTTAATAGCTTAAGTTTGTTTTTCTATTATTAACTTTATGTTTCTTTTTGCTTTAGGTAAGTCATAGTAGAATCTATTCTTTATTGCTTTCAAGAGATAAGATTTCAATGTTTGAACATGTCCCATTTTATTATTAATATTAATCTTTGTCTTCATTTCTATAATTTTTGATATTCTCTATCTGTTGCTGTTTCTTTTCTGCCTTCGTTCCCATCGTAGTAAACAGTTGTTACTACTATAATTTTTGGGCTATTACATAGTTTTTTATATTGTTTACATTATTATTTGGTATTGCAAGGGTATTTTTGCTCTAATTTTTAGTTCTGTACTTTTTTGCGCTTTTTTGTTTCTCAATTTATTTCTCAAATAAAAATTTCAAAACTTTTCAGACCAGATTTTACATAATACAGATTTTACAAATAAGGAACATTTTTTGGCCATTTCACAAAATGGGGGGAGGGGGTTAGGGAGTCCTCACGGCTGCTGTGTATTCTATATAAGGAAGGTTTGTTGGCCAACTTGACTACTATTTATAGAATAGTGCGTTATTCCAAAAACAATCTTAAGGTTTACAAAAAAAATCTTTGGGTGTGATAGTCAATATAATTTTTACAAAGTTACACAATTTTTGCAAATGTGCAATTTTTTTTGCAAGTACTTGCAGATTTTTTTCTACAGTGAAATGTTCATTTTTTTGGGCGAAGGGGAGGGAGGGGGGACTATATAAAGTGTTCTTTAGTTTGCCAATAAAATCACTGCCCTTTTTTTACTACAACATCAGCGCATAATTTTTTTGACATTCTAAGATGAGCAACATCAACAACACCAATGACCATGTCATTGTTAGTGAGACTTCTTCAAAGAAGTATAATGCTGCCCTGACCGAGTTCAACTCGATATTTCTTGTTGGAAGAGAATTCTCTTCAACTGTAGCTATTTGTGAAGCTACAAAAGCATATGGTACTAAGCATAATATTGTATTCACTACTTATTCTTCCTCAAGCACCTGTATAAGAATAATCTGTAAGCACTATAAGAAATATAGAGACACTAGAAAGACTGAAAAAAATGTTCCAGAAGTCTTTGTCAACCAAGAAACCCCTATTTCTGGGTGGGAGAGACAACAAGTAAAGGATACCCAAAAGAGTGGCTGTTCTTGTTTTGTGTATGCCTCAAAAAAGAAAGAAGAAAAGATTGTAGTCCACTCCTGTGAGGCAAAACACAATCATCAGATTGTAGAAGACTGCAGAGCATATGCTATGCATTGAAAGCTTGAACCTGAAGCTATGATTCTTTTTGTCCAACACTTTGAGGAAAATGATGATGTATCCACCATCTTCAATAACTTGAAGAGAAGTGAGTACACCAATGTTATCTGTCAAGATATCAAAAATATCAAACAACAATTCAGAAAGTCAGAAGAAGGAAGAGAAATGTTTAGTTTCATTACTGTATTGTAAGAATTGGACTTTTATGTCCGGTACAGTATTGGTGATAATAAGGAAAACAAAATCAACATGTTGTTTTTCATCTATAAGGATGCCTTTGACAAAGCAAGAAGAATGCCAGAAACCATTGTAATAGATGCTACATACAAGACAAATAGTTACCGAATGACATATGTCAACATTGTTGATACCAGCAATGTAAGTGGAACCCCCCATATGACTTTGAAGACTTTCCCAATTGCTGGAGCCTGGGTAGATCACAAAAAGATAGATAACTATCTATGGGTACTTTGCTGTCTGCACAATTCTGTCTGGCCAGATGTTAATGATAGCAGCAGCAGCTACACAACAACTGCAACACCTCTACTTCCAAGTGTGTTTATCACTGACAATGAGAAAGCATTGAGGAATGCAATTACAAATGCTTTCCCTGAGTGTAAACAGCTGCTGTGCTATAAGCACATTAAGGATAATTTTAAGAAGCAGCTATTGCCAATGATGAAGGAAGACGAGAATGGGAACAAGAGAGGCTTCTTGGATGAGTTAGCCAGTCATCTTGACCAAATTGCGTTGAAGTTCACCACTTCCGAAGAAGAGAAAAAAGAGATTGATACATATCTCAGGCTTGCAAAAGACAATTGTAAAGATCAAGGAAAAAGTGCAAAAGCTTTCCTTGAGAGGTATGCAAAGTGCTATTATATTTGCTGGAAACAGTTTGTTAACAATAAATAATGACATTATTTTTTATATATATTATCAGAAAAATGCATGACAAAGAGAACTGGGTAAACACCTATGTTTTTAAGCATCCTCACTTTGGAAATCGCACTTCCAACCGTGCAAAAAGTTCACATGCTTCTCTGAAGTATGCCCTTGGAACTTCTTCTGGTAAACTGAAGACAGTTACCATGAAAGTTGTCAAGTGGTATGAAGCGTTGGTACGTCTATGCTTTGTTATCTTAAATATCAATTGATTAAACTTTATGATAACAATAACTAATTGAAATGTTTTTGTAAATTTTACAGTTTGATGATCGAAAGCGCAGATTGACAATGGAGTGTCTTGGAGAGAGCACTACCGTTGTGTTTGATAAAATCAATTCTTTCAGGCTGAATGATATTCACCACAAAATTTGTCGTTTTGCAATGGACCACATCAAACTTGAACTTGCCAAATCAATTATACCTGAAAAACTCACAAAAGAGTGCGAATGCCTCATTAACTACAACTATCTCTTGCCCTGCTACCATCAACTTGCGCAGTATAAAAAAATCCCAATTTCTTGCATTCCCAGACAATGGAGAATAAACTACTTAGAAGGAGAAGGTAATGTATATATATATATATATATATCTATACATATATATTATTAAACTATTTTCTCTTTTTATATATAATTATGTACAGACCACTCAATTATTCACAATGCACTACCTGTACCTAAAAACATCACTAAAATCACCACAATAACACCCCAACTCGCATATAAGCTTGAACGGGTTACTCAAATACTTACCAACGCCCAAAGCAAACAACAGCAAATACATTTCAAAGAATACATCGACAAAATAATAGAGCTAGACTCCAAGCAGAAACTTGAGAACCTTAATGGTCTAACAGTAGTGGAAGCCATCAAAGACAGACCTAAAAATACAAAAAGAAAAATGATTGCCCTAGAGCACTGTCTTGAAGCAGAAAAAGAAGAAACAACAAAAAAAAACTAAAACTGAAAAAAAAACAAAAAAAGTAAGTCTTTATTATAACATATTGTTCAGATTTAACTCATTCGACTTTTTTCGATTTTCTAGACATGAATTATCTTTAGAAAAACAACAGAAAGCATTAAAAGAATTATTAACCTAGGTTCACCATGTGACCATACACTTCTGACTAATCTTACAATCGCCCCACACCAAATATCTCAGAAATTCTCTCCAGAAGCAGATGGCAATTGTGGCTATAGAGCAATAGCAACGGAAGTATATCAGAACCAGAAGCGATGGCCTGAAGTGAAAGACAAAATGTTAGAAAACTATTTAAAATATCAACACACTTATTACCAAGGAAGAATGGAGCACGGCCATATGCCTGCATCCACAAACCCATTAATCATCAGTCTACAAGATAAACGCTTGCCCCTCCCTCAACAGCATTGGTTTGGTACAATTGACCATCCACAACTCGTAGCAAATGCATATAACAGAACCGTAGCCGTATATTGGAATACTCCAAGAGAAACCGGCGACTGTCTATTTGTACCATTCACCACCACACCAGACAAATTCGAACCCATTATACTTATTCTAGACATCAACCACTTTCTCCTCGCAAAACGTAAACCAACTGGAAACTTCAATTGGCTGCAGATAAACCCATTTCACAAAGCCATAGTAAAAAAACATAACCTAGAGGACTTTTCCATTCTGTATTAACTACCAAGGTATGGATTTCATAACGGAATTCCATTCAATAATATTAATATTTATCTTATTTTGTAGATCTTTTTATTTTCTTTTTCTTTTTTATTTCATTTCCTTGTTTTTATATTTATCTCTTTATCTCTTTATCTCTTTATTCTCTTATCAAGTTTTATTATTATTATTCATATTATTGGGGGGTACTCAGCCAGGTTGATCGCTCAAATTTTAAATTTAGAACGCGATATTATTGGACTAAAATTGTAATAGCGACGATTAAAATTTGATCGTCTTTTTGAAAGATCAAATTTCGATCAAATTTCGATCAAATTTTGATCGAAAAACGTATGGCTCTCTGATTGGCTGAATCCTTACTTTTTTATATGCAATACGATACTGTTTTTATCTTTCTCCTTAATAAATCATAGAATTTACTGTTAACAAAGTCATGTAACACTTCTTTCACTCCGTATAACATGCCAAAATACAGTGCAAAGCAACAAACAGTTGCTGCCTTAAAGAAATCGCGTAAAATCAGAAAATTTGTAGCGAAGGAAAAAAAAGTCTGGTACAATCTTTATCAACAAGCGCAGATGAGCTGTTGAAAAATATTTCAGAAGTCCTTGAAGAGGAAGTTGATGCAGAGTTGGAGAAGATAGCTGTTGTGGAGGATCTTGAGCAGAACCTTCAAGTTAACAGATACTTACACAAGGGTGGCAATACATTGCCAAAGCTTAAATCAAAGGAAGAAAAACTTGCTTTCCTCAAAGACCTAGATGCAGATGGGTTCAAAGAAGAAATCAGAATGTCCAAAAGCTCGTTTAATAAGCTGTACGAGATAATCAAAGACCATTCTTTATATAAGTCACCGAAAGGACATAAGCAGACTGATGTAAAACTTCAATTAGCTTTGGTCTTAGAGAGACTAGGCTCAGACGGGAATGCTGTATCCTATAGCAGGCTTGCACGAAGATCTGGTGTTGGAGGTAAGCGTCTTTTAGTAAACTGACTTCGGTTAATCTATATAAACATATAATTAATCCATTGAACTAATTATTTTAAACTTATTAGAGGGCAGTGTCTTAAACTTCACAGTTCGTTTCTTCAAGGTAATGCTATCAATGGAAAACATGTACGTTTTTTGGCCGTCAGAACTCGAGAAGACAGCAACGATAATCCCAAGCAATGAGAAACCATTCGGATTTCCTGATCTTGTTGGGTTTTTGGATGGGTGTCTGTTTAACTTGCAGCATACACCGTCGTGGAAAAAGCCAGAATTCTTTGGTCGTAAGCGCACATACTGTGTAAACACTCTTGGGGTATGCGACCATCAAAAGAAAATTTGTTATCTCTCTTGTAGATACTTTGGAAGCATGAACAATGCCAGGGTGTTTGAAGAATCGACCATGGGTAGCGATCCCAATAACTTCTTCTCTGGTGACCAGTATGTTTTAGCCAATGCTAGTTACATTCCCAAGATGTACGTTGTCCCTGTCATAAAGAAGCCAAAAAACAAGGAATTGTGTGATGCGGACAAAGCGTTCAATTCATACATAGCAATGATGAGGATAAAAATTGAGCATGCATTTGGGATCCTCAAAGCAAGATTCTGCTCTTTGAAGCGACTCCCAATTAAGATAAGAAGTCGAAAAGACATGAACATGGTCAATTCTTGGATCAGAGTTTGTGTCATTCTCCATAACTTTTTGATCGACCAGACAAATGACATGATGACAATGACGATGAAGATTTCATGGGAGAAAAGAGAAAAAGAAGAGATCGAAAGGATCAGCAGAGAAGGTGTGACTGGCACTGTAGATGACTATCCAGAAATGTCATTGTCAGATGAGAATGCTAAGCTCAAACGTATCCGTATCAAAGAAGAGATACTCATAAAAAACGGAGATGGGAACCTTCTTAAAAAAAGTAAAAATTAAAGAAATAAATTATCTCAAAAGTAGAAATGATGTATAACAGGTATTCTATGATAGTTGCTGTCATTATTAAATTGATAGTCTTTAACTACCATACGTTTTATTGTAAACGTCGTCAGTTTGCTCTTGCACTTTTTCATCTGACCAGTTTTGCACTTTGGCCAATTCTGCAACTGTTTTCATCATGTTTTCGAATTTTCTGTGTATAAATTCGCATTCTCGCTTAATGTGAAGATCGTCCTTAAGAACTTCTAGCTTTTCCCTATAAAGCCGTTCTATTTTTGCCTCTAGGGACACAGAAGACTCATTAAGTTGTCTCGTCACCTCTTCTGCCAACTCTTTATATTCGACGTCTACTCTTCTGCGTTTTCTAGAAGAGCTTGACTTAGGAGGAGGGGAGCAGAGTACAGACATGTTATCATTTTGGCTGTCATATTCCTCATTGTTGCTGCTATGACTGTTTTCAGCTGATTCTTCGTCCGTGTTGTCATCATCGCCATTGCTTTGCTCGCCGTCCTCGTCATGTATCCATTCCATTGGCTTTGTGGTATCACAAACCGCTGGAGAACCAGTCTTTCTATTGCTCATAACCTTTTCCATCTGAAAGAAAGCAGGGCAGATTTGATTCAATTCAGCTATTGTTATACAAATTACATTAAAACAAAGAGATCTAGAATTGGTGTTATATAGATAGTATCAACTTACACTCTAAGCCTTCTTTTTCACTGGTAGAGCCTTCGTCGTTAGAATTATTTTTAATACTATTCTTCCAAACACGATAGACTTCTCCATATTGTTTTGTCAAAAGATTGTTGAGCTTCGACTTTATTTGGGCTGTAGTTCGATAAACCCCTTGCTCCTGAAAATACTGGTTGCATTTATTCAGTATTGTAATCTTTGACGACTTGAACGTTCGTCCTTCCTTGTCACCGCCAAGATACATATTGAGGTTTTCTCCGCCGTTCATCAACATGAATTGCTGAAGTCTCTCCATAGAAGTCAGACCATCTTTACCACCATCATGTTTGTACCATGTCTTATATTCGTTTTTGATAGCATGGTTATCTTCAGTGGATAAAGATATTTCGCTGTTAGAGTTAGACATGTTTTTTTTTTCGTAATAAGGTGTGAAGCAAAATAAAGGTGCAGGTGTGAAGAAAGATGTCAATTGTATGTTTCCTAGATTATATAGCAATTTTTTTTGCATAATCTTTTATTAAATGACGTATAATCTTGGCATATGAATGTCATTAAAATTTTGGTCAAAATTTGATCGAAATTTGATCGAAATTTGATCTTTTGCCTTTTGGTGTCCTCAACTACAAATTGACATCATTGGCTAAAATTCACACAAGAATTTGAGCGATCAACCTGGCTGAGTACCCCCATTATTTATTTATTTTTTATCTTTATTTTCAATGCTTTTTTATTTTATTTTTTGAATCATTAAACATATATCAAAAATCTGACTGCCTCAAAAAAATGAACATTTGCCTAAATACGTGAAGTAAGTTTAGTAACATATTTCCAGGCTGTCGAGACTGTCCAGGCTGTCCAGGCTGTCCCGCCAATATGACATTTGCCCAAGCACGTGACTAGATGACGTAATACACTTTCAGGCTGTCCTTCCAGGCTGTCCTGCCAGGCTGTCCCGCCATGCTGTCCGTAAGCTTCCCCCTTTTTTATAAGAATCGTTAAATAACAGCCAAATAGTAGTAGCATAGCAGACCGTTTTACACAACCAATTTATGCGCCTATAAGCGTAGATGGGTTTCGACTTTATATTAACTTAATATAGCATCTGCGATTGAAATCAGTTTTATGACATTGGATAATATCACATCATTGATAATTTGCGCATCACTAAAGCTAATCGTTCTATTCTGTAATTTTTTTATGAGAGCATTCCTTTTGTTGTGAGCTGATTACTTTCTTTTCTTTGGCTTTTTTTTATTTCTCTATTCAATTCCATTATTTTTAAATAATTATAAAGATTGTTATTTCAATAGGATTAAAAGGATATAGTCAGAAAAGAGAAATAAAATAAAAGACGTTAAGGTAGCTATTTTTCCATTTAGCTTACACATTCCATGCATAATTAAGTCGAATAAAACTTGACAACGTCAATATTAATGGTGCTTGCCAGAATATAGATTAAATTATTCAAGAATGGAATTCAGACATCACAATTTTAGGTGGGGGCAGACTTTATATAGGAGATAGGAGTTTGCCTAATTGTGGTCAACTAATTTATTTATTTTTTGTATTCTTTAAAAAATTACGGCCTCAAAAGGTTATACTCGCACGTAGGATACTTGAATGAGACAAAGAAACTAGTGACAGCTCTATTGTGAAGAAGGACTCTCGAGTTGTATAGTGTTTATGGTTTGCTGACTAGCTAGAAAGAATTTTTATGGCTAATGGAGCCGTGGTAACAAGGAACAATAGATTACTTTAAATAGGATCTGTTCTCAAGACAATATATCTGCACTCATTAATACTGAGAGTAAGTCGAATGATATTTAGTTGACCAGTTCTGCTAATTTGATCTGTATGCTGGCGAACACAATAAAGATTCTCTTGAAGAAACTTTAAATACTTGGTAAACACTATAATATATACTGTTCTTCTTCTTCTTCTTTTCTTTTTCTTTTTATTTTTCTTTACCATTACTGTTATTATTATTTATTATTTACAGTAAAATTTGTAACCAAACTTATTCGATATTTATAGTGGAAAATACAATAATAAAAGAAAGAAACGACTGTAAATTCGGTTGATTGCCACACACATTCCAGTATGATTTTTCCTTGTTGTAAATACTACAAGAGTTTTGACCAACAAAAACTAAAACCATATATCATAATATTACAAAATAATAAAAAGACGGCAATAATTCTTCTTTTGCCATAAGACAAATTCTTCGCACACAATCAGCATCTATTTTACTTTATTTTATTTTTAAATACAAGCTGTCTAGTCGTTGAAATATTCATTTTCATCAAAAGAAAACTAAAAATGCTCATTCTTTGAATGAAAAATAAGGACAAAAAAAAAGTACAAATATTTTATCCAATAATATTAATGTTTTCCTTTTCTTTTCGGGCATTTTTTTTAATATAAAATATAAAAAAAAATTGTAAAAAGTAAAAAGCCAAAAAAAAATAACAAAAAAGAAAGCTATAATCGGAGATATGAATGTAATTTACGTCATCAGTGACGCAGTCTAAATCGACAATTTGGTGCAGATAGCAAAATCCCGTGCAAAATGTCCTGATGCTGTCCCGCTCAAACACGCCATCTATTCCAACCATCGATTCTATGACCATGCCAGAGCGCAGAACTCGCTCGCCCCCACACCATGGCAGCAAAGACCACGAAGACGTGTCCGATGATGATACAATTCCCCACTCTCATGGCCGCGACAAATTTCGCCGTGAGAGAAGCTTAGAACGCAACACCGGGGATGCTGATCGATACGACTATAAGAAACGTCCACGAAGTAGCCCAGTCCCATCCGATGGTAACCTACTTCTTTCAGCACCCCAACCCCTTTCCTCTCGATGTGTCTGAAGAAGAATCGCATGTCTAAAAAACAACTCCCTCCCTCCCTCCTCCCTTCCTCCTCCCTTCCTCTTTTTTTTGCTCTCTCTCTTCTCTCTTTATATCTCTCTCTCTATCTATCTCTCTCTCTATATCTCTCTCTCTATCTATCTATTATATATATATATATCTCTCTATTCAACTTTACAAAGCAGAACACAGACACAAACGACACGTTGCTCTGTCACCACCTCATGGCATGCGTGGGCACGGCCCCCCTGTTCCTCGAGGTGCTCGTGGGCAACCGCGTGGTGATGCTGAACAGGGAGACCGTTATGTCCCCAACTACGACCGAGATGGCTATGTTCCAGCACCACGCTACACTCATGGGCCTGATACACAGCATCCTGTTCCAGGAATGAATCATCCAATGATGGGTGCGTTAGAATTTCATTTTAGTTAGTGTATATAATTCTAATATTATATTTATTTAAAGCAGATATGATGATGAACAACTGGTCAGCTATCCCAAGGTAATGTAGCCCCATTCATTGTACATTTTCTTATATAATTTCCAAGACAAGGCAAGACAAAGCAAGATACATAATCAATTAAGTTTTATTGTTATTGTCGTTGTTGTCTGTGCAATTTACAATCACCTCCTTTTTTATTTTATTTATCATTATTTCTTTATATACAAAAACACACACAAATTTATATGGATATATATATATATATATATATATTATATATTATATATTATAAACGAACGTTACTTTCTTTAATATTGCGCTGTACTAACCAACATGCATATATATTATATTATTATTTTTAAAAAAAATTGAATCTCTCACATACATATTTATATATATAATAGACCTCCTACTGTAGATCCACAGCAGTTGACTTTCCTTATGCCTTACAAACAATTTGCTGAGAACCTGCGCAACACACACGCTAGAAGTTATTTCACTGAAGAAGAGCTTCACACCCGCTACACACTTTACAAACATTCATTTGCCACTCGCCAACTGACTGAATTCTTCAAGATCAACAAGGAGAAGATATGGTTCCAAGAAAAATATCATCCTCGCCTTTCTCTTCCACGTGAAGAAGATATGAAAAAACGAAGACGCCGTTATCTGGAATCCTTTTTGGCCGCAATCGGACGTGGAGAATATGACGATGTGTGCTACGACGGACATCCTGATCAAATCCCAGCACAAGAGGCCAAAGAGGAAACTACAGCAACCCAAGAGGAATCTGAGGAGTATGAGAATAGACTAGTCATAAAGACAGTCCCACCAACAATTCCACGCGAGAAAATTATTGAGGTGAGTGACGGGAAAATGGCAAATTAAAACATAAAAATAAATGATGATTAGGGTGAAGGATAAGCATGTGAATGTGTGTTCTAGAGAGAGAGAGAGATAGAAAAAAAATAGGCTACTAATCAGATTCGGCTTTATTTCAATTTATTATTTTAAAGATGTGTAGCAAAGTAGAAGGTTTCGATTATCTTGCTTTGTCTGAACCTAATATAAGCAAGAAATTCCACCGCGTGGGATGGATCAATTTTAAACCTGGTACTGACATTCAAGCTGCACATGCACAGCTAGATAGTCAGAAAGTAAGTTAAAATACTAAATAAGGATGTCTATTTTATTTTATCTTGTGTGTATATATGTGTGTACGTTTGTCTTATTTACAACACTCTACTCTACTTTACTCTATTTATGCAATTACTTGTAGGTCGATGATTTCATATTCCATGTGGCGATGAACAAAAAGAACCAGATGCAATCACGTATTCCTCGCTTCACGTTTGACATCTCCAATTCACACAGTCGTCTCAAGATAGATCTTGAGCAAGCAAAAGAATTAGCTAAGCGATTAGAGCAATCACTAGGTGAGGATGTTCGTGGAATTGATACTGTTGTAGAACGAGCAAAGCATGTTATAAAAGAGCAGACCGATGTCAAGATGGAAAGTCTGGCAGACGAAGGTGTCAATTCGGATGGCGAACTACCCGAAAAGTCTCAACCCGAGCAAGAACTCGAAAAGAAAAACATTAAGAAAGAGTTGGATATGATTATTGCCTATCTGAGAAATGTCCACATGTACTGCTACTATTGTGGTCTTGAATGTGATTCGGTAGAAGAACTGTCTCGAAAGTGTGTTGAGCCTCATTATCGCCGTGTGTCGAATGAGCGTGGGACAGTAAAGTACCCAAAGAACGACAAAGGTAAATATATTTGCTATCTTAAGATTTAGATTTATATATGTAATGATTGGAAACCTGATAAGAAAAGGAGGGGATAAGCCATATACTTGATGCCATTGATTTATATATCATATATCATGTACCACAATTTACCTAATCTTTAATTTTTATTGTTTCTTAACAGCTGTGTATTGGCTTCACAATCTGGATCAAAGAATTGATCTAAAGCTCCATACACCAACTGACAACAAATTGGAAAGCCTAGGCGGAAAGGTTCTTGAATCGTAAGTGACATCGTTTACTTGGTAAAAAAATTATTTACTTGACAAAGGTTTCTCACATAATTATTATTTTTTATTATCTAAAAAAAATTGTAGGGAATTGTCTAATTATGTGAAAACACAGGTTCACAAAGAACATGAAGCTAAATATAAGTGCAAAGTTGGTGATTGCTCCAAAGCATTCAAGGGCTATGATTTTGTGGAAAAACACATTTTCTCAAAACATCCTGAAGAAATTGAGCAGATCAAAGAGGAGGTCAACTACTTCAATAACTACGTTTGCGATCCCAATCATATGCTGCCCGTTGCAAATTCTGTTCCTGGCCCAACACCCAACAAACAACACAATGTTCAGTACATCCCAACTCCTAATGGTGCTAGCGGTGGTGGAGGTGGGGCCGGTGGTGCTGGTGGTGCAGGTGTCGGTGGTGGAGCCGGTGGACCATCTTCACCGTTTATGATGAATACAATGAACGGAATGCGGGCCCCACATGGAATGATGCCCATGCAGGCAGCTCCTGGATCACCTTGGAAGCAAATCCCAAGAATTGGATTTGGTGACAATAACAATTCATGGAACTCATTAAACATGCCTGGTAGAGAGGCATCTCGACCAAGTGGGAGTGCTAATAATGGAGCAGCGTCACGCGCAATAAGGTACATTTCGTGTGTGTGTGTATATAAAGCAAAGGAGGTGAAATTGACAAGAAAGTTACCTATGTTGGATGGGTTCGATTTGTTTTTTCTTTCTTTTTCTTTTTTGTAGTATGGACTTGGATGCTTTCCCACGCGATCCTCGCCAAGTCAAGTCTTATGTTGATTTGGATGCACCTGCTGAAGGAGATGCTAACATCGCGTTTTATTAACCTACCAACCTTGTCCCTTTTGTCCCTTTGAGCTGATTTCCGTTTTTCTTCCTTTTCTTTTTTTTTCCTTTACCTTTTCCTTTTTTTTCACATCTTCATGTCTTCTTTATTTTTATTTTTTGGCCTTCGCACATTCTTACATTGGCTACAATAAAAAAAAACACACGCACAAATACAATTATCAATACAAATCCAAGTACAAATGCAACTATGCTTATGATTCAGTTTCTGTTAGAATTCAATGAAAGTGTAAGGTGTTATTCATTGTCTGTCGGAGAAGTGCATTGTGGCTTGACTAACGAAAAGGCCAAATACTCTTTTCGTTTTAGAAACTATACAAGTCTTTGACTATTATTTTTTTCTTATTTAAATAAGTAATTATTTATTATTTTCTCTTATCGTTCTTTTATTTGTTCTTTATTCTTTTTTTTTTGTTTGTTTGTTTTTCCTGTCAAATAATTTATTCTTATTACTATTATTAATTTATAAAAAGAATAATAATAGGAATAGAACAACAATAGAATAAAACAAAACTAATAGCAAGAAGAGGAAGAAGGAAAGAAAAAGATAAAAAACGAAATCATACGATCGTCAGACATGAGCAATTTCACTACCAATGAGAGTGCATTAAATAGTTTAATTGCCCTTTTGGGAGAACGCAAGGAACAACCCAATGACAGTGAATTGGAAGCACGTTTCTATGAACAGGTCATCATCTACTTATTATCGGATCGATCGGATCATTGGTGGTGTGATCCATCGGTTGCTCCTATTGCAAGAGAATCACTTTGGTTCTTTTCTCTTCCAGAGCACGAAAACATATTGCAGTACAAAAAGAAATTGAGCACACAATTGCAAAAATGCATCCATTGCGTCCAAGAGTATCATTCTTCCAAGAAGATTGTTAGGCAAACGTAAGAAAAGAAAGACAAAAAAAAAGTAATAATCCAAAAATATAAATCAGTGATTCTGATCACCTATTTGTTTATTTGTTTGTTTTTTGTTTGCCTTCTTGTATATATATTTTCTCCCTCTCCCTTTCTCATTTTCCTTTTATCTATTCATTTACATTATCTTTAAAAAAACGCATGCACACACAAACAGCTACAACTCTTTATTCTCTCATGAGAACGTGGAAGGATTCTTTAGCCAACTGGACGCCTTCGACCTCAAACGACTCGTAGACATTCTTCAGAGAGCCGACTCATCTTCCACCACCCAATTCATCTTGAGCGATGCCCTCAAATGCGCCATTAGTGACATATTACTCAACCCTAGACATCTAAATGACGAAACATGCGATAGACTATTTTGTCGTTTATTCGAAAAGATCCAAAAGACAGCAACATTTCCGACATTCGGTAGTATATCAGTGGATGGATTTATCTTACTCTCCTTCCATCACCACACAATTATTCGTTACTGGGCAAGAAAATCACTAGAAAAACTTTCCACGGATGGAATTACTCTCAATGACACCAGTATTACTTTACTTCGTCAAACCCTCGTATATCTGTTCGGATGCCTGTCAAGCAAACCTGAAGCAAAGACATCTTTTAAACTCTGTCAATTCAAAACCACTCTGGACTCTGCAGAAATGTGGAAAATATTACGCTGTGTGGTTTCCATGGTCGACACAGACATCATTGAATCAATTATGAAAGAAGAAAAGGTTGACATGGTAGCATTATTGACTACACAATTAGAAGGCCCTTCGAGTGGTTTGCTGGGCATCCTCAAATCAATTACTGTCTTGTTTTCAAAACTAAAGTTCAAAATCTGGGGGGACCTTAATTCTTCAAATTCGATTTCTTATGGCAATCTCTTCGAGACTATCCTTAAGACACCCGGATTTCTGCAGGCGATGAAGATTGTTCACGAAAACAATATTGGAAAGGTTCTATTACGGGATGGATCCGTGTATCCGCAAGACAAATTGGTCATTAAAATGAAGGGTCTACTGGAGTGGATACACCCGTTCTGGAATTCTTTGCGAAACACACCAGCAGAAGCAAGTGTGACAGACAAAGTACTTTCGACCCTTTTTGAATACTTTCAGCAGAATGGCTGGTCCATTATGTGCAAGGCGTATTGCGGAGAACTAGGTCTCAAGATCATAGAAGAGTGCATGGAAGACGGCTCGCAAAAAGCAGATAAAATAGAAGAGTATGCCTCAAAACTCGTCTCATTCTTGCTCTTTTCTGCCAATGATCTCCCTCCTTCCCTTTCACACATCCCAGAATACATCAATCAGGTTGTTACCAAAATTCTTGAGCACAGTGTGGACGTTGTTCGAATCATATATGTTGAGCTGGCAAGATCTGGAGATGCTGGCAACAATTGCTCTGTGATCTTAATGCAATCAACAACCTTGTGGAAAGCAGTGTGGGCCAAACTATCGAGAACAGTAACCCCTCAGAGATTCCAACTTGTCCAGCCTGTCATTTGTGCGTACGCGAAAATTGCATCTATTGATATACCTCGCCAATCAACTGAGAAGGATTGCATTAATAAGTCCAAGAACGGGGAAATTGCTATGACTTGCGTGGACACTATTCGCTCCGCCTGTATGCTTGCTATCTTGGACGCTCTCAAACAATCTGATGCACAAAAAAAGGCGATATTTTACAGTTCAGACATGGTAAATCCAATGATCCGGCTCTTGACATCTGCGCACAAAGACATTCGGGAAGCAATATCGATTCTTATTTTCGGTACAAACCCAGGCGACAAGAATGCACTCGATTTCCCTACGTTCTTCAGAATCAACCCTTCAAGGATAATCGAAGGTTTCACGTCGTCTGTAAATGAGTTCAATGAGCTTTCGGTAACCAATGTGGATGTGTTTAATTCCGTCTCAGCTGTGGTTCAAAGTCTTGCCAACATTATTAATTCTCTTGTTACTGGCGATAATCCATACATGACACAGCTCGAAAAAAGTACCGAGCCTCTTACAAATGACGAACATGTGTATATTCGCATCTTTTGGGAAACATGCTGGAAAACGATCAGTTTGATATTCAGTAATGGAATCAAATGGGCTGAACAGAATACACCTCGACAAGTACTGGATACAATTGTTCCTGTTCTCGATATTGCAAATCTCATTACTTCTTCTCGCCAACTCTTTGTAAAAATTGTGCACAAAGGTGAAAAGGATGCAATAACAGGCTTTGATGCTATGGATGTTGAAGATACATCTTTAAAGTACGATTACGTTGTAGAAGCTGTGGACTCGCTTTCACTTTGGGTTTACGTAACTCGTAGGGCGGTTATCGATCGTTTAATTCCACTACTTGTTAAGATTTTGAATGAACTGCAACAGATCGATATTAGAATCTCACTCAAATCGTATGAAAAGTTGATGACAGCAGCTACTCAACCAAACCCAGGGCACCAAATTAAATTAAACGATGAAGACAAGAGACTACTTCTGTCTGCTCTGATGTCACATGAGCCAGGAGGAAACATCTTCTTAGATGATAGTGACGATGAGGAGCTAGAGTGGCAAGTATTGGATTCTCCAGCAAATACTGCTTCTCCTGTTTTGTCTCCTGCTACATCAACTAGCGTCTTTTCTGAACAAAGGCGTCAAAATCAACAACTTGCACCGCCACCGACACCAGTATCATCCCAAAAACAGCAGCAGCAACAACAACAACAAAATCAAAGAATGCGTCAAATGTCATTGAGTGATTCATTTTTAAGTTCGGCAAGTCAAATATCACTCGTCGATAGTAGCCCTCAAAGACCTCCACCAAGGAAAATCACATCTTATTTTGGCTCTCCTCGACAAAACTCCAGCAATCCTATCGAAATTTCCGACGATGACGAAAAGCCTATTAAAACAGAGCCCGTTGAAAAATCAAGCAATGAACTGTATAACTATCAACCGATGGATGTGAGTGCAGTAGGAGACTCTGGCGACAATGATGCAGATGAATTTGAGTTTGATGATATGGATTATTCTCAAATTCCTGACGAGTGGTTTGAAGACGAGCAAGTTCAAAACGATCCAAACCAAAGGAATCCTTCCGAACTTCCGCCTGTCGTAATGGCAGCATCAAAATCCTCAACTAGTCGATCATTTGGAAGCAGCACGGCAAAAGACTTTGCACGGTCCATGGCTACTACTACTACTACTACTACTACTACTACTACTACTTCACGTGAAATGCCGTCGAACCTAACACCTGCCCAAATAGCAGCAAATAAGGAAGCACTGTACAAAGCCGACTCACTTGCTGCAATCCAAGCTCTGAGAGCAAAGCAACACGCCACCCGATTTACACCTTTGGCTGCTAAATCCCAGGTGTATGCTGTCACTTCCACAGGTCGTAAGCTCAGACCACCGTCTATGGGATTCTCGCGCATGAAAGCTTTGAAGGAAGAACATCGAGCAGAGAGGCGCTTGAATGCGACTGTGAAATCACCGTCCGCTTCGGCAGTAGGCCGGTCTCGCATCAAGGGAAATACTGGCAATGAGAGCTCAAGCTCATCCGAGTCTTCTGAAGACGAAGGCGAGTCTGGTCTCATGAGCTTAGTACAAGACTCCAAAGGTCCAAAGGTTAATCCAGTCGAGGCCGAGAGTGCTAGTGTAAAAGCACTGTTTGAACGTGCGCCAAAGAGAACAACCCAGTTGATCGAGACACCTGCTACTCGTATTTTCCTCCAAAAACGAGAAAAAATTCGGGAAGCAGAAAACAGGAAAAAGAAGATTTCGCCTAATATTGACAGAATGTTCAAGATGATATTGTCATGGGACCCGACCTGGCAACAAGAAACACCTCCAAACATGCCTTCACACATGTACCATCGAGTTAAAAATTCATACACATCTTTCGACGACTACGTGGCTGTGTTTGAACCACTTTTGCTACTTGAGGCTTGGGCACAACTAATACGCTCAAGAGAAGCTCTTTCAGAGAGCGATGTTATAGATCGATGGGTCTTGGATAGCCGGTGCCATGTCAACGACTTTGTGGATGTTACGTTTGCAGTACCCCTTCAGTGTGTTTCCAAAATGTCCGTAGATGAACTGGTCGTGGTTGCCAATCACTTTGGTCCTGAATTTTTTAGACCCAACCGTGATGGTAACTCAAAGTGGGACGCCAAATCATTCTTGGGAAAGATCACCGTAATTACACAAAAGAGGGCTGTTGCTACCATCACCTTACGATGTGTTTTCTTAAAAGATCGTATTACTGTGCTGAATTCCTTGTCACCAAAAACTTCTTGGAGAGCACTTTCTTTAATGAGGTATAAAATGACAAAGAAGAAGTAGTAGAATAATTACAAGCCAATATTTATTTCCGAATATATGTGTATTAACTTTATTATTTATTTATTTAGTCTGACAACTACCCAGCGTGAATATTCTGCTTTACAAGGATTAGAACAGTATGATCTTTGCAAAGAGATTCTTGGCCCAGTTCCGGCTATCAAATCGCCGCCAAATGAAAGCAAAATCGAACACTATGTCCGTACCTACGGTGTGAACCGGCCTCAAGCTAGTGCAATTGCCAGTGCTATTGAAAAGAAGAAAGGTTTTACGTTGATTCAAGGGTAATTGATTTTTTCTTTGTCTTGCTTTATATTATGTATTGATTTTTTGGCTGTCTTTGTCTGTTGTTCTTTTAAAAAAAACACTTTGTACATGCAAACACATATATATATATGTATTTATGTATAGTCCTCCTGGAACAGGTAAGAGCTATTATTATTATTATTATTATTATTATTATTATTATTATTATTATTATTATTATTATTATTATTATTATTATTATTATTATTATTATTATTATTATTATTATTATTATTATTATTATTATTATTATTATTATTATTATTATTATTATTATTATTATTGTTATTATTGTTATTATTGTTATTGTTATTACTGTTATATATTTTTAGTTAACATACTTATCTTTAATATGAATTTATTTTAGGTAAAACCAAAACTATTCTTGGTCTCATTGTATCGCTTTTGGATGAGAGGGGGAAACGAATACATAATGGAGAGGGCCGTGCATTTGGAGGAAAAACTAAACTTTTGGTTTGTGCGCCAAGTAACGCTGCCGTGGATGAGATTGTAAAGCGGTTGAAAGATGGTATAAAAACCGCAGATGGTGTTGTGCGTCTCAATGTTGTCCGTATCGGTGTGGCAGATTCTGTCAATACGAGTGTGAAAGACTTGGTCATGGATAGACTGATTGAAAAGGAGTTGGGTGCCAATCTGGAAGACCAAAAGACCAACAAGGCGTGGTCCCAGCGTCGTGACAAGTTGAACGATGAACTTCGTAAGATTATTCTGGATATTGAAGAAGTTAACCGTGAGTTAGCCGATACAAAAGATGTTGTAAGTTTGGCCACTTTGCGAGATAAACGTAAGGGTCTGTCGTCCAAACGCGACAGTGTCAAAGTCATGATCAAGGATGCGTATGAGGATCAAAAGGACTTTACACGAGATATGGATGTTTCTCGTATACGTGCACGCCAAAAAGTGTTCTCTCAAGCTGATGTTGTGTGCGCCACATTGAGTGGAAGTGGTCATGACATGTTGACTACTATGGGTGTTACATTTGACACAGTTATTGTTGATGAAGCAGCGCAGTCTATTGAAATCAGTACACTGATTCCCCTTAAATACGATTGCCAAAGATGTATTCTTGTTGGTGGTGAGTGATTTCTTTCTCTTTATTTTCGTATTGATCTAACTCTTTCTCCAGATCCTAACCAGCTTCCTCCGACTGTACTATCTCAATTTGCGGCGAAGTATGATTATGAACAAAGTCTTTTTATGAGACTGGAGAATAATGTACCTGGTGGTGTGCATCTGTTGAGGTATGAAATATGTCCAATAATATCTGGTTTTTATGTTTTGGGATCTGTTTATTTTACTCATGCGTGTCTGTTTCTATGTATCAATACGTACAGTATTCAATATCGAATGCATCCAGATATCAGTGTTCTTCCTAGCAAACTATTCTACAACTCAAAACTTCACGATGGCCCAAATATGTCCACTATTTCTGCCGCCCCTTGGCATTTCAAGGATGCATTTGCGCCGTATAGATTTTATAATATTGAAGAAAGTCAAGAGAAGGTTGGATATGGGCACTCCATATATAATCCTGCAGAAGCGGAAGCTGCTGTTACTCTTGTCGACATGCTTGCCAATCAATTACCTGGAATCAAGGTATTTACAATATAAACTCCCAATTTTATTTATTTGTTACTTGATGCTGTACCTCTTCTAATTACACACATTTATATATATGTGTGTGTTCCTTACTACAACACCAATAATATTATTTTTGAAATAAATCAACCCTTAGTTTGCGTACAAAATTGGTGTTATTACACCATACAAGCAGCAGCTCAGTCAATTGAAATCTCGGTTTGAACGGAGATTTGGATCAAAGATCTTGGATGTAATTGATTTTAACACTGTGGTATGTATTATTTGAATGTTAAATGAAATTATAGTTCTGTGTTTCTTCGTTTATTCATTAAAGAAAATGTATATATTCTGATACGATGTATTTTTTCTTCTTAGGATGGATTCCAAGGGCAAGAGAAGGATATTATTATTTTCTCCTGTGTCCGCGCAGGTTCCTGTAAGTCATTTATTATTATTATTATTATTATTATTATTCAAAATAAAAAGAAGTATATGTTTATTATGTTTTATTCACGTTTTCTGTTGTAGCCCGGAGTATCGGTTTCCTGGCTGATGTTCGTCGTATGAATGTCGGTCTGACGCGTGCAAAATGCTCTCTATTTGTACTGGGCAATGCACCAGCACTAATGAGGAGTCAATACTGGCGTGATCTGGTTGAGGACGCTTATAGTCGTAGAGCTTTGAGAGATGTAAGTTATCGAAAACGAAACGGTTTCTGAATATATGTGTATATTAATCAAGTATTGATATTGCCATCAAACAACATTAGATCGCGCAACCCTTTTTCCAACATCGTCTTATTCCTAATAACATACCTCACAACCTTTTTGAAAGAGAACAAATATCATCAAACGGGCGACCACTTCCTGACAGAACCAATGCTAATAGGATTGCACTTCCTCGGCATGTTGAACCACCGGCTGCACCGAGAAAAAATGTGCGAGAAAGGTCTCCTACAGGGGATGATCACAGAAGTAGAAAAGTGTATAGAACTGGAGAAACTAATTCTCCGTCAACTGTCAGGAGCCGTGAAACGGGTGACATAAAAATGAAAGGCATATAGATTTGAAGTTAAAAAAAAAAAGTAATTTCTTAACTTGATAATTCCCGTCGATACGAATCATTCTCATCATATTTGGGTCAAATCCAATTGTACAGTAGCATTATTATTTTTATTATTTTCTGTAATAAAAAAATACATATCTTTTATATAGTAATTCTCTGGTAGTCTTTGGCATGTCAATTTTTGTACATCAATATCAATTATATAAAAAGTATAGCATGGTAGGCTTGTTTAATCCATAGTTCTGCGATTCACAATTTCAATGGATTTAAAAATCATTAATCAAGATGACTAACATATCAAAGTTTTTCTTTCATGTCAAGAAAATGCTTAAGCATAGAACCAGTCATTTCTTTGCACTCGGTTCATATGTGGGACCTACTGCGAGAAATATATCTCTGTATTTATAGCTATACTTTCATCAAGCCCTTGTATTTGAATATATTGAGGTTTTCATTAACTCTAGTGATGCAGATTCAAGTTTCGTTTACAGTGTTTCTACTTGAGTTCCAGCCAAATTAGAAAATGTTTTAGACGATACAAGAATGAGATTTAGACAAAGAGAAATTAGTTTTCAGACAAAGTATATATTTATTCAGACATTTTACCTGTAGTTGTCTAAATGTCTCATTGAGGCAACTTGTTTACGTTACAGTGACGGGATTGTTATTGTTGCTGTTGCTGTTGCTGTTGCTGTTGCTGATGCAGCTGACTGCTGCTTGCTTACTTGTCTTTATCAGATCTTTGGAAAGCGGTTGATCGATGGGTTCCTCTCCAAGCTTATAAAGCAATTGACATTATATTTTTGCAGCATTAACATCTCGCTGCCACGGTGTATTACAAATTTTACAGACCAGAAAAGAAAGGACAACTTTATATCGTCAAAAAAAAGTGAATATTCCTTTATAAAATAAGTACAATTTGAGCATCTCTTTTTGAACAGTATTCAATCCTTGGTGTGGCGAATATACACTATATATAATGCTTTCCGAAATCTAACCACTGAAGATGTGCTTAATGAACCTGCGTCCTAATGCAGAAATAAAAATGTAAAATTCAAAAGTCTAACTACTTTCCAAAGGTCTGATAAAAGCAAGCAAACAGGCCGCAATAACGGCAGCAATAACAATCCCATCGCTGTAACGTAAACACGTTGTTTCTTTGAGCCATTAGACAATTACATGTAAAATGTCTGAATAAATATCTACTTTGTCTGAAAACTAATTTATCTTTGTCTAAATTTCATTCTTGTATCGTCTAAAATATTTTCTAATTTGGCTGGAACTCAAGTATAAATTGTATTAAACCAGAGGCCAATTTAAGCCTGACCTAAAATTAAATTATTGAGTCCCCCTTTTAATTTTTCACTTTATTCTAGCATCTGTTGTTAGGGGGTTTCAATACTTTCGAAGATTAAGATTCACAAGGCGGGAACTAGACTGTCAGCCGATAAAAAAATCAAATTAAATTTACATTTTTGAATCCTCCTTTTTAGTTTTACATCCAAGTCTTAAATCTAATACTTTAAATTTCGTATTTCTTATAGAAGTTGGTATAATTAGTTGAAAGAGATGATATAAGCAAAAAGGATGATATTTTATTGCGTAGAGTAATTCCAAAGCATCAAAACATAAGATGTTAAGATTTAATCGTCAAGCTTTTTTCTGCGGATTGAATCTTCCAGATTTTAATTTTACTCAGATTATTTTCAGCCAATAATTTACAATGTTAAACCCCGCGATACTGATCCGCATCCGCATATTTACTGAAACCCCCTAATAAAGGCAATACTGTTAAGGTGGTAAAATTACAAAAGAAAATAAAAACCCCTACAAGATCTCAAACCCTTATGACCTTTTAATTTTACATGAAAATGTGTCATTTCATTTTAGCTAATCGTAATATTCTATTCAAAGCCATAAATTTATTGGTTTTTCAGAAAAGGCTACTATATTTTTTTATTAACTTTTTCCTAATTAAAAATAATAAAAAAAGAACCATATTTTGGTTTTCTAAAGTTATTGCCACCATATTACGGTCCGTATTTTGCTGTAAGACAAGACAGTCACTGTACAATATCCTGCTTACACGATTCAGTTATCCTTTTCTTTGTTATTTTTGTCTAGTCTCAAGATGATCCAAAAAACAGTTGTGCCTCACGTCGCGTACAATGAGGTTTCAATCAAAAACTTTGATACCCTCTACTCAACAATCCTAGAAAATGTTTCAAAGTCAAACTACATTGCAGTCGATACAGAATTCACTGGTCATTGCAAAAGAATCGTGAAAAACATGGAACAACGCTACGATGCCCTGGCTGTTGTGGTCAAAAGTCATGCGATCGTATCATTTGGCATGACAACTCTTCAGGAACTTCCCTCGGAATCAAACATGGCTGTGTACGGTGCCCAAAACTTTGAGTTCCTGACAAGCAATCAAGATACCTTTCAAGTAGATCCCGGAAACCTCAAGTTTCTTGCAGAAAATGGTCTTGACTTCAATCGTCATTTCCAGTTTGGCCTACCTTACCATGCCGGAACACATGCTGTTACATCCCAACGCGACATTCGATCCCTTTGGCGAGATCTCTTGTTTACAATACGCAAGAACAATATTCCGATTATCGTACACAACGGCCTTTTGGATCTCATGTATATCTATCAGAGTTTCTTTGCTGAATTGCCCGCCTCTCTTTCCATATTTGTTGCAGATTTGGTCGAAATGTTCCCCTCTGGTATCTATGATACCAAGTACCTGGCCAACCAAGTCCTTTCTGAACAGAAATCATACCTTGCTTATCTGTATTGCAAGTATGATCGATCAAGACAGCAACTCACACCTGGATCGAGTGTAGCTACAGGAAACTTTGCTGTTAGAGTTGGGGATCCTTTAGTTGGTTCAACAGTAACAACCCCATTGAAGCGTACAGCGGATGAATCCGTTCCACTTTCTCAGGGCAGCAAACGTCGTATGCGTGCTAAAAAGCTTAACGGCTTAAATAAGACACCTAGTATTATATGCCACAACTATTCGGTAAGCCGATGAAGAATGAGAAGAATCTTTATAAAATATTGTCAGTGTTTTAACATATATATGTGTGTTGGAGTGCAGAATTATGGATGGTGTAAATCTGGTAAGGAATGCCTGTCCTCGCATGACCTAGACCTTATTCTCGACAAGGACCAAGGAATCAAACGAGAGAAAGAGCAGACTGAAGTAGAGGTGAAAGAAGAAGAAGTGGGGGAAGAAGAAATAAGAGAAACTGAGGAGCAAGATAAAGCTCCTTCGATTGAACCAAATCAGAGACGAGATCACGCAGCACATTATGATGCGTTCATGACAGCCTTTGTCTTTTGCCACCAGGCAAGCGAATTAGGACCTGTGGCACTAAAGGAAAACATTAACAAGATTAATCTGATGCGACTGAGGATTCCATTGCGGGTGGTCAAGAGTCACTACTCTAAACCAAGTTCAGCGTGGTCTAGTGTAAGAGACAAGATCTGGAAACCAGATAACGATGATTAGTCTTTGAGAGATAAGTTCAGCCTGCTTTTTCCTTCAAAACAAAAACTAAAACCAAAAATAACAACTAAATGGTAAATACTTTTATATACACATATATAAGACATAATATAATATCAACTTGAATAAATTGTATAGAACTGGGTTTAGGTGACAATAGTATATACACAGGCATTATCCATAGTATGCTAAAAGAAACAACAACAATAATAATAATAACCATAACAATGACAATGACAATAAGATTTTCCCCTTTTTTTGCATATTTACTATTTGCCTCCACGAAGAAACCTATTTTATCTGTGAGATACATACACACATACATACAAATACATAATCTAACTTGATGATTCACTTACTTTGCCTTGTGATCTTCGGGGGATACATAGGCCTTTAATGACCAAATTCCTTTTTGCTGCTTCCTAATAACCCCAAGATTTTGCATTTATAATATTGAGAACAAACAAACAAACACATATAGAGGGAAATCCAAGCGTCTACAATAACCGTAACAATATAATAGCTTACTTTGCTTTTGTTACTGCTTTTTCGAGATCTGGTAAGAGATTGGCGTATTCTGCTCCCTTGGCCACATAGACGCTTGCCAGTCCCTCTTTGGCCATTTCGACCGAAACATTCTTTGAACGAAAGAAGGGAGGGCGGCGCACATAAGCCATGGCAACCTTTATTTCAATACACAAAGTTTCTTAGTATACTTACTTACTTGGCTCAGAATTTTGTAACCACATTTAATTATTATTATTAAATAATAATAAATAATAATAATATTAAAAAAAGAGAGAGAAAGAAAGAAAAATCCTTACCACTCGGCTGTATTGGTCCCTACTCAATAATTGCACCTTTACATCTCTATTGAGAACCATAGCTGTCAAAAATGATTTTGCTTCGGCTGAGAAGGGCTGAGATGGCATACCGAAATGAGCTCCTTCGGGTGCATCTACACCTGCAATTCTAATAGGGATCGTTTGATTCCTGAGGTCTGAACAGAAAATAATGAGAAATGTGTATATATATATGGTAAAAAAAAATGTTAACCTTTGCGAGTGGTGGGTATCTTGCGGAGCCAACCCCAGCCCCAGCCAGGGGTGTGGTAAAGTCTAAAATTGTCACTGTCTCCTACAGAGGTTACTCTGCCTCGAATAACTTGTTTGCTGGCAAATGCCTCGGGTGGAATGTGGCCAACTGTTTTGTAACGTTTGCCAATGAGGTAAGTGGATATAAAATAGATTGTGGGCAAGCCGATCGCCAATCCAATGGTAACTGGTCGCCATATAGATTTGACCAAGTCATCTGCCCATTCTTCAGGAGTGGTATTCATCGCATTTTTTTCCTGTCCTTCGCAATAGACTGGTGTAAAGAAACAAAAGACAGAGTACCATGACTGTTGGTTATTTGAAAAATTGTTGAAGGGCATCGTTGAAATGAGTCTATTTTGGTTCAACAGGAGGGGGGAGTTTTTTTTTTGGTGTTCTATATGAGGGTTTGAGTTAGAAAGCTCAGGGGAAAAAAGGCGAATTTTGTAACAATTTTTTTCTGGTAAACTCTGTAGCAATTTTTTTTTCTGTTGCTTAAGTCTGTAACACTCTTTTGATGGTAAAATCTTGCGACGCTTTTTGCTAATATACTCTGTTGCAATTTTTGCTGATGGGGCCAGTAAAGAGCTTATGCTGTGATTTGTTTATCGGTATATAGAACGCGGTTACTGACCTAGTTGCTCTTTGCATAATATTTATCTTTAGCACAATTAGTTGTTAGTATAGTGTGCAAAAGAAACATGTTGCACCTTTATTGAAAGAATCGAATGTATTGTCAATAGATACTTTAATAAAATGCTGCTTCAATATGCTCAATCGATTGGCTTTAATTGATCAAAAGAATTTTGACAGAATCAATATTAAAGCTGCCTTTATATATATATATATATATCATCATCAAGTATTTGTGCCTTAAATCTTTATTAGCAATCTTACGGAAACGACATTTTTATACAACCAGACTAATCAATTGTGACTACATGACAAGATCGGTGTTTTTCCCTAATCCTTCAGGGCAAAATGGTGTGCCCTTACACTTTGTGTTCATTAATCTCTTGACAGGCACCTAGCTCTCATTACTTTAAGAGCCACAATCTGTATTTGGGCAACTTAATAATAAAATACTGTCTCGTACGAAAAAAAATCAATTCCTGTATATTCAGTTAATAACTGTTTGTACCTTAAATTTAGACTTGACAATAAAGAAATAATAATTAGTCACATATGCACTATATCAATAGCCAGTTATGCCAAAGGTTATAAAGAGTTGTTGTCATTAGAGTGTGATGCAGTATTGTTGGATGTCTTTACTATTTATTGGCCTTCTTACGCGTATAATGTCTTTCTCTTTGTTTCACCTAGATACTCCCAGAGTTCGTCAGCACCAGCTGGTAAGTAATCCCCATCCACTGTTTTTTTTTTGCAAAGCACAAAAGAAAATCTTTATACGAAATATTCTGTATCTTTAGGAGCCAGATAGATTCATTCGATGCCGGAGAAAAAAACGGCCACAATTGGTGGTTTGATACAGTCAAAATGTTGTGTCCTACCAAGAAATGTCGTTCCCCTAAAGTTAGCGTCCAGGCTGTCCGTAAGGTTCTCCATTAAAATCACTGAATCTACTCGGGGTAGAGATTACAACAGCAACACAGGATAGCTCTCCGCAACGGGACACCTGGTACACACCTCCGAAAGGAACTACTTTTCGACAACCTGTGCGACTAGTGAGCGCAGTTCCTCGATCATTAAACGCCAAACCCCTTTCCGTTATTTGTGAAGAGAGCGTCGCTATCTTGCCAAAAAAAAGCAAGTGGCGTAAATCTTGTGGTAGACGAGTTTGGGTGGGCATTTGACGGAGAAGTGTGGCGCAATCTCAACCTGGGAATATCGATGTCCCACAGCCCACATGAAAATGATTTTTGAAGCAAAAATTTGAATATGGCCAATTTTTTTTATGCGTGCGCAAATTGTTTCCAGAAAAGATGTATATATATATATGTGAGTGTGTGTGTGTGTGTGAGAGAGAGAGGACAAGTAGTAACTGTAAATGAGAGCGAGAAAATATATATATATAAAAAAAAATTGAAACAAAGTGAGCAAATAATTCTCGAATTAGTACGTGCTGTGCAAGACCCAGGAATTCAGTACTGTTAATTTTTCCTTGTGGTGTAAAAAAAAATGATACAGACAAGTGATTGGATAAAAAAAAGTTGGAAAATAAAGTGACGTCACATGTTCATATTCATAGGAATTGAATTGAATTGAATTTTTTTTTTTTGGGTGGAGGGAGAGAAGCGGTCATACCATCCCGAGCTGTTACAAAGGTAAGCGGCGCCTGTCCTATTTATTTTTTTTATGAATAGTGGGGGAGGGAAAAAAAAAGATCGAGAGAAAGAAAGAGGGGGGGGGAGGGGGGAAAGTCAAGTCAAGTGGATTGACAAAGTCGCGCTTTCTGGATATTAGTGGAAGTGTAGCCAAAGGGATTATTCTTTCTGTATTGTCTATTTTTTTTTTCTCTTTTTTATTATCAATCTTTTTGCCTGTCTTTTGTACTCCTTTTGACCGGCAATGAGGAAAAGCAAAGAACTTGACCATAATTTATTGACCATAATGTTCTAATTTAGAACCACCAAATAAAAATTAAAAAAAGACAAACTGAATGACTTCGCAAATAAATCGAGAGAATACACCTGCTGGCTTGATTGATCAGGTCAGCTTGATATACACTTGATTCGTTATATATATGTATATATTCTGTTCTTCCATGCAATTTCAGTTGGACTTAAGAAAGAAAGAAAAAAATCAACATTTCTCTGTTTGCGGGAATGATGCTTTTTTTTTTTGGTTTTATTTTTTACGATAATCTAGATGCCTAATTCGGACAACCCAGCAACTGCAGTTGATGAAGAGATCATCACCCAGTTGACATTGGCAGGTTTGAAGGTTCTGATGGTCCGAAAAGGTGATCAGATTATCTACAAGCTGCCAGACAATATGTCTGTGGCTTCAATTGGAGAAGAACAACGTAAGCTACTCATGTCAGAAATCCAAGCGCTCCATGCAGCTACTATGGCAGCTGCCGCAAAAGCCAACACTGCCCGCCCAACCCCAATTTCGCCTGCCATCTTGGCATCCGAAAATTCGGGTGCATTTGCTGCTGCAAAGACCCTTGCCCCGAAGCATAATGGATTCGCTGCACCTCTGCCTGTGCCTTTACAGGCGCAGACGTCAAGTGCGGAGGCTGATGCTCTCAAGGAAACCAAGCGAAAGCTTAGGGAGGAATTGGAGCAGCAGCAGTTGCGAATCCAACAGCAGAATGCGTCGACCTACCAGAACATGAACTCATCCGAGGTCAAGACAACCCGGAAATATGTAAAGACTGGGAAATACTCAAAAAAACGCCAGCAGCAACATTCATTACAACACTCTCAACCACAGCAACCCATGCAGCTTCAAGTGCAGCCTACGGATCCCGCCCAGCCTCAACAACACAATCTGTCTCAGCAGCAGTTGTTGGCTCTCCAGCAGTCCCTTCAGGCCGGACCTTCTGCTCCTACACATGCACCCGCCCCAATTCCTCATACGGTTCCCCTAAGCCAGGTCAATCCAAAGCCTTTTGGGTTTGTACCCAACCAATTGCCTGCAAAGCCAATGTTTGCTAAACGGATGCCTGAGGAGGAGGAGCAACATTTGGGAGTCAAGCAAAGGTAAAAAAAAATCCAAAACATAAACGAATGTATATATGAATTAACAACCAATACTGTATTTGTTAATCTTTCATAGGTTTGCCGAGTCACTTGTGTCTGATCATCGTGCTGTCACTCGGCCAGATTATCACACACCATTTAGGTCCTTGCAAGATGCCATTGATCGTATTCTTCCTTATCATATATATCAATACCCCAAGGGAGATTTGGACGCCAATAAGATACCAATGGATCGACAAGGTAAGTGTCATTTGGAGTTAGTGTTATGTGTGTGTGTTTTGGCTAGAGCATACATCCAGATTTCAGTCTCAAAAACCTTTCTATCAGACAATACTATGTTGGATATCTTCAAATGTCAGGCGGATATGTTTGAAAGACATGCCAAAGTATCCCAAAAGATGTCCAAGGTACAAGAATAATATTTAGCGTAATTTACTTAAAGTTTAGATTGGTTACAAATGACATAATTTATGTTTATGTATATAGTGTGCAGATTCTTCGTCTCTACAAATCTTATTAGATAGACAGTTGCTTGCTGACCAACGACAACGTCTGACTGAAGAGCAAGCTCGTGTTGCAGCCGAACAAGCTGCTCAGCACCAGGAAATGTTACGGGCCCAGGCTGAGCATGCAAGATTAACAACTAATCAGGACACACAAGCAAGACCACCAACTAATTCAGGGTCAGGTACGCAAACAATTTTACAATTGATTAAATAAATAAGTAAAAGATGAACTACGAAAAGAATTGAAACTGACTCGAAACTTGTATTCGTACCTCCATATAAATTATGTATGTATATATATATATATATATAATCGATGCGTATACAGCCTCAAGCTATGCCAATGGATTAGCACAAGCAAGCGCTCTTCTTCAAAATCCACAATTTGCAAACCAATACAGCCAGTTGAGTCCGGAATTGCAACAACAACTACTTCGTAACCGAGAACAATTGGCTGCTTTGATCGAACAACACAGTAAAGACAACAAGATGTTTGCTCGCTAGACTTTTTATACGTACACATACACATATACACACCCACTATCTTTCTTTCTTTCTTTCTTTCTTTCTCTCGCTCACTTGCATGTACTCACTTACTCGCTCACACTCAAACACTCACATATGCATACGTATGTGTATACTATTTTATTCTGCTGTACGTGAATAATATTTCTTACCTTTTGTTTGTATACGATATACACCCAACACCTATATTTACACTGTCTTACTTGCTTACTCGCACTCTTTAACACTCACTCACATGCATAATAAAAGATATATATATATATATATTTAGACAAGATAAAACATCATTACTCCACCAAAAATAATCCTTTCTTTTGAGAACATCTTGTTTGTTTGAGTCAGAACTTTTTCTTAAAGCTTAACCACTCGTGTAGTCAATCAATAAAAGTACAATATTAAAGAACCCGAAGTTCGTATTCTAGTTGCAGCTTATCAGATTTCGAGCTTTATGTTTTAATCTGATCTTATAAAAACCAATGCCGCTTCAACTAAAGCCGCAAACCGGCATAAGAGTCTTTTGGTCATCAAACAATGAAAAAAAAAAAAAGAGGGAGAGAGAGGGTCTATTGTGCTTGAACAAATCTAGAGCCAAGATTTTTTTTCTTTGGCAGTAAAGGGTGGAGTATAAGAGTGGGTTGTTCATGATAAATAGTAAAGTTTCTGACCCACTTGTAATTCGCAACATTGTAGAGCAGATAAATGCCACATACCTAATCACCTTTTAACAATTCAACAAAATATAGTATGTAGAATGCCAAAAAGCAAGTTATTTAGGATTTGTGTTTTTTTTTGTTGTTGGAATCTTTTCCCTTGTTGCTTATGTTAGTCAGTGGCACATTCGTTTCGTTCTATATTTATATTTATATCTTGTTTGGTTTTTTTTTTTCAAGTAGTACACCATCAATTATCTCGGGTGTCGCCTCACCGCGCCGAGTAGCGCAACACAACGCTGTACCGCACCTCATTACACCACACCATACCACACCATACCACACCACACGATCTCACACCACATCTCCTGTCACTTTTACATTTGTATTTGCATTAACCATTTTTTCTTTCTTTATTTACTTGAAACAGCTATAGACTCTGTAGATCCTGTTTTATTTCGCCAATATGTCTGATCCACGACCCATACAATTATACACATATATTCAGTGCCTTGATTTTATTTTAAATAGAGAGAAAGGAGTATATTGAACACAATATTTTCATTAAATTCTAGTCAAATTTGGTCTGATATACTTTTATATTTATCGCGGGCGCCACTCCCTCTTCTCTCTCCGCACTTTTAACTTATTTGGATATATCCGATAATGATAAAAAAAATTGACGGATATTTCTATATCCTCTTTACTTGTACCATGCAATATACCTTAACGACCACCACCACAGAAAAAGAAAAGAAAAAAGAAAAAATAAAGAAAAGACGGGGGATTTTGGTATATTGTAGCTCCGGTATTGTAATGGATCATGATCTACTACTGTCTCATTAACTCACACACATAAACTACATATAGTTCGGTGAAATACAGTAATTGGTTCCGTTTCTACGCAACCTATACCTTACAGCATTATGTCAGCCTAGATATAAATATTCAAGATGTATTTGTATTGTATTTTGTGTGTGTAGAATGTTCAATAGTAGGAATCAAAGGAGACGAAGAACCAAGAGGAAAATGGTGAATAATCCATGGTTTTTTTTTTTGGTTTTTTTTTCCTTTGATGTTGTTTTTATTATGGTTCACTGCTAGTGTAATGTGTATACAGTCGATGCCTTTTTTTTGCGGACTTTGCACGTAAAAGGTGAATAATATATACAAATTAAGAACATTTGAGATTATAAAGTATAGATGGGTAAGCATAAGATCCCACGTCTCGTACTGAACTTTGGGATTATTTATTATTTTGTTCCTTTTTGACTCGGCTAAAATTGTAATGGATCGTTAACCCTTGCAATACCTTAATTCTTTTTTTAAATATATAATATTTGTCTTGTCCGCGCCTTTTCTATGTTGTTGTGTGTTTTTATTGTAAAATTTTGTTTCAATTTATCCTTTCAAAATCTACCACTCTTATACGCATCTTGTACACACTGTACACATTGTACATACGTCAATTTTGGTCCTTTTTCTTCTTCTTTTAACAAAACAACAAAAAAGAGGGTTTGTTTACAGATATTCTAGATCACTTGGCATTTATTATTATACTTCTTGTTTTGGTCTAGAATAATAAGGCTGATCATTTAGTCAATAGAACAGAAAGAAACCAATAATCTTCAAAAAAAAAAAAAAAAAAAAAAAAGCTTCATAAGCTGTGGAGATCTGTATATACTGTATGTATTTTTTGCCACACAATTAGCGATGTCTCAAGAATCCACGCGATGAGGGTTTGTTTCTTCATTTGTTCCTTTGTCCATCTGTTTGTTTTCAAAATTTATAAATACGTACTTTATTTGCAGCTAATTATAATCATGTATAGATATTTTTAGACTTGATTTGCTCTGCTTTGCTCTGCTTTGCTTTGCTTTGCTTTGCTTTGTTTTGTTTATTCTCGGTTGACCTACCTTTTGTCCAACTATACACCAGCTTGGCATTATTGCCTTTTTTTTGTAGTATTCTCTTTGTGCGTGTTGGTATGGTTGATCTATATATATATTATTTGTAAAATATCGGTACAGCAATTATAATTGGCATTTACACAAAGATTTTCCATCACAAGATGTGTTTGTTTTATTCTAATGCGTGTCAGATTTTTTGGTTAAAGTCAAATATGTGAATAATGTGATGGCCTTTGTTTTCTGACTTTTGACTTTGTTAAAAGTAAAAGAATGTATTGACTGCTTGAGTAACAGCATTTTGTGGATCGTGTCATTTATTCCTGCTTAGCATTCTCTCTCTCTCTCTTTTTATATATATATATATTATTTTGGGCTTTATTCTTGTTTTTCTCGGGTGTGGCAATATATATATATATATATAGAAAGGATCGGGAAAATCCATTTTTATATAAATAATAATAAGAGTATAATAATAAAGGAGATCACTTTATAGAATACACCAGAAAATAATTATATATATATTATATATGTGATCAAAAGTATGGCTGTAAAATACATATATATATAAGAGAGAGAGGAAAGAAACGATAATTTGATCGGATCAAAAAAAAAATAGGCTATTGGTTTAAAATGAGCCATCTCAGAATAGTAAATACCTCATTTCAACCCGAACCGAACCCACCTTTTTTTCTTCTTTCAATTCGGTTTTTTAATGCAATTCAATGCAATGCACTTTGATTTGATTTGATTTGATTTGATTTGATTTGATTTGATTTAATTTGTTTCATACCATACCCTAACACCACACCACTTCACACCACCTCACACCACCTCACACTACCCTACCCTACCACAATTTCTTATTCTTTGAGTATTATTTTCTTTTAATTGGCTTGATTTTGATATACCTATACTTATAATGATAACAATTAGTATGAACCAATACAATTAAATAAACAAATAAAAGAATATATATATATATTAGTGTTTGTGTACAATAATGGCTCAGCAAATTCAAACAGAAATATATAGCTGCTTAATTTGTAAATAAAGATATAAACATACAAGCACAAAATGTATGTATATTTATATAGGTAGAGAAAAAAATAATATTTTTATTGACTATTTGTTTATGTATATGAATTGTATATATGGGTTCTTGCGTGAAGTGTAAGTTGTGAATTAAGAAAGTGGGAAGAGGTGGGAAGGATATTATATATATATGTATTATATTGTATTGTATTATTCTTTGCTTTCTCAATAAAGAAAGAAAAAAAAAAAGAAACTATGAATATGAATATATTTTTTTTAGATCATGGCAACGGCAACGGCAACGGCAACTGCTACGCCGGTAGACAAGCCAGATACAAGAGTCGAGGCTGCGCTGTCCTTGCTGGCAGCCTTGTCACCAGAAGCACCGCTGTTGGTGCTGGCATTGGAGCCACTCTGGGCAGTAGTGGATCCGCTGGGCTGGATAGCCTGGCCAGATGCACGCGAGACGACGTTACCGTTACTGTCAAGGGTGTTACCACCAGTGTAAGGACCGAGAACAGGAAGGTCATCGTCAGTAGTAAAGTTGAGTTGCTTGGCAACGGCAGCCGAGCGAGAGGCAACCCACTGGGAGATACCGATAGTACCCTGGGCAGTGGTGTTCATGTTGGTAGTAAAGTCGGCAGTAGTCCAGGTGGTCTTCTGGCCAGCAGACTTGCCAGCAATTGTGCGGGTCCAGGCAATGTCCTCCTTGAGCATCTCGGTCCAGGCAGCCAAGATGGGGTCAATGGTGCTGGGCTTGAAGAAACGCTTGACGATGGTCTTGACGATGTCCTGGAACTGCTGGTTGTAGTAGGGAGACTTGATGAATGCATCGACAACTGGGCGCTGGGAGTCAGCACGGGCAAATGCGGTGTAGGCAACTGTATCAAGGCCAGCCTCGGCACCGTTACCAAACACCTCGTCAAAGTCGTAGGTGATGATGGTGTACTTCTTGGTCAGCATGTCCTGGTTGAGGTAGTAGTTACTGGCCTGGATCCAGAGACCATCCCAAGAACCGGTCAGGAAGTTGAGGGCGAGGTGGATCATGGTGTTTTCGGGGTTCAAAAGATCGCCAATGGCACCCTTGTTGTTGGCGTCGGTGGCCTTGGTGGGGTCGATGGCGGCAAGCTGGCGGGTAAAGTCAATCAAGGGCTGCATCTCGGTGGTCTTGTTGAGCGACTTGTCGTTACCCTTGTCCTGGAGCTTGTAGATGTCTTCGGGGTATTTGGTCGGGTCTTCGGTGGCATAGACAAGGTTACCCTCGACAGTGGGGCTCAGAGCATTGCCCTTGTAAGTGGCACCGACACCGGCAGCAGACCAGTCGCCGCCGTAAAGAATGTCCTCGATAAGGTGGGTGCTGGAGTCATCCATCAACAAGAACAGACCGTAGGCCTCACCGTTGATAAACACACGGACCCAGGAGCTGGAAAGAGTGGCACCACCAGCAGCGGCAAGGCAGTCAAGTGTCAACTTTTCACGAGCAAAGGTCATGTCGGTCTCTTCGGCACGGAGCTTGAGAGAAGTACGGCCGTAAAGAAGGGCCTTCTCGGTGGCATTGGAATACTTGTTAAAGTCAATGGCCCAGGACTGCTTGGCAAAGTCCTTGGTGGACTGGCCACTGGTAGACAGACCGGCGCCGTTGAACTTGAAGGTTTCCTTGTTGCTGATGTAAACAAGCTCAGAAACCAGAGCATCCTTGTAGTCTCCGAGGGGGTCCTTGTTATATGCATCAATGGCAGTCTGGTTTGCGGTCATGATAATGGTAGCAATTTCATTAGACTTGTTCAAGTTTGTAAAGAGAGCTAAATTGTTTTATTTTATTTTTGTGTGTGATTAATATTATATTATATGATCAATAGCCATTAGACATTATATGTTTTATTTTGGAAATATTATTATTTAAAGTAATTAATTTAATCTAATCTAATATAGTTTTATACTTAATTCTATTTAATTTCATCAACTTACTGGGATAGATAGGGTTGTAAGCCTGGGGAAGGGAGGGAACATCGTAAACGGTCTTTGAGCGACCATAGAACTCGTTTCCGGTGGAGGAAGCACCCTGGGCAAGGGAACGGGTGGTGGTCTCGGGGGTAGCTGCTGATCCGGACGAAAGAACGTATTGGTAGGTGTCGCCAGCAGGTGCTGAGCCAGTGAAGAGGTTGGAGTGGAAAGTGCTGGAGGCCAGGTTGTAGACTTGGCCACCGACCGAAACGCCAACAGTCTCACCGGATTTTGGGAATGCGACTACTGAGTACTGGACATCAGCGGCGGAAATGGCTGATACAGCAATGCTGAACAGACTAGTGTAAGTCCACAACTTCATTATGCTTTTTTTTTTCCTTTTTGGTTAATGAAAAATAAAGGGAGAAGAAGAAGTAAAGGAAGAATTAGAAGAAGTGTGAATGAAGGTGAAGAAATTAAAATAAAATGAGACAGTATTTGTAGTAAAAATAAAATAAAATAAAATAATAATTAATAATAATAGCTATATAAATAATTTTCAATAGGTGTGAAAAAAAAATTGTAAGAAGGAGGATAAAGTAAGGCGGAGATCTGATGTTTCTCAAGAAAAAGAAAAAAAGAAAGTTTGCCTTTTTTTTTTTTTTGAGTGAGTAAATGTTTGTGTTTGTAATTGAATCTGGTATTTGAGGTTGTATAGTTTTGGTGGTAGTTTTTGTGTTCGTTCTTCACCTTGGGACGAACATACACACACACACACACATATATACATTTAGCTATTACTATTATAAAATGTATAATAATAATTTATTTTATTTTAACTGTCCGTGTAGGTGGCACATATACACCCATGCTGGTTCGGTGACGATCCCCGGGAAGATGGGTGTGTGACCTTACATTGTAAGCAAGTGTATAAATGTGTATATGTGTATATATGTCTATAAGAAATTATTTCAAGAATACTTTATTACTATTGGTCATACCTTTCTTTTTAAGCAAGAATATTGGAGAGTAAAAATAAACACTTATGAATAAGAATATGTCAATATATAATTTGTCTTATTCCCTTGCCTGGAAGCCCTTTACTAATACACAACCATAAAAGACAAGATATTTGTAGTCTTTTGATGATATTTCTATTAGCTGGATTTAGCATTATAATTTTCGTATTACACTGAGCTGGTGTGAAAAAATAGAAAGACATTTTATTTTTATATATATAAAAAGATTGGTAACTGAATCTGAGTACCTCGGTTATTCAATATAAATATGTATATTTATATTTTATATATGTACACACACGAAAACTAGACACAACAGACCCTGTTTATACCATTCTTTGTATATTTATTAATTCCTTCTCCGTTTTCAATGTCTTTCTCGATGCTACTTGGATAAACCAATGCAATGTCAAGAAGAAGAACAACAAGTAATTTCGAGTATATATGTCTTGATTTGAGCTTCAATACAATAGAAATAAACAAAGTATTCATTCAAATATGATAACATTTTTTTTTGAAAGATGTAAAAATTGTAAAGAATACAAAATCCACAACAGTAATAATCACAATTGCTCTTCTCTATTTCTCTCCTTGTTTTTGATCTTCTGTGCAGCGAGGCACAGTGGCAACGTTCCTTTTGTGCAGGATCAATATGAAACGACACGAAACGACACGACACAGCATAGCATAGCATACATAATGCGTTTTAATTCAAATGTGATTGTGAATGTGAATGTAAATGTGCATATACATGTACATGGGTCTTGTCTATGTATTGTGTGTGGGTGTGTGTGATTATGATTACTATTACTATTACTACTATTGCAGCATTTAGCTAATTGCCAGCTTATTTATGCACCATTTGCATTCTATTGTTCGTGCACAAACCCACTATTCACCCTTGCATATGTATACATCTATATATATCTCTTTTTATTACAATATCTTTCGCTCTCTCTTTGATTTTATATATATATTTTTGCTTGGGAACCATTGAAATGATCGGTAAAATCGCGTGTAGTGTTGCCTTTAATAGGCGTGTCTTTTTTAGCCAGCACCAGACGTCTAGTGTCTTTTTTTTTTTATAAAAAAAAAGGGCTGCTTTCAAGGGTATCCGACGTGTAACCTTTAATTTCTTACCAGATTACTAAAATAATGATTATGTTTCCCAAAAGGAGGTTGACGGTTGTAACAGAAGATTCCTGTCTTTGATTATTTTATTACTTTTTTTTTAAAAAAAAATATTGGAATTATACAGTAGGATATGCATATACAAGTCGTTTAAGTATTTCTTTGAATTTTATTTTTATTAGTGGAATATACAGTCAGTCCGTCGCAGCAAGCCTTTCTTTTAACAGCACCAAATAAGAATCTAAATACAAACACACACACACATATAAATAAATAAAGGTGTATTGTGTTGCTAATGTATGAATATGAGTCTGCGTGGTTGATTAAAGGGAATCAATAGGTCAATTGAATAGATCTTTATACGCACACACATACTTACGACTTTTCTATTTTATTTTTTATTTATATACTGTATCGATCGACATGGTACGACCATCTCTTGACCTCTCTTGACCTCACCTCACCATCTAGATCCACTACCATTGGATACTCTCTTTCCTTCTATTCTTTCTCTCTCTCTCTCTCTTGTTGCTTCTTTATTTTATTTTATTTTTACTTCCGAATAGGTTGCCTTTTTCTGATATTTTATTTATTTATATTTATATTTATATTTATATTTATATTTATATAAACAATTTGTTGCCATAGTTACTCTTCTTTAAGTTTCAATTTCTTGCACAAAAAGGAAAGTTTCTATATTTAAACCACCAATGAATTAAATATATATATAAAAAGAAAAAATATAATTCGCTAATAATAGAAACTGCTTACAAAAACATGCAATATATATTTATATGCATTTATATTTATATTTATATTTGTATTTGTATTTGTATTTATTTATTTAACCAATGAATATTTTTCCAGGTTCATGTTTCAATATCTGGACATAATTATTCACTTCTTTTTATTTATTTATCAAATCCTGCAAATGAGGCTGGTAGCCCGTCTATTGGGATCTTCATTGTGCCACTCAATCAGGACCATTTCTCCTTTTGCATGCACACACACCCACATTGATGATAATAAATTATCATGAAAATGATAATAAATTTCTACTTTATTTTATTTTATAGTGCAACATTTTGACATGAATTGTATTGCTTTCCAAGGTAATATTTACATAAATAGATATTCAAAGACACTTTAGTTTATTTTTTTATTTTTTGCTGTTGATATTGAAGTTATTGTCACAATTTATAAATTCTGTGTTTATTGCATAAGCATGTGAGCAAATACAATACCCACACAGAGAGAGAAAGATAGATAGATATATAGATAGATAGAGAGAGAGAGACGGAAAAATAGAGGGCGGCATTTAGTAACAATTGATAATAATACGTTGGTTGCAATTCCTTTGAGTCACAAGAGAATTTGTCTCTTTGGTTGAATTTTTATCAAGTACGAACAGAGATTGAAGACCAAGTTAAAGTCTTTGGACACTTTATATTATATTGCCTTTTTCTAAAAAAAAAAAAAGTGTAATGTATGTGTGTATGTGTGTATGTATGTCCTGTGTCCATAGATGTACAGATTGTAACTGAAGTAAAAAGAAGGGGGGAAAAAGGTCAAATTCCGATTTAATTTTACCCACATAAACTTATTTTGCGCGTTATACAGAGACAAAAAAAATCCCAAAGAAAGAAAGATTATCCAGACCGACCGGCACACACCCACACACAACTCTCAGGTTGAGTAATGAGACTACAGAGATATCAAAAAAAAGTATCAGTATCAGTACCAATATGTATATAGAATTCATTATATTACATGCACTCGAGACACTTTAGACCAGAGCAAACTAAAGGCATGATTAATGCGTACAAAATAGATTTATAGTTAAAGACAAGGAAAACCAATAGTTTTCCATTGGCTGACAGCGCAGACACGCTTATACTGATTTATACCCACTGTGGGCAATTAGAAATATTTCAGAAAAGAAAGAAAGAAAGTAGATCTTTGTAACATATTACGAATTTTTTGTTTTAGGGAATACACAACAACAAATTGGATGATCTTTTATATTTCTTTCATTCAGAATGTCAATTACATTTCCTGTTTTACTACTACAGATTGTGCAATATTCTTATTTCCTTTGGGTGTTTTAACCTGTGAAACTATAGATGCTCTCACAAGATTCTACACTGTTTGGTTTGTTTTAAATGTATAATGTATGCTAATAAACTTCTTTGTAATCTGTTGTACTTTAATAAACACACACACAATATATTTGTGTGTATCAATGGAGTATATTCGTAAGGAGATTATATGTTTATTGATTACTGATTTTAGTCGTAAAGTTATTTGTAGATCTACATACCTATATATGTAAGTATATCAATGTCTCTATTTAATACAAAAAATCACATCCTTCTTCTTTTATATATCTTCACTGTGGTTCTTATAAGAGATGTAATTAATCGCTAAGAAACAAATGAAGACATTACTAATACTGATACTAACATCAATTAAAAATTGTACTAAATAAACGCCACTGTTATTAATATAGTAATAAGTATAATTATAACTTCAATTACAATTACAATTACAACAGTACAACAACCAAAATAATAATAATAATCCAATAGTCTCACCGAAAACTAGGTATTTATTTATTGTTTCAATTCTTCATGTGAAATTAGAATCTGTTTGTTTTTTGTTAACAAGAAAAAGAAAAGAAGTATTAATGAGATTATGCTTTGAGTTTACTTGTACTTTATTTATTTTTTTGTATTCAACTGTGGCTAAAAGAGAAAGATATATATATATATATGTTACATTGAAGCAATCTTCTTTTTTTTTGGTAGTTTTTATTCCATTTTAATTAAATGATAAGTAGTCATTTAGACTATACTTGATTATTATAATAATTAGCTGAATGTATATTTGTATGTAGATCGCAAGTCATTTGAACAGCCAAACGTTTGTGAATCAAGCCTTAGTTATTCATGGCCTTATTAGAAAATAATAATAATAATAATAATAGATATATGTATGTACCCACGACTGTTTCAAATGTAAAAGACCTGATTATTTAATTAATTAATTAATTAATTTTGAAAAAAAACATTGCTATTATTGTTGTTGTTTACACTATTAAACTTTGTGCTTTGGTCATGCTCCTAAAGATTAATGAAGAAGGAAAGAAGATGAGCGGAGGGGTGATGTTTGCCAAGAAAAAGAAAAAAAAAGTGTAAACAGACTATGAGAATAAGAGTAAATTAATAGCCAAGTCTAAGCATATTTGAACACCCTTTCTTCTTCTTATTTATTTTTTCAAAGTATATGTGCATATGCATATACATATTAGTGTTCCAAATACAAGAATATTAATGGATTCTCTGGGTGTTCTGGATGTTCTGAATGTTCTGTGTCGATTTATCGAATAGTGGCAATAATATTATCAGTCAAATAGGTCGATTTCAATTGCTGTTAATAATAAAGGTCATTCATTAACAAGTTTCTTGGTTTATTTGTTTTCGTTTTTCTCTTCTTCCTTCTCTTCTTATAACCTGTATTTGAAACTAAAATAAGAAGAAAAAGGCTATACAGAGCAATGTAACCGTTGCAATATATATATATAAAGCCAACGATGATGTACAAGAAAACGTATATCATTCCTTAATATAACTCTGACGATACTATCTCTCTCTCTCTCTCTCTCTCTCTCTCCTTTTGTTCTTTCTCTTTAGCTTAATGAATAAATAAAAGTTTTTACACCAAAGTCTATAGGCTTTAATGGGGACTCTTATTTAGATTAAATTTCAACCAATCATTAATTAGTATTTAAACCCAGATGTATAACATTGTGAAAGTTTTTTTTTTTAAAAAAAAAAGTGTTGAGTACCCCTAATAACATGAAAAATAATATTTATAAAGTACGGTATTTCAAAATCCAAAAAATTATAAATTGTTATTTATCGATTTTTCTTTCTCTCTTTGCTTTTGTACATTTTTTATGAATTTTTTTTTTTTTTTAGAGATGACGTATCATGATATACCGTAATTTATACTTGACTGTATAAATAAACATACATATTTGCCTTACTCTTTGCTTGTCTGTTATTTCTATAACCATTACTACTAGTAATACTATCAATAAAAATGAATAAACAGAATATATATATATAAATATGTGATAGATAAAATTTTGATCTAAACATTAAGAATGTCAAAGAAAGAAAGTCAAAGAAAAAAAAAAAAAAAAAAAAAGTCTTTGGGAAAAAATATGTCCCACTTTTTGAAGCCTAATTTTTAATTTTTTTTTTTGGGTCTTTAATAATCTTTCCTTTTTGTTCATTCCAAATAATTAATTAGTCACTTAAAAGAAAGAAAGAAAAAATGGCATCAAACGCACTTGTATCAGCATCTTCATCTCAAGCAGCTACACGATCAGAGTTTGACATTGATGCCTTGCCTTGTAATAAAATTTAACCAAAATAATAATAACAATAGTAGTAGTGCTTTTATTTTTATTTTTTGATGTATACAATTATACATTGAAGATGTGACATTTCAATTATTAATTAACCTTCATTCTTTTCTTTTTAAAAAAAAAAACCTGAATGTATAATTAGATGTCGATCGTGAAATCGATGAAGGAGGTAAAATATATATATATATATATATACATAATTTAAACAATTAAATTTTGGTGTGTTCTTGTTGGTGGTAGACATGAAGGCAACTGTGGATCGCATGATTGAACAAGAAATGCGACGCATGCGACGAAAGGATGACGACAAGTCGAGTTTACCGACTAAAATCAACCTGTTTGAAGATGACGAGATCCTCACACAGGAATTAGAGCGTGTACATAAAAAGCAACCCTTGTCTGCCTTGGATACATCTCGTTACGAACTCCAGGGACCTACTGAAGACAAAGACAGTGTAGAAGAGTGGAAATCAGCAGTTGACAATACAAAGGCACAGCTTGAATCTCAAGCAGGCAGGTAAATAATAATTATTGTTATTAGAATAGTTGATATATGTTAATTGAAATCTTTAAAAATAAAATAAAAATAAAAAAATAAACTAAAAGTACAATCACAATTTTGAATTTGAATCAATGTATATAATAATCAATAATTAATAATCAATAATTTAATATTATATTGTTTTATTTTATTTTGTGATGTGATGTGATGTGATGTGATATGGTGCGTTGTGTTGTGGTGTGTTGTGCTGCATTATATTGTATTGTGTTGTATTGTATTGTATTGTAGTATGTTCAATTTGGAATTGCTGCAGAAATATGGTGCCAATGCATGGCGTGTACACAACTTTCAACTGGAGGCCTATCTGAAACAGATCCAAAAGGCAACAGAGGAATACCGTAATGAGAGCCGTGAAATTAACAAGCAGCGTAAATTCGAACAGGTAATTATATTTATATATATATATATATATATATATATAAACGAGTGATTTACTTACTTGATTCTTGTTCTTTATCTTTCTATTTTATGTGTATGAATGTATATAGACACAGGCAGCTGGATCTCTTCGCTCACTAGAGAACAAATGGTCGGATCTGATCAGTCAGAACTTGCAGGTTGATATCGCATGTGCTGCTTTGGAAAGTGAAGTAGAAGAGTTGAAGCGCTACAGACAATCGGGAGGTTTATAATTGGATTGGATTAAATTAAATTGAACTAAATTGAACCGAATTGAACCGGGTTGAATTGGTTTGGAATTTGTACAAAAAAAAAGAGCAATATTTTTCTTTTTGGGTCATTTTACAGAGAAAGGGAAATTGGGGGAGGGGAGACAGATTAGAAAAAAAAAAGGCATATCTAAAGTCGGTGGGTAAAGGTTTTATCGTTTGATCGGTTAATCAGTTGGTTTATACGATGAACAGATCAAAAAACAACTATTTTTGTTTTAATAGTCGTTATAGCTTAGTGTGTAAAGATGAGATCAAGTTTGTAAAACAAATCAGAATTTTGATCAAAAAAAAATTAAACAAGAATAAAACTTTATTGATCCCATCTAACCTGTTTCAATTGTCTTGCCCTTCTCCTTTATTCGTCTTTATACGCGTGTGATTTACATGAATAAAGACAAATGTAGTAATCAATTCAAGTCATGCTTTGTCATTTTCCACCCAAATTCTTGACAGATTTAGACTTTAAGCACTATTGCTATTAGTATTGTTGAGTAGTTAATGATGATGATGATGATGTCTGTGATTTTCTTGGCTTAGATAATACACTTGATCTCGATCTCGATCCTGACACCCTTATTCATTTATTACTTCATCTTTTACGTTGTGATGAATGGCAGTAAAATTACCTTTCTTGTATTTGGATTATGGTTTCTTTGTCATCGAATTGGCTTATGGCTTACTAATCTGAAGAGCCGTATCTTTTTTTTTTCTTTCACAATTTTTCGCGTGTAGTCTGCGTGTTCAAATAAATACACAGAGATGGGCACACAGACATACAGACACACAGACACACAGACACACGAACTGACCACAGCCAGACAGCCAGACAGTTGGATAGACATATTGACAGGCAATATCTATACTAACAAAACAGAAAAGAAGAACACAAAATAAAATAAAGCACATCATTATGATGCACAAAACACCTCTAGTTACTTTATTTTTTCCTTTGTATTTTCATTACTTCTTTATCTTTGTTCCAATATTCACACACACACACTCAGAGAGAGAGAGATAGACAATACAAAAAAGACATCATTGTCTAGATCTTTTTACTGTTATTAAAATATTCTACTAGTATTCTATACGACTATGATAGATAGATGTATCTGGACGTGCCTATAATATTCTTGTTATAGTAACCCTATAAAATACTTCTTCTTCTGCTATCAACAAACATTCCAAACAAAATGTGAGTTAGTATCACATGATTGGTTACTTTAATCATAATTTATATATTTTATACTGAGAAGAAAACTGAGATTTATTTTCAAGCCAATTATAAAATTCATGTATATATATTTACAGTCTACTGAATATAAACTCAATTTTTTTTCTTAATCTTTGAAACATTCATACAATTTGTTCCCATGGGAATGGTAGTCAACCACTTGTGTTCTTTGTTTTGTTAATATCACATTGATATATTTTAATACCTAGCTAGATATGAATATAATATAACATAATAAATGTTCTGTAAAAATATATATATTATACATTTATTAGTGTCATCATAATCAGTGTGTGATTTCTGATTTGAAACAATAATTTTATATATGTTTCAAAAAAAAAAGAGAGAGAGAGCAAAGACAAGTTGTTTTTTTTTTTTCAAATAAAAAAATAAAATAGGGTAAATCGATCGATCGGTTGATCAAAAAAATAAATAAATTACTCAGTGAAGGGGTGGGTGGAATTGAGTATCGAAATATAAAATACATGGAACATTAGAAATCGAAAGAAAAGAAAAGAAAATGAGAGAAAAAATAGAAGCGAACCAGAAAACCAGAAAACCTGTTTTCCATAAAAATCTATGATATTCGATCAAAACCAGCTAACTAAATAAAATAAACTAAAATGCACTAGACAATTATTTAAATAGGTGAAGTAAAATGAGTATAGCAAAAAGTATTAGCTTAACATGTGTGTACAGAATAAGCCAAAAAATAAAATAAAAAAATATAAAGCTTTATATCTTTATTAAGGATATTTCAACCAGGAAATTGGGTCAAGGTTCTTATTTTGGGAAAGAAACCCTAGAAAAAAAAAAGCTAAAAAAAAGATAAAAATTGTCATAAGCATGATTTTATTATTATATAAAAAATATATATATATAAAAAGAGAGATAAAGGATAGACATGAATGTGTAATAGATGTTTGTGCAAAAAAAAAAGAATGATAATTAATTAATTAAATGTTAGTTTTTAATGATAGCAATATAATATAAAATAGTAAAGTAAAGTAGTAAGATGTGCTCTTATGGGAAATGCAAAGGTATCTTTTGGTTGGATGTAGATTGCTCTTCGGGAGTGACCGGACCAGAGGACGAGGTCGATGATGAGGACATGTCATTATTGGAATCGTATTCCTGCAGAACTGGAGTCATGGTCATGGCTTTGCTGATCCTGTTTGGCATCATTGATGTTGGGTCTGGTAAGTCTGATGAGTTTTGTGCGTTAAGACAACTCTGAGCCAGCAGAGCATCATTGACATTCAACAAGGTCTGGAGATATTCTGGGGTCGGACCGGTGTCTTGGCTGAGAATGTTGGAGAACAGAGGCGAGGGTGCAAGGGCGAGAGAAAAAACGCCATCTTCGAATGTCGGCAGAATAGGAGTAGGATTATCAAGAGTTTCAGCCAAGCCGGTTTTTTCTGTGATGATTGTTGTGGTTGGTGATGTTGCTGATACGGCTGCCTTTACTGCTGCTACTAGCGATGACTGTGGTGAAGACGATAGACCTTGTTCTTGTCCTAGACCTGGTAGTTCTGGTCCTGATGGGAGTGAGCCTAACCAGCCAATACCAGCACCACTAATGGGTTTTTTGTTTTTGTTTTTTGTATTTGTATTTGTACTTGTATTTAAGAGTAGAGAAATTATTTTTAATTTAATTACCTTTCTTCCCATTCTTCTCCCATGCGTTTCATGACAATCTCCAGTTGTTCTCTTTGACGTTCGAGTTCTTCAAGCGAGTTATCATAGTCCATAAGCGAACGCTCCATCGAGTAAGTGAATATAGTAGGTGTTAAAGAAGAGTACAAAGGAATAATAAAGAATGAAAAAATAAATAAATAAATAAATAATTATTAATTAATTAATTATTTATTTAATTAATTAATTAATTAATTTTTATGTATTTTCTTTTGATTGACTGATTTGACTGATTAAATAAAATAGAGAGATAAATAAAATAGATAGGTAGGTAGGTAGGTAGGTAGATAGATAGATAGGTAGATAATACAAAATAAATATTTGTATTTTTTTTTTTTGGTTAATTTATTTATTTATTTTTGATTGGCTGGTTGGCTCGTAAATTAATTGATTGATTGGTTGAAAAATGTATGAAAATAAAGAACGAAAGAAAGAAAGAAAGAAAGAAAGAAAAGAGTAAAAGAATAGAATAATAAAAATATTTTTTTTTTATTTTTTATTTTATTTTTTTTCAATTTGAATTCAAAAAAAAAAAAGAAAGAAGCCGGGATTTTAAAACAAAAAAAGAAAAAAGAAAAAAAGAAAATCCACAAAACAACAGAAATTCCCATCTTATGAATCCGATATTTTTTGTGCGATTTATTGTTACAATTTCGATTTTTAATAAAAATAGTAATAAATAATATAAACACCAAATATATATATATATATATTTGATATATATACTTGATATATATTTTATTTTATATAGAAAAGGGAGAACCAATAAGAATATAGAAAAAAAAATCAAGGGGTGATGAAAATGAAGAAAGAGAAAATTAGAGAGTTTAAAGGGATAGGAGAAGGGGATAGAGAATAAAAGGAGGGATGTTGATTAATAGATAGATAGATAGATAGATAGATAATGGAAACAAAAAGATACAATTTTGTTTTTAGAGTGATAAACAAGAGATCAAATAATCCTGTAATCCAACCAATCACATACAAATAATATCATAACAAAAATTGTTTATTTGTTTGTTTGTTTATTCGTCTGTCTACCCCCTCAAAAAAAAAGAACAAAACAGTAAATAAATAAATAAATATTTATTTTATGTATAAAGTAATGCATGCACATGGGTTTGCATATATTTTTCTGAATTAAAAAAAAAATTGATTTTATTTATTTGTTTGTAAAAAGAAGAACGATAAAAAATATAGAAAAAAGAAAAAAAAAAGTATATTATAAAAGAACCCTTTGTGTGTACATATTTTTTGTTTTGGGTTGTGATGAAATGTGACTGATGAAAGAGATAAAATATATAAGAAAATAAAAAAATTGGCTTATGATTTATAGTTCGGATGGTACAAAGTCAAGCACTGTTCTGAGCATGGTGCACCGACGTTCAAGAGTACCAAGGAATCCTTGGATCTGGTCACGGTTCATGTGCATCAAAAGGGAAGCAAAAGTAGTATCTTCTACATCAACTGCAGAAACAGGAGTTTGTTGTTGTTGCTGTTGAGGTGAATCAAGTTGGAAAGATGATACCATTGGGAAAAGATTTTGATTTGTTGCTGTTGCTGTTGCTGCTACTTCTACTGCTGCTGGTGCTACTGCTTCTGGTTGTTGTTGTTGAACTTGGGGTTCATTCTCAAGTTGCCAACAATCCCTACGCCTGCGTTGGATGGTTGTCTTGCGCATTTCAACCGGTCGGTCCTTTTGGTGCAACTTGGCGTAAAGTCCACATGCATTACATAATGGCTCACCACGATCATTCTTGCGCCACAGGGGGGTCTGGGTCTGTTGACAGTTTGTGCACTGGACATCATCACCAGAAGTATGTTCATAAACATCATCCACAGTCATTGTTGTTGAATTACTATTGACATTGCCTTCATTGACCACAGTAGAACCGGCAGGGGCCAACAATCTTTCATTTGTAAAAGGCTGTGTAGATACCAAAGATGGTCGCATAGCACCACCGAGGACATGAGCACCATTGGGGGTTCCACTGCCACTGGTCTTGCGAACATTGAGCGGGCGATGGTGGTTGTACTGCTTGTAGTACAGTCCACAGGCATTGCAAAGTGTATGGGCTCTGTCGGGTGTGCGTCTCCAGAGAGGGGTCTTGGTGGCCTTGCAGTTGTGACATGCCAAATGGCGCTGGGGACGGGATGACTTGTGGACCGTGAGACGCAGGGGTAGTGTTGATTGGCCAGGTAAGATGTTTGACTTTTTGATCTTGTGTGGCTGTGCTTGGGATCTTGCTGGTGGTGGTGCTGGTGGTGACTGCGGCTGGGATTGAGGCTGGGATTGAGAATGAGGAGGAGAAGAAGGAGGAGAAGGAAATTGAGCAAATTGAGCAAATTGAGCAAATTGAGGTGATACGGGAGATGATGTGACTGGGGATGTGACAACAAATGGTTCACTCTTGATGATTGGCTGAGGAAAGAAATTGAGGGGAATCTCGGGTGCAAAAAGATTGTCGAGAAAGTTGTCTTGTAAAAGTGAGCTTGGAGGACTGTCGATGCTTGCTGAAGAAGCAGATGAGGGCGAGATTGGGTAATACTGTGAGGCAAAGAAATTTTCGAATGAGTCTGATTCGAAAAAATCTGCAACACTACTACTACTACTACTACTACTACTACTATTGATGTCGTCCATAGTGTTTAGTTGTGGTGATTGGTTATTGTTGTTGTTGTTGTTGTTGTTGTTAGTGGCCTGGTAAAAGGCAAATTCTTGGTTCATTGTTTGGTTGTACTGGGTTGTGCTTTGGTTATTGGTTTCTTGTGATTTCTGGGTTTGTGAGTTGGGATCAATCGACATCATTTCCTACGTGCTTTCCGTTGAACATGTAAAAGTAGGCCATTTTTTCTTATATTTGAATTAAAATATATAAAAAAAAAAGATTCTTATTTCTTTTTTTTTTGTTTTACTTTTTACTTTTTTTTTTTTTTACTTTTTCTTTTTTTAAAAAGATTCTTTTACTTTTTTACTTTTTTTTTGGGGGGGTTTAAAGGGTGGAGTGCATCTTGACTAAACAACGATGCACGTTAAGGGGGAAAAATGTGGGAAATATAGAGGGTTTTGTTTTAAACAAATAAAAAGTTAAAAGAGTTAAATAAAGAAGACTAGCTTAATGGACAAAAATATCTTTGGCAGATAAAATTTGTCACTAAAAAATAATAATAATTGATAGTAAGGTAGTAAGAGGTAATACAACCAACAAAGTGAAGAAGGAAGAAGGAAGAAAAAGAGAAATTTCAAAAATTGAAAATTATTTCAAATTATTTGTAAGAAAAAAAAAATCAATATTTATTTATTTTTGGGGATGAGGGCTATTCAGTAAAATATTATTTTTTTATATATTTATTTTAGTAGTTAAAATAGAGAGAGGGGGAGAAGGAGAGGATATGATTGAAGGATATATATTTGGATTAGTCACAAGCTATTCCAATGAGTTTCAAATCGAATTATACTATTCTATATACATCATACCCATTTCTTTATCAACAAGAAGCCAACAATAAAAAAGAAAGCATTAATAAAAGAAGTACGTTAAAGAAGACAAACTTTTATTCATATCCAAATACTTTTTATTTAACGTTTTTCATAAAGGTGAGTGTCCAAATATGACACTTGTTATTACCCAAACAAGAATGAAACTGATTTCTTTTTTTTTTTTAAAGAAAAAAGTAGGAGTTGTAATTAACCTGACAAACTATACAAATCTAGAAGAATCCTATTGGACGGATAAGACAAGTAGTAGACTCGTTCTTTTTTTTTTTATATATATATATATACATATATTTATAGTATATAATTATTCGGTCAGCCAATAGAATTCGAGCATTCAAATACTCTTTGTGTTACAATGTGCAAATGCTTTTTTCCGTCCTACTTGATTCTTAAAAATAAATAAAAATAAAAATAAAAATTGATATTGAAACATTGAAACAGTAAAGAAGGTTTTATTGTTTGTGTATCATTGTTATTTCTCTATTGTAATTAGAAAGAGTAAAATTTTGTAGTGGTTTATTGAGTGAAGAATGTCTTTACAGAATACATTTCCATCCCCACAGGATGATCCATTTGAACAGGCTGTTAAAGCACAGGCAAGTATTATTCCCTGCATTTCATCATTTCATTTATCTTTTTTGTTCAACAATCAGAATAATGATAAAGCATTAATACATATATTAATATTAATATGCATTCATGTATGTCTTTATGCACATGTATGTGTCTTAAGGTGAGTGAAAGAATTACACTCCTTCATACTCTAATATCTCCTTCATTCTAAAGTCAATCACAGATGACAATCTCAATGACATTTCATCTCAACCACATGTTCCACGTTGGCAACACATAAAGACCTCTGAGGAAATAGTTGACAGTAAAAATACACTAAGAATTCTAGGTAACAAAAAAAAACATTATATTATATTATATACACCATGTACACTATATTTCGCCTAATAGTATGCTAAATTAAATGTGATTCTCCTTGATTTTCATTATTATTATTATTATATTAATACATAATATATCATGACATGACATGATATATTATTTCATTTCATCTTCCTGCTTAGAGTCAAAGTTGAATAGCATACGATCGGGTACTAGGAAACCTTTAGCCAACCCAGCAAACTCATCTCTACGTAAGAATTATATATATATAAATAATTAAATAAATAAATACTATAATTTAGATTATGAATCGGAAGATGAATCAGACAAAGACCAAGACCAAGACCAAGATCAGGACTACTATTGCAGTCGAGAACCAGAACTTGATTCTCAAGCCGAGGCAGAAGGAGTTCATTTATTGTGGAAGTCCCAATATGTTCAGTCTGAACAAATCAATCGAGGAGGCTCATCCGCATTACCAAATCAGGAATTTCACGAACAAGAACAATTGTTGTGGTCCAGGGCTTGGCAGAAACGTAAATCAGAGCAGGAATACATGCCTTGGATTGATCGTATTTTAGGATGTTTCAATTGTTGCAAATAAAATACTATTATTATTTTTATTATTTTTATTGTGAATAATGAAATATGAACAAAGAAATATGTATATAAGAAAGAGACTAGTATGCGCGTTTTTAATGTATGTATAATGTGTATGAATGGTGGGGTTAATAATTAACAAAAAGAAGAAAGAAAAATATATATAAATTATTCTTTCCTTTTGTAATTTATTTATTTTTTACTTTTACTTTTGCCGTAATCGCTTGACATTTGGTTGACAATCAATCACACTATTTTCTTGCCTTTTCAGACCACAATTAATATTACTATTACTATCACCAAGAACAGCACCAGTGTCAACAGCAACACTAGCTTCAATGTCACTGTCACTATCACTGTGAATCTCAGTCACATTATTCTTTAAGCCTGGGAATTCTAGTGATAATGTCGATAGTGGTGGCTGTGGTGACCGTGGTGACTGTAGCTTTCCTTCTTGAGCACCAGTACCAAGACTAATCATATTGTCTGGATTCAAAACCTTATTCATAGCATCATCGCCATTACTATCGGTATCCTGGGAACCGTTGCTTTTCGTGCTATCGTCCTCATCATCAGTTGTGTGTGGCTGGCGTCGATCATTCTCAGAATCATCATCGCCATTTTCATTTTGAACCCAATTTTGCACAGACCCTCCTCCACAATCACTACTACTTGCTCCAGCTGTTGTAATCTGATCTTGCTCTAGCTCTTGCTCTTGCTCTTGCTCTTGGTTACCAAGAACACCGTCAAGTTCATCATCATGAGCACTGTTACTATCGCCGTTGTGCTTGATATCATTTTCAGACTTGGGAGAAATCATTTTGGCTGTTACTGGTGCTGGCGGTGTTAAGCGTGGAATCTTTTGTGGTTGTTGGATTATTTTTGAGCGATGGAACTGGTATGCATTCGAGTGTCCAGAAGATAACAAAGGAACAGACTTTGATTCATTGGCCACAGTGAGACGGTTATTGGAACGAGTAGGCATAGATAACATTGCGAATGAAAACAAGATGATCTATTTTATGTATACATACATTATTGAAACAAAAATAAATAAATATAAAGTACATAACATAGATAGATAGACAGACATTAATTTTCTTACCATGAATACCATTCCTGTGGTTTTTGAGGTAGTCAAGATTTGTGTAGAATTCTTGGATGTATTCTTTGTCGATTGCTGTTGCGATTGTGGCTCTTCTTGTTTGGACACCCGTTCCTCCTTTAAAACCTGATTTTCTTTCTCGAGGCTAGACAGTTTGAGTTCCAATTCAGCCACAGTCTGTTCTAGTGTCTTGTTTTGATTAACCAACGCGTCTCTCTGGTCTTCGAGTGCATTCAGGTGTTCTCTTTTACGTTTCCGAGACAGCAGTGCGGCGGCTCTGTTTTTTATCAATCGCTCCTGGCGTTTGGCTTGTGCTGTACCTTTGGTAGAAAGCTGAGCAGATGATTGTTGCTGTTGCTGTTGCTGTTGTGGTGGTAACATTTTGAGATTTGTGTTTTGTTCTTGTTTCACCGTAACACCAAGACAAGATGAATCAGGCGCAGGAGTAAGGGTAGGAGTCAGAGTAGGAGTAGGAGTAGGAGTCAGAGCCAAAGCCAGAGTAGGAGTAGGAGATGATACTGTTAATAATGACGATGACGATGTTCCTGTTCCTATTGCTGTTATTGATAATGATGACAATGATGATGATGATGATGATGATGATATTTCTTGAGTAGAATCTTTCCATGCTGAACTAATATTAATATCATTAGTGGTATGGTGTGCTTGGTGACCAGATACAAGACCCAACGCCTGTGGTACTTGTGGTTGGATCTGTACTTGAGGACGAGCAGGGGCAGGGGCAATTGGAGGAGGTGATTGATTCTGCCGACGATTGCTTGGATTGTGATGATTTTGTGAGCCGTTCGGACAAGTGGCAGAGGTATCCTTTTTCTTTCTTCCTCGCTTTGGCTTTGGCTGTTCGGTATCAGATTGAGAAGCACACGAAGACGATGAAGATAGAGAGGGTGGTGATGGTGATGATATATATGCTGCTTCTGTTGCTGCTACTGCTGCTGACGAAGATGACGATGAAGATGTGGTGGAGATAATGGAGGATTGACCGGGAGACAGTGGACGATGATGTACAAAGTACGGTATAGGCATTGATTGTGCATTGATTGATGGCATGACAAATGGAAATCCAGCCAGTAAGTCCGGTAAACCATCGACCATAGTATTTGACCACTGCTGCTGTTGCTGCTGCTGCTGGTGATATTGTTGGTAGTGATATGATTGCAGGTGTGCTTCTTCATCAAATGGCTCACACTTTGAGTATTCGAACAAACCTAGACTTGGAGAGTCTATAGTTTGGTGGTCATTGGTAGGGATATTGGTGTCTTCTTGATCGACAGACTGGGTTGACCAAGGTGAGTGGGAGGAAGTGTCTGACAGATAGTCTGTATTGAGGTAAGACATCAACAGATCATCTTGATCTTCCGTCAAAGGTTCTTGTTTGATGATCGTATTCATATTATAGATAAGCTTTGAATGAACAGAAAATTAAAGGTGAAAGTGAAAGTAAAAGGGAAAGAGAAAGAAAGAGAAGGTTAATCTGATATTTGAAAGTAACAAATAAGAAAAGTGTGTGAAAGTAAAGAGAGTAAATGCGTTTTGAGGCTATCGATATCATCATCATCATTTTGGTCTATTTTATTTATATTTTATTTATATTTTCTTTATTAAATTCACAATATTGTAACACACCGCCAATCTCCGCCTATACAGCGAGAGAGAGAGAGAGAGAGAGAGTCAAGGCAAGCAGATAGACAGGCAGGCAGACAGGCAGGCAGACAGGCAGACAGGCAGACAGGCAGACAGGCAGACGGACAGATAGATAGACGAATCTATATATATTTATACACATATTTGTATAATATAATATAATATAATATAATATAATATATATAAAGACCTAAAAAGAAGAGAAAGAGTAAAAAAGGCAAGTGCTTTATATATAGGTAAATATATAGATTTGTATTCCGCGTCAGATAAACTCATCTTTGGTGAGTATTTTGTCTATGGATACATACATATATACATATATAACTACCTACCTATCTACTCACATAGATATATATATATATATATATATACTTATATTTATATTCATGTGTGTGTAGCTGTATAAGAATTATATAAATAGAGGGCGCGGCAAACTCCCTTACATTGAATACATATATTAATTTCATTTATAATATAGTATATCTTTATATAAATGTGCAGTTATTTAAAGAATAATAAATATACATATATATAAATATCAAGAAGACGAATATTAGATCGCAGGCTTAGATAGATAGACACATATCTGTATATAAATAAATACAAATATTAAAGTGTATAGATACTGTCAGAAAGCTTAAATAAGTCAATATATATATATATATATAAAATCTCATTCCAATATACAACGTGGTGGTTCTGTTACAGAACAAACGCCACACTACACTACACTGCACTGCACTGCACTACATGATATACATATAGAATTGCCAAGCCAAGCCAAGAATATAACATAGCATAATATATTATACACCCAACAAGCCGTGGAGTTCATAGACTCTCTTTGTCTGTCTTGTATTTAATTTTTTTTTTTTTTTGCAATACAAAAATAAAAATTAAATAAACCCCGTGTAAACTGTATTACTTGGTTTTAGTGGCAGTGGATAAAAGATACTAGAGTGAGAATGTGCCACAGCTTTAATCCCGCCGTTGTTAATGCTGTGTATGTGTAGTGTGAGTTTATGCATCTTTCTATACTTCTTTATCTTTGCACTACATACACAATATACACATTGAAAAGATAGAGTATATCTGTACCAATTGTCCTTTACCTCTCTCTTGCCAATCTTATCTAAAAAATACAATACAAAAAAGTATATAAGATCTACAGTTGGTTATCTAAAACAAGTGACAAACAGACTATGATTATTATCTTATGATGACAGTTTGTATTTGTCCTATGTGCAAGTGTACAGACAATTGCACAAATCTTCGATCTGATTTCGGCTCCACCTAAACTTGTAAAGTTTTCACAAAAAAAGAGATATTTTATACTTTTGAATGTTCCACAACCTATGTATTTTACCTTTCTTTTAATAAAGCCATATTCTGTAATCTTAAGGGAAATAATTACAAGAGGGGAACCCCTTTCCAAAAAAAAAACAGAGGGAGAGATTTATCAATTGTTTGACAGACACTAGACAATACTACTCCATCTCCTAATTACTTAAAGCTTGCACCAGAGTCAAGAAAGTAGTAATACAAGATCAAGTACACAAAGAAGACGGTGAACTGTGTACAACATAACAGATTGCTTTTTTGGAGCTGTTGGGTGGCGAAGAATGCATCTTGGATATCAGCTTCTCTTTGACAGAGATCAAGAGAATACAATATAGTGTCTTGGAATAAATACTACAAATATTTCAAGAGCTTGGGGGATAAGGTTTGTATGATGTTCAGATTAACTAACACCACTATAAAAGTAAAAAATAAATAAAAATAAAAGTCCCAATATCAATATCAATCGACTTGGTTAGCAGCCCATTTATTAAACACTAAACCATCTATCAATTGATAGCTCTTAATCTTATCATGTTATTCGAGTCCGTCATAATGTCTTCCCTTGAGACTAAACTTGGATTCAATATATATATATGAGCTATTTAGAAGGGAAGAAAGACGAGCAGCTTCCCTTTCACACTTTTTTTCAGCAGACTACCTAAATTTGGTGGTCGACAATATACGGGTACATATCTTCTTATATTGTAACCACTTTAAAAGAATATAAAAAAGTTATGAGCAAAGAACCAAACAAAGGTGAAGAGAATAAAGCCATCTTTTGACTTCTTACAAAGGGTATATTCTGCATAGTAGATACCACTCTGTTTATATGATGAAAACCTGAGCATAAATCTCTTTTCTAACACATCTGTTTTTACTAGCTATGACTTTTATTATGATCACCAAGACCTTGAAGATACAGAATCTGCCTTCGACCATATGTTTTTTGTGTTCTATTATGAGCATATCGTTCCCAAAATCTTTATTCTTCTAAAAAACTACTCTTGGTATCTTCCAGCCACTTCAAAGGCAGCTTCTAGTCTCTAAATATCACACTTATTCTAGTTCATTCCTAAGAGCAGTGACAAAAGCAACCACTGAAGAAACTAGCACAAGCGGCATTTTTCAAAGCGGAAGAAACGCCACTTTAAGCAATGAAAAAGAAAATCAAAAGGTCTTGATAAAGTAAGGCTTTGCCTTGCCGATCGTATCCTAAGACTTTACGGAATAAAGCAGCTTAAGGTCCTTCTTATTAAGCATTTCTCAAGTTTTGCCAACTCAGACAGAACAAAAGCATTATATGACCGCCATAAGGGTCTGTTTGGTGCCTTGGCCATGCTAAAAACAGCTGTTAACGATTTTTTCTTGGCTTCGATCAGCACATTCTTCAACTTGAAATTGTTTTTTTTGTACATGCTACAGGTAGGTAGGATACTTCGTGTATCATCAAATCATAAGAGTCTGTTTTTCTATAGAAGCAGAAAAAACAATTTACCTTTGGAGTATGCGATTTTTTGAAGAAGGACAGGCGTAAGGGCTGTGGCAAGAGAGAGAGAGAGAGAGAGAGGGGGGGGGGGGGGAAGACAATGAAGCCAAGCTTCAAGACAAAGTCGAGCAATTTCTAGTGAGGTGCTTGGGATTGATTTTGTATTAGGATCTCAATATCAGGATAAGTAGATACCGCGAGAGCGTTGCTTTATTAAAGATGA